TCCCCTTTTCTTTTGGGGCTACAGCTAGGCTGGGACAGTGGGATGGTGGGAACCTTAATAAGGGAAATTTGGTGTCATCCCACCACCCTATGCTGCCAGGAGTGAGTGAGAATTTGTACCATCTGACGGTGGGTGGGATCCTTCTTTTTCAAGTCCTACACAGACAGTGAGGCCCACGCTCAATCAGTCCTTGGAGGATCTGAGGTGAGGCTATCCTTTGACACAGGGATGTAGACATGGGGGAATGGTCAGCCTTGCCACTGTGAGAGCAGGTGGTGATGCACTGAAACCAGATGAACAATGCTCAACCGGGCAGTGTGCCTTGGAGAGCAATGCTGTTTGCTCAAGGGAAACTATGGTTGTGTCTCTGTTCTCAGGAAAGACCTATTCGCTGACTTACACACGTGTCCAAGTCGAAGATGCAGCAGAGATCAAATTTGTAGCAGAAAAGGCAGAATCTCGTGCCCAGCTTACTGTAAAAGGTAATTATACTTTTCATGCCAGTACTGCTTAAGGTTTCTCATGTTACAAACCAACCAACGTCCCTCACTTTTAATGTGAAGAAGGTTAAACAACACCTCAATTTTTCAGGAAAGCTCCTGTCTACCTTACTGCATGTGAAATAATCAGCCTGGGAATTTTCTTTTGCAGTTTATTTTCTCAGGAGGTTGGTTTTGTAGCTCAAGATATTAAGTAATGTTTGAACTTTGAGAGACAAAAAGCTGTAGCTTGACTTTCTCCTCCATTTTCTCTTTCTGGTGTATGTTTAAAAAGCATGTAGCATTTTTTTCACGTTTAAGTTAAACAGTGCAATAGAGTGAGAGAGAAAGAAGACATTTGAACTAACACACTGATGAGGAGCTCAGGACATTTGAGATCAATCCCTGGCTCTGCCACAGCACTGCTGTGTACTGTTGAGTAAATTACCTATTATCTCTGCAGTTCAGCCACTCAAGTGGTAAAATAGGGATAAAGAGTTTTCCTTTCATTAGCTCTTCACTTGCTGTGTGTTAGTTGAGTGTTTAGCATAGCAGGGATTCCTGTCATCATCCAAATATCTGACCATAAAAGAAATATTGCTAATGAGTTTTTAATTTGCACTTTTCATGGAAACTGTGCTGATAATTCATCTTTTTTTTTTTTTTTAATCCATTTTAGAACTACCTGTAAAAATTGTGAAGCCTTTGCGAGACAAGATCGCTCTTGAAAAACATCGGGGATTCCTGGAGTGCCAGGTGTCTCGTGCCAATGCCAAAGTTCGATGGTATAAAAAGGGTGTTGAAATTCACCCTAGTGACAAATACGAAATTGTGAGTGAAGGTGTCTATCGGAAACTCATCATCAATGACGCAGGTTATGAAGATGAGGACACATACACTTGTGATGCCTTTGATGACAAAACCAGTGCTAATTTCTTTGTTGAAGGTAGTAAACCATTTTTATCCCCTCTAGGATGCATTTGAAGGAGGATTGGCTGGTTTAAAAAGCCCTTGTCATTTACTTTGAAAACACAATAGCACTTTAAAAGCATTTTAAGTAATTTTTTAAAATTACTTAAAAGTAGTTTAAGGTTTTTTTCAGAGAACAGTTGCTGTAGCTAATCAGCGTTTTTCCTATTATCAACATCTGCATTTCAAGGAACCTTCTTTTCCATTTTAATAGTGCCATGCATTTGATATCACAGTAGAAAGGTGATTTTAGAAATAGGACCAGGAAACAGGAGATCTGGATTATGTTGAGGCTGTTCTACAGTCTCATTGTCTGATCTGTGACCAACAATATATGTTTGTTTATTTTTATTTTTTTTTTTTAAAAAGGATGTTTTAAGGTGTTTTGAGCCCAAAAGTGCAGTATTCTAATGCAGAAAAGATGGCATGATTGTACAGGATGGTGATCTTTAGGGTCCCTTCTAACCCAAGCCATTCTATGATGCTTTCGTGACTCCTAAATCCCTGTTTTCTCCTTCCATCCTTCATCCAGAGCAATCCATTAATATTGTAAAGGAGTTGTGTGATGAGGATGTGACTGAGCCTGAAGAAGCCAACTTTGAGTGTGAGACATCCATTCCATCCGTGAAACCGCCCAAATGGTTCCTACGGGGAGCGGCCCTCCAGGCTGGCGGAAACATCGTCATGCAGCAAGAAGGCACCATCCACCGGCTGACAATCCTGAAAACCAGTGCTGATATGACAGGCACCATTCAGTTCTGCATTGGCAAATCAAAATCCACAGCAAACCTGCTTGTCAGAGGTAACATGATACGGCCTGGGCTTGAATTAGATCACAAGAGATCCTCTCTCTCTCAGTCCCTGCAAAGTAATTTTTCCTACATACTGCCAGGCTCCACTGGTTGGGGTCTTGAAAATGGAGGTCTACCTGGAAGATCTGCTTAGTTCCCAATGACAAGTTGTCGGGCGCAGTGCTGGATGCACTAAATGAGACAGCAATGCCTCAGGAAGGGATCCAATTAAATGAGTTTGCAGGGCCTGATATTCGAATCTATTCAGCTAAGACCATTTTTTTTCCCCCTTGACTTTATCAACGAGGAAAAAACATGCAATTTGCCAGGAGCGTTTATTTTGTGCTATTTCTGAACTAGACAAGTTTGATAGCTCATTTACTTAATCCACTTTGTCATCAATTTGATTGGAGACAAAGATTCAGGATTCGGGGCTTTTTATCTTCCCCTGTCTCCATTGTAAATATCTCCAATCGCATCCTGAAGTCCTTGTTTTGTCTTTAATTCAGTTTTACTTGCATAAAGTCCTGAATTAGAGAGTGGTTTCAGTAAACATTACACCAGAACCGGACCATGCATTTGTTAGTTAATACACAGTATTATCTTATAGAAATCAACATTCCCTATAGATCATCACTTTGGTTTAGCTTCAAAGGAAATCAACTCTGTAACAGGAACCTGTAGCATCATCTAAACAATTCACAAAGCATTGTGAATGACATGCATTAAAATCATTGCCATGAAATACAGATTAGAAGCTTTCCTCTTCTTCATGTGTTATGACAGGACAAGAGTTAATGGCTTTAAACTAAAAGAGGGTAGTTGCAGACTAGATATAATGAAGAAATTTTTTAAAATGAGGGTAGTGAAACACTGCTCCAGGTTGCCCAGAGAGGTGGTAGATGCCCCATTGCTGGAAGCATTCAAGATCAGGTTGGATGGGGCTCTGAGCAACCTGATTTAGTTGAAGATGTCCCTGCTAATGGCAGGGGAGTGTGGATTAGATAATCTTTAAAGGTCCCTTCCGACCCAAACCATTCTATGATTCCTCCCAACCCTGCTTTACAGATTACCACATACAGATCACCAGGAAGATGGAGGACAAGACCGCCCTGGAGCGCCATTCTGTCGTCCTGTCTTGTGACTTCAGGCCTTCCCCAAAGATTGTGAAGTGGTTCAAGGGCAACACACTCATTGAGCCCTCCGAGAAGTACAAAATCAAGAGGGAGCAGTATTCAGCAGAGCTCAAGATTTTGAAGGTGAAGCCGGAAGATGCTGGTGTGTACAAATGCAGGCCTGGAAGCGCAGAGACCGAAGCCACGCTGACTGTTGAAGGTACAAGGGTTTTGCAGCAGAGAGACTTGCCTGTTGCATAGATACAAGGAAGAAATTTTTTATGCTGAGGGTGGTGAGACGCTGATCCAGGTTGCCCAGAGAGGTGGTAGATGCCCCATCCCTGGAAACATTCAAGGTCAGGCTGGATGGGGCTCTGAGCAACCTGATCATCTCGAAGATGTCCCTGCTCATGGCAGAGAGTTGGACTATATGACCTTTAAAGGTCCCTTCCAACCCAGACTATTCTATGATATCTTTATGGGTACGTACTTCACCGTGGGTTTCTCTTCTTGAGTATACGGAGGTTCCCACAGTTCCTTCTGCTACTATTATGTAAATGCAATGCCTTAAGTGAACTGTGCTGATATTCCATGATATCAGCTGAAATCCAGCATTTGCCATGAAGCAGGTAATGCATGTGGAAGGACACCATCTGGGTAAGGTGGAAATTCATGTGTCTTTCTCAGGGCACATTATTTTCTGTTTCATTTGAGGAACTAGAACTCTGGTACTTCTCACTAAAAAGTGACCTCTATGTTAAACTGCTACAGGCCACCTGGTTGTGGTTTTCATTTTCTGGCCACTGTGTCAGCTTTTATATCTGTTATATGTTTGTTATTCATAGTAATGTTCTGCCTCATCCTGGTATGAAACTGTTTTTAGCCAACTCTTCAGCTGTGGTGAATCTGTAAGAAAAGGTGATCTTTGTGTCACTTTCAGCAAGACTTGGATGTGAGCCACTGAATCATTTCCATGAGTCCAGGCAGCCACTCTTGGTAACAGTTTGGCCTTGCAGAGGTTCCTCCAAATGACAAAATGATTTAATACTCCCAAACCCTCCTCTGAGTTAGCCAGTCCTTGAGAAACAGCATTTCATAAGTGGAGAAAGTGCGAAGAGAAACTTCTGGCCAAGGGCTGGGAAAGAAAAGAATTCAGTTCCTGTTGCTCCCTAAACCTGAGCAAATTGCTTAATCTCTTTGTACTTGCTGTTTGTGGCCAACCCTGCTGTCTTCATCTCATCCTCTGTGTTTTCCTGGCAGTGAGTCAGGGATAATTTAGTTATACGGTGTGAACGTATGGGTGGCGACAAGCACACAGGGAATCGAGCTCTGTGGGGTACCTAGACACTGCTGTAACATCGTTACCATTTTAGGAATAATTGCTTATTTTTAAATTAAAAAGAAAAAACAACAAACCAGTTTTATGTGTAAAAAGAGAATTGAGGACTCTAGACAATATAATTTTTTTATTGGATTTTTTTGTTGCTGTTGTTGGACTAAATGCAGAACCACGTAAATGTAATGACCCACAGTGCACAGGAGACAAGACTAAACCATCTAACAAACTCTAGATGCTATGAAATCTGTTTGTGATGGCAGTACTGATTTATGGTAACAGTGGTGATGTGCACCTTGGTTTTCTACAGCCCGCAACGTAGAAGTACTCAAACATCTGCAGGACGTGGAAATTGAAGAAGAGAGCTCCGCTGTCTTCTCCTGCGAGCTGTCCCATGATGACGAAGATGTGGAATGGTTCCTCAATGGCACCCTCCTTTACACCAACAATTTCAATGACATCAGGAACGTTGGCAATTGCTACATGCTGACGATGAAGCAGGTCAAGCCTGAAGATGCTGGCACAGTGACGATGAAGTCAGACAAGGTGTCAGAGACCGTGCGTCTGAAGGTGATAGGTGGGTCATCATCACACCCTCCTGAATCTAAGTAAGAGGTGCAAAGGAGCTATTATTTACCATATCTATGCAGCAATCCTGATCATAAGCTCTGGGACCAAGTAATAAGTGTGCAAGGACTTTCTTCCAGTGTGATTTTTCTACTGTAGCTAATGATTTTTCTAAGGAAGACTGTGTTGGTGTCCTGCCAAATAGGACACCAAATAATGGCCATTTAGCATCCCTTTTCTTGTCATCAGGATAAGTCTCAAGAGCAATTTCCTTTACTTGTAGGTCTCTTCAATGATACATACTCTATAAACTGTTGTTTATAAAGATTTTGGTCTGCAAGAAGCTGAGCTTCAGTGTACCTCCAAGGGTAGGGCAAACCATTAATACATCAGCGCTGGAGTTGAACTGATTCAGCAAAGAGAAGGCAGTTTGCTGCTGTCCTTAACATGCCTTAAAGTCTGGTCACACATCTGAGTTGCTGTGGTTTAACATGTTCTTGTGCATCAACTAAGCCACAGTGAGTTGCATGAATAATTTTAGGCATGTTAGAAACACGAGGTAAAAGTCTCACTAAAATTTCAAAATCACATTTTCTTTAGCAACACACCCGTAGATGCACGCTCAGGTAAATCATAGTGATTTGTTATCCTAAATTAACAAAGAAAAAGAGTCCTTGCAATCTCATAAGTGCACAGGCATAAAAGAGGCCATGATTACTGCACAGAATATCATTCTCCATCCATGGCAATACAGGCTGCCTCTCTCCGTCCCTCTACTCTCCCATTAATAAATTCTGATTTCCCTAAAACTTATTCTATCAGTAGGTGTGAGACCACTTTAGGTCCTGCATTGGTGTCAGCAGCATTGCCAAGAGTTTAATTAAGCTCTCTTTAAATATTTGATAGCAACTGGAAACGTCTCAACTGAAACATCCTGGTGGTTCTCTGTTTTGTCCCTTAACCTTCAGAGAAGCCTGCTGTCTTCATGAAGTCCTTGGACGATGTTTTTGGTGAGGAGCGAGGTGTGATTAAATTGGAATGTGAAGTCTCCAAAGAGAAGGTCAAGCCTGTTTGGAAAAAGGATGGTGTGACTCTCGCTTCTGGTGACAAGTATGAGCAGATACAGTCTGGGAAGACCCTGTGCCTCCTTATCCATGACCTTGAAAAGACAGATGCGGGTTTATACACCTGTGATATTGGCACTGATGTCGCCAAGTCAAAGGTCAGCGTTCAGGGTGAGTATTGTAGATGGTGGCCAGTCAAGGGGTCCTGCAAATATGGGTGGGCTTGGTCACTTTGTCTCACACTTATTCCTCCATAAACCTCACCTGACAGTGATGTCTGAACAATCCCTGTTACTCTTTCCTGTAAGTACATCTGGTGTTTCAGTGAAAATCACATGCCAAGAATGTAGTGACAATGTTTCCATCCTGAACATCCTTAAGGTGCAGAAATCCTCCCAGAAGAGCAAGTAATTTTTCAAAATAAAGCCCAAAACCAAAAAAATAAATCACCCAAGCAGCTTGTGTTTCGCATTTCTGAGCTATTAATTCAGAGTCCATTGTGGGAACACAAAAATAGGAAATCAACATTGTCTATTGAAGAACCCAGCAGTTCAACCTGTCCTCTAATCCTTGTGGCTGCTTGAAGGAAAGAGAATTGTTCATGGCTTTCAACCTCATACTGATAATGAGACAAATTTTGAATTTGTCTGATTTGAACACCAGGAGGGATAGGATGGTAAGAAGTTAACAAATACAAACGTCCCATTTCTCACATCAGCATGGAGAAAAACCTCACACAACGTCCCAGAGGCTTCCTGCCTGACAGGTTTTCTCCCCTCTAACTCATTGAATCTTGACTCTGCTCCACCAAGTGAGCTGTTCTTCATGCAGTCCCTCCAGAGCAAAGCCAGGAGACTCATGTGTCCCTTTTTCTATAGCTTTGCGGTGATTCTGAGTGGATATGTCTGAGAAATCCTTCCCATGTCAAATATATTTGGTGGAATATATACTGGAATATATATTCAAGGAATTCAGTGCTGTCTTGCCTCTCCTACAGCTGGAATGTATATTCAAGGAATTCAGTGCTGTCTTGCCTCTCCTACAGATAAACCAGTCTCATGAGCTCAAAATGTCAATACTACTACTGATGTTAGTCATAAATGCCTTTTATCCTTGTATTAACTGACCTTTTGCCTTCCAGAACTGAACATTGGCATCACTAAACGGTTGAAGAACACTGAAATCCAGGAGGGAGAAGATTGCACTTTTGAGTGTATTTTGTCCCATGAAAGCATCGATGACTTCAACTGGACACTGAATGGGAACAAAGTGGAAAGCGGTGGACGATTTAAAGCCTCTAACATGGGTCGGAAATATACGCTCAATATCAAAAGTGTGACTTCTGATGATGCTGGGGAAATCATTTTCACTGCCCGTGGTCTAACCTCCAAGGCTTCTCTGGTTGTGAAAGGTAAGGAAATCAGAAAGGTTCTGGGATTTGGTTTCTTGTGTGTCTTTTCATAAGGTTTGTCAGTAAATCATGAAGGCAAACTCTTGTTGGGATCAAAGCGAAGAGCAGCCTTCTCTGGGAGCCTCGAAACATTGAGAATTCTTCCTAAAAACAAGTGAAAGGCTGAAACTTTTAATAGATATTTAAGGCTTGCAGAATACACTGGGTAGTGTAATTGTTCAGACAATTGCTACCCTGACTGTGTGCAACTGAGATAATCACCCAGGACTCCCTGGGTAGTCAGTGGGAAGAAGAAATATGGAGTTTTCAGACATGGTTCATCATCCAGTTAGTCCTATTTAGCCCAAATTAAGCTGTTTCTTGAATTCTATTGCCTGTACTTGGCAGATCACTGCTGGCTGTAGAGGGAGCGCCTCTGCTACATATCTCTATAGTGTGGATGTCTGCATTTAATGAGGTAGATCCCACCCTAAGTACACACCCAGAGTAGCTTCAGTGATGCCAAAATGACATCCTCTGACATGGATGTTCCTGTAAGCAATCCTTAGTATTCACTGAGAGCCCATAACAGCAATTAACGTGTAGTTTACAGACATGGTTCATCATCCAGTTAGTCCTATTTAGCCCAAATTAAGCTGTTTCTTGAATTCTATTGCCTGTACTTGGCAGATCACTGCTGGCTGTAGAGGGAGCGCCTCTGCTACATATCTCTATAGTGTGGATGTCTGCATTTAATGAGGTAGATCCCACCCTAAGTACACACCCAGAGTAGCTTCAGTGATGCCAAAATGACATCCTCTGACATGGATGTTCCTGTAAGCAATCCTTAGTATTCACTGAGAGCCCATAACAGCAATTAACGTGTACTAAAGAGCAAGATTGCTTTTCCCTTCCATTTCCTTGGGGAAATTTCCTTGAATTGCAAAACTCGCAACCATATAGTCATCATGATTTTTGTTCAAAGTTCTCCTCTTTTCTTTTTTCCCCCCTTCTCTTCAGAAAAGCCCACCGAGGTAACAAAACAGCTGGAGGATAAAACATCGGTGGCAGGGCAGGACATCACCCTGAACTGTGAATTGTCAAAACCTGACGTGAACATCAGGTGGTACAAGGACGGCAAAGCAATCCGAAAAAGCCAGAAATATGACTTACTCCAAGAGGGAACACGGGCCATTCTGATCATCCGTGACTCCACGGTGAAGGACAGTGGGGAGTACACCTGTGAGACAGAGGTCTTTAAAACCAAAGCCACGATCACAGTGCAAGGTCAGATATCTACAGATACCTACAGCCTGTGGGAGATGTTCTTCTCTTCTGTCTCCCTAAACAGGACCAATTTTTAGCTTTCAAAAAATGTCATGGATTAAAAGCTTTAAAAAAAAAAAAAAACCTCTGAAAAAAACACCTTGTAGGTGCTGAAGAATCTTATGTGCTATGTAACGAGCCAATAAAAATTGGGTGTTTGAATTAGTCTTTTTTGAATACAGGTGATGCATTTTGGTATTACAGATAATACTTATCTGTAAGTTATTCTGCCAGGAAAGATCTCACCAGCACCTGTACTATGACATTAAACTTTTCAGGTATCTTCTGGAAGTATGTTATCTGATATAGCCTGTGACATGAGATGGACCTGGTGATCTTCTCAGATCCTTTTCATCTCTATATTCTGTGATTCTACAGGTGGGGGCAGAGGGGATTCAAGACCATTCTATATGCACAGGACTTGTTTTGGTAACAAATCTTTGTTTCTCTCTCTCTCCTTTGTTTTCCTTGCAGAAAAACCTAATTATTTTGTCAAGGAACTTTCAGATCTAAAAGTTGATGAAAGTGGAACTGCAGTTTTTATGTGCCAGAGTGAAAGAGCTGCATCTTCTGTGGTCTGGAGGAAAGGCATAGCTGAACTCAGGGCTGGCAGGAAATACGAGATCACACAGAAAGGACAAGTCCTGCAGCTGACCATAAAGAACTTGGAGAAAAGTGACAGTGACACTTACAGCTGCGACATTGGTGATGCCCAGTCCAGAGCCAAGCTAGTCGTGCAAGGTAAGCATGAGAGGAATGTGGTTGTGTGTCCTGTTTCACCATCAGAACACATTCTATCAGGATCTATTAGGATCAACATCAGATGTATCTTGGTATAGAGTGAAAACCTTATTTAATTTATTTATTTAGATAGGTGTATATCTGTCTGTATTTGTACAGACAAGTTTTCAGGGCTGCTGTTTCGTTTCTATTCCCAAAGCTGCAGTCAGACACCCTCTCCACTTCCCACTGTATTTATGGTTAGACTAAGCTCAAAGAAGGTGAATCTTGGTGGTCCTAGCCCATAGCCAGCAAGTCATATATGATCTAGAAAATCAGAGAGGTATCATGGGGAGCGATCATCTGCTGAGTGTTGTCTAGAGACAAATGATGAGATCAGTGCTGCATCCTTTCAGCCTTTCCAGATAGTTTTGTTAAGAGAAACTTTATAACACTGGATTTGCATTGTACTGGCTATTCGTTTTGCTACATGTGTTCTGCTGCTTTGAAGTTGTCTTCATCCTATGTTGGTTTGTGTCATGTATATATTATCTTCCTGTGAATGTTTTTTTTATGTTCAATAACTGGGGAATCGTGTTTCAGTCTTCTGTATCATGAACATATTTCTGTCTTGAAATACATGGGAAATCTTGGAGTTTTCCATACCTATTTTCATGCTAGAAACTGAAGGTTCCAGTAATTGATGTGTCTATGTTCCTTTCAGGCCAGAAAGTGCTAATAACAGAAGACCTGGAAGATGTCACTGTGTTAGAAGGAGAATCTGCCATGTTCAAATGCAGAATCTCTCCCATAGACTATAGCAAAGTGCAGTGGTTTTTGGATAAAACCCCACTCCATACCAATGAACTTAATGACATCCAGTCTCAGCCTGGGGGATATCACCTGCTAACGTTGAAAAAACTCTCTCTGAAGGACTCGGGGGTCATTACATTTGAAGCTGGTGATAAGAAAACATCTGCCAGTTTGGTTGTTAAAGGTAATTCAATCATAAAAACTGCAGGAGAGGGAAGAATGTGTAGAAATAAGTATGGGTTAATGTGGGTAGGTGGAAAAAAAGAACAAAATTGCTACAAATTTGGCCCCATGATGTATGTGTTCAAGAATAGCATTACCTATATATTGAAGATATGGCTGGGGAATGAACACTTGGTAATTCTGGACAACTTTTAGAGTGTTTACTGGACTCTAGATGGGAATGTTATACTGTAGTGGTGGTACATTGGACGTGTGGTCCAGTTTATCGCAGCTGAGCCAATAGGTTGATGATAAATGAGGAGAAATCAATTAGTTTAAGAGAAAAAAAGAGTAAGCATTAAGGTTTTCATTTAGTATTGATTTTTTGAAAGGCAACATTACATATGCTTTCTGCTATTGTTGAATTGTTTTCTCTGGAAAGGTTAAACTGAGTTAAAACTGCAGTGTTAGTCACTTCTATAGTGAGGGGGAAAATGGATGCCAAACAACCTAAGATTGCAGGATCAGAGAGGTATTTTCTTACTGGAAACAAATATTTTTCATCGCCTAGAGACATAAAACACACAGTCTCCACCGTGTCAGGTCGTATTCTCATTATTTTCAGAATCACCATGTTTCTTGCTAAGAAAGGTCTTTTTTACAAAAGGCTGATTCCTTCTGGTAACACTAATATTTAATGCTATTGTTCCAAAACCAGGTTTTGGTCTCCTGGTTGATTGATTGGATTTTTATGAATGAAAAAGCATGAAGTTAGGGGGGATAAGATCTGCCTTGGGCAATTTAGCTATTGGAATCTGGCTTAGACTGCTTCTCTAAGCTGTGTAGAAAGACAAGCACTTCCAGAGAGCAGTTCATCTTCTCTCTCCTAATGACCTGCTTTGGAAGTGAGTATCTGGTCTCTGGAGGTGTCTGTCATCTCCCAGTGGTTATAGAGACACTCTACAGGATCAGTCTGGGCTACCTGCCTGGTTTTAGATGACTCATAATGATGAGATGAGACCTGATCTGGATGACTGGCTTTGAGAAACCTGTATTACACCTCCCTTTCCACATTCAGTTGGAAAGTTCAAACTAATCAGCTCACACAGAAAAGGGCTTAGGAAAATTGTGTCGTATTTAATGAGATGCGAGAGATATTTATGTTCTTCAACAGGGATATTGTCTTCTCAGTTTCTCCCAGATGACATTAGGTATTTACTAAATGAGTTTTTATGGCATGACTGGTGCCTTCCTGAAGAATTTACAGTCCTATGGAATTTACATGAACACCAAATTATTTGTGACTAACCTTGACCTGTAATTTTGATCCAAGTAATCTCAGATGTAAATCTCACAGATTACTTGTGATCTGAAAATCTGAACCTCTTCTGAAATATCTCAGACGGTTTTTATGTGATTCTAGAGAAGCCCTGCGTCTTCACAAAGGAGCTGGTTGATACTGAAGTCACTGAGGGAGAGGATGTGATCCTTCACTGTGAAACCTCCAAATCAGACAGCCCTGTAAAGTGGTGCAAAGACGGGAAGAGCCTTAGGAATTCTTCCAAGTATAACATCAGCCGGTCGGGATTTGAAGCCAAGCTTGTCATTCACAGGGCAGAAGAAAGAGACAGTGGCAGATATGAGTGTGAGGCTGGAGCAGCTAAAAGTAGTGCCATTATTACTGTCAAGGGTAAGAACATTTGGAGTGATGGTTTGGGTCTTAACTCATCATCTAACACCAAGGTCAGAGTAATAAATTGAAATGATAAAAACATGAAACTATGCTGAAAAGGAACCGCGTGTCTTTGCACCGCAGTGCAGAAGAGGTTCTCATCAAGTCATCTGGCACAGCTCCCAGGTGATTTTAGCTCAGTGAATGTTAAGTGCCTGAGCTTTCTGGAGCAGAGCACAATGGGTCAGTAGAGAAGAGTGAGCATCTCTGTAGGAGATCCACCCAGCCAAAGCGGTAATACAGAAAAAGGGTGAATCACCTTCTGAAGCTGTCTCCAGTGATGGCCCTCTCCAAGGAGGGAACTTATACACCCACATTTGTCTGGGTAACTGCAGCCAAATTTATTGAGTAGTGCATCCAAATTTTTTGTTCCGAAGATCAGGAGATTCTGAAGGCAGGAGGTGCTATCTGAAATGCTGTTTTCTGAAGCATTGCTATCTGAGATGGAGAAAAAGTTCTCTTCTTAGACACATGAGACTTTAATGTACTTCCTTGAGCATTTTGGATAAGAACCATGTGCTACCACCACATGCTACCCACCTTAAAATTGCTCCAGCCTGAGGTTGAGGAGGAGTTTGGCAGGTTCAAGCAGATAAACTGAGGCCATTAATGGCACAGGCTGGTTTTAGCCTGACGAGTAGCTACCTGACATGTACCTGGATTAGAGAAGTCAATGTGAACAAAAACCACTTGAATTGTTGGAATAGTCAACCTGAACCTCAGAGCATGAAAAGGGAAGGCAAGGTACTCACAGTATTTGTCTAGAGCACAAAGAAACGAGTCTATGTCAGGCTGCAATCTGTTGTGCAAAGAAAGAGAAGACCTTGAATGATATAACAAGAAGAGAAGCGATGGTAAAACGGTCCAGATTTGCTACGTCTTTCATTAGTACTGAGGTGCTTTCCCAATGCCTGTATCACAAAAAAGAAAGGTCTATGCTGACTTTAGTAGGACCTGAATCTCACCCATGATGAGGATGAAATTTTCTATTAGAAAAACCCCACTCATAATGAGTGTTAAGCAACAGCTTCGTTTTTCCCTTCACAAAGAAGGGTGTGGATGGATTTGATGCAAGATTTAAACTCAGATCGCCAGTAGATGTGAAGGGGTCAAGTCATCAGGATGCCTACAACAAATTAAAGTGTTGTAGCTTTCTTTTATCTATTAGTGTCACGTCAGAACAGCAGAATGAAAAAAAAAATAGGAAGAAATCAAAAAAGCCCAGTAGCCACATGACACTGAGTGTCCCAAACTAGAGGTAAAAGGTCATGTCAGAACAGCAGAATGAAAAAAAAAAATAGGAAGAAACCAAAAAAGCCCAGTAACCACGTGACACTGAGTGTCCCAAACTAGAGGTAAAAGGGGAACAGAACAATAGGCTGTATTTTTTCAAAAGCCACAGGGCAGCTGCATCACAGATCAGTGGCTGACTTGCATATTCATAAGACAGCAGAAGGCAGGAAGAAATTAGGGTTGTTTTTTCATGACCTGAAAGGAAAACACTTCAGTGGAGGTGTCGGGTTTTTTTTTCCCAAAAAATGCCTCCTCTACACTAGCTCACCTTAAAGCCTTGAATCCCAGGCTGTGATAGAGCCTGCACAGGAATCTCCACGGGGACCCTGTCACGTACAGCTGTGCTTTCCTCTCTGTGTATGCTCTGTGCTGGTTTTAAGTCTGTATTCATGTCTGATAAAAATATGTTGCAGATTTTTTTTTTTATAAAAAGTCAGTGATAACTCACATCCCCAGAAGTGGTCAAGACCTTATTGGACTGGGAGCAACCTGGTCTAGTGGGAGATGTCCCTGCCCATGGAAGGAGAGTTGAACTCGATAATCTTTAAGGTCCCTTCCAACTCTAATCATTCTACGATTCTATGAATACTGCTGGGGCTGGTAATGACAGGAAGTGCTTTGCCATTTCTTTGTGTCCTCTGTGTTATGTGCGAGTTAATCTCAATAAAGTCTTTCGGTTTTTGTGATCCAGTGATCCAAGCTCCAACTGCCCATCCACAACATGTTGTTTGTGTCATTAATAGTAGCGCAGCATCTGCCACTAATGCTAAAAATGACAACAGTAGTAGTCACAATGTCTTCAATAGTACAGATAATAGTTACATGGAAGAAAAACCCATATGGTCTCAAATATTTTGTGCTGCACCAGGGTGATGGGAGCCAGATGTGAGGTGTAAGAATCTGTTTACTGTTTTAGTAAACTGTTTACTGTTAGTGCTTTTTTTGTTCCTGTGCTTTTCTATCTGAATAGCATAGCCTGAAACAAAAAGGAAAAAGTTATTTCCCATCTCCTTAAACATCTGCAATGTTCTTTTTCAGAAACGCCAGTTCTCTTCAAGCAAGAGCTCCAAAATGAAGAAGCTAAAGAAGGAAAGCAAGTGAAGCTGACCTGTGAGCTCAGCAAACCTGATACCCCGGTGAAATGGATGAAAGGAGACACTGTTCTCTATGCCAGCGAGAAGTATGAATTTAAGCAGCGGGGTACGGTGGCAGAGCTCATTATTCGAGATGTCAAAACTGTAGATGCTGGGGAATATACCTGCAGCACCGGGGAACTGAAGACCACTGCTCGGGTGAAAGTAAATGGTAGGCAGAGTTAAATATGTTGCTACACTTTCTTAATGCGCTCCATAATCAATCTTCTATTAAAAAAAATAAATCACATAGCACTTAATTTTTGTGGCAGTGCCATCTACAAATTCGTATGTAAAATTTAAAGGTAATATTGAGTACTTGTAAACATCTGTATGTATTTCATTCATGTGATCTCATATTATGCATCTCAGATTTTAAATCTGTAGCTTCCCACTGAACAAAAAATAGGTGCAATGGGTTTGCTCTCTATACCCAACGTGCCATAGTTCCTGACCTGTCAGCTTTTTTACATGGCTGTGATTAAGAGTGGAGTTGAAAACCAGGAACATGGGAGTACAAGAAGACAATGAAAGCATAAGTCAAGTCTAGTCCCTGATTAATAGTTAGACCCCCAAACTCCCAAATGCACCCTTTTTTAAAGGCTCTTTGATGTCATCTGCACTCCCCAGTGCCATTAAACAAATGCAGTACCTTCAGTAATATAGCAAAAGTAGTATGTGCTGGAGTAGAATTGGGGAGAGATATCGAGCATGAACGCTGTCTCAGAGCAGCAGGGAATTTAGATGAGGATGCTCAGAGGACTCTGAAGGGGTCCATGTTAAAGATTAATCTTACCCCATGACCCTAGGAATCTACAGTGAGATTGCAGAATCACAGAATCATAGAATGATATGGAGTTGGAAAGGACCTCTGGAGTTCATCTAGTCCAACCCCCCTGCCAAAGCAGGTCCACCTAGAGCAGGTTGCACAGGAATGTGTGCGGGTGGGTTTTGAATGTCTCCAGAGATGGAGACTCCACCACCTCTCTGGGCAGCCTCTTCCAGGGCTCTCCCAGCCTCACAGGAAAGAAGTTCCTCCTCATGTTGAGATGGAACTTCTTATGGTCAAGTTTGTGCTCATTTCCTCTTGTCCTGTCATGGGGGACCACTGAGAAAAGACCAGCCCCATCCTCCTGACACTCACCATTTAAGTATTCATAGGTGTTGATCAGATCTCCCCTCAGTCTTGTCTTCTCCAGACTAAAAGACCCAAGTCCCTCAGCTTTTCCTCATAAGAGAGATGTTCTAGGCCCCAAATCAGATTATAACATCTGAGGAGGGATTTCTTCCTCCTCCCAAGCAGAATCACTTTGATTCCACACAGCCAAGGGAGAGCCTAGGGCTGCTCTGCTTATTTGGAAATTAATCAGTTTTAAGGGGTGACAGCCATCATGGGGGACTAGTTGTACAGCAGGTCAAGAGGGCACGTCCTAATCCCTGGCTCTGTGTTCTAGCTGTGCCTGTCCTTTTCAAACAAGCCCTGGAGAACACGGAAATGGAAGAGGGGAAATCTGTCTCCTTGCGCTGCGAACTCACAAAAGCTGATGCCACCGTGGTGTGGAAGAAGGGAGAAGCCGCCCTCCAGGCAAGTGCCAAATATGAAATGAAGCAGAAGGGGACAGTGGCAGAGCTGGTGATTCATAATGCAGAGCCAGAAGATGCGGGAAGATACACCTGTGACACTGGAGACCAGCAGACCACAGCCCAAGTCAAAATCCATGGTAGGAATAAGACACCTGCTTGTGACCATTTGTTGTTGTTCTTGCCGTGGTCCTGCCAGCTCCTGCGCGTTTAGAGTGAGCATTCAGAGATTAAAAAAAAAGGGGATGAGTACAAACAAAAGGCAGCTCTGGCTGGGCCCACAATGTCCTCTGTTTTCTAGGACAAAAACTTCATGCTAAAACATAGCAATCAAACATACCTGACAACAATATCTTTCCTTGCCTCTGAAATAATGGTTCTGCTTTCTGCTCTGGACAGAGGTGTTTGAGCTCTAAGGAAGGTAAGAAGGGCCTCAGCTACACATTTTCTTAAAGAATATGCAATTCTCTCCTGCAATTTCTCAGCAAGTTTTTCACTCGTCTGTGACCATCAGCATTTGGGCAGCAGAAGGCTAATTACCTTGATATCAGGAAATAATTGTTTTGGTTTTATTTTCTCCTGAACTGGTGGTGTGCTATTGTAAATGCGAGCAGTGTCCTGGAAGTACAGGTAGGTCAGAGCTTATTAGCTGTGCCAAGAGAATTTGTTTTAAGTCCCATATGAGGTCACCAGATGGTAATGATGCTCCTAAAGTAAAATGAGAATGCTTCATTCCTCAGCTGTCTCTGCGCTCATCAAAGAAGAGCTGAAAAGTGTAGAAGCCATGGAAGGTGGGACTGCCACCCTGCAATGCCAGCTGAGCAGAGAGGCCCCCGTGGAGTGGAGGAAGGGGCACACTCTTCTCCGGCCGAGTAACAAGTACAGGATGAGGCAGGAGGGCACAGTGGCTGAGCTGCTGATCCACGATCTGGACCCAAAGGATGCTGGAGACTATACATGTGTAGTGGGGAACCAAAAAACCACAGCAGCCTTATCAGTGAATGGTAAAAAGTCAGCAATAACCTGTGAAGCTCTGGAACGTTTTTGTCCATCTCTTCCCTCCTCCTCCCTGTACCTTCCCTCACAACACCTGCCTTTGTGTCCTGCTTCTACATTTTTCATCCTTCCACTTTTTCATGTTGCCATGTCACTCCTTTCCCCAATCTCCATCTACCATCAGCTTTCATTATGCCAAATGTTGGACGTGTGTGTGTTGTGTTGTCTTCTCACCCTTCCTCGAGTGAAGGCTGCTCATGTGTGTGTCTGTTTTCCTGAATTAGTATGGAAACATAAGATTCCTTGGGATTTTCTGTTAAGGAGGGCTCATCATCTTCATTGATGAGGATGAGTTTGTCATTTGTATGCATGATCCCAGTCAAGATCACGCATGCTTTGATTTTCACAGAATAATTTACAGGAGTAGGGTTTTTTTACCAGCCACATAAAAAGGACAGGATGTGCTTAAGGGTGTTAGAATAAGGCTTAGGTAGATAATAAATGACGATTCAGCCTCTGACCCAGAGATCTGGGCAGGGTCTTGGGTTGCAACCCCTTTTCATTCTGCATCTCCCAGCCCTGCCAGTCCGTTTCAAAAAAGAGCTGAAGAACGAGGAAGCCACAGAGAGCGGGACGGCCACGCTGCAGTGCGAGCTGAGCCAGGCGGTGGGCTCGGTGGAGTGGAGGAAGGACGGGAAGGTCTTGGTGCCAAATGGCAAATACAAAATGAGACGGGAAGGGCGTTTTGTCGAGCTGGTAATCCAAGACCTGGACTTGACGGATGCTGGGAACTATACCTGCTTGTGTGGAGACCAGAAGACAACAGCGGCTTTGAGAGTGAATGGTAACCGTTCTATCCATGTTTCTCATTAAGCCCCCAAATTAGCATGTTTGACAGCATTTCCTTGTCATCTGAAGCTTTGTCAGTGTGACTTTTTAGAGGTTTCACGTTCTTGGCTCTGTGGTGCCAAAGAGTCAACCTATTAGAGAATATTTCCTTGTGCTTTTTTTTTCTTTTTGCTCTGACACAGCACAGTTATGTTGTATATTGTTTTCTGTAATTTATTTCTCTCTAGGAGTTTTTATCCCTCTTTCAAATGTATCCACCTAGCAGTAGTGCATTTTTGGTTAAACGTATACACTGCAGCCCAGTAACTAATAGCAAAGTCAGGTTCACTTCAACCTAGTGCTGATTCCTTCTCTGTTGGTGTTGCATCCTTCAGCCTTGCCCATCCTCTTCCAAGAAGAAATGTTGAACAAAGAAGCTACAGAGGGGGAGGCAGTCACTTTGCACTGTAAACTGAGCAAACCAGCCCCGGTTGAGTGGAGAAAGGGGAATAAGGTCCTCAAGCCAAGTGAAAAATACAAAATAGAGCAGGAAGGTCCCTTTGTGGAGCTGGAGATCCAGGATTTGGATTTGGCAGACACTGGTGATTACACCTGTGTGTGTGGAGATCAACAGACTACAGCTGCTTTGACAGTAAATGGTAAAATGAAATTCTCAGCACGTGCTCCAAGTAAACCTGTACAATTCCAAACTCTCCTCTTCTTCTTCTCCTGTTTCATCTGGTCCCTGTATACTTTATATCCTCCCTTCTGCCGATTCATTTTTCTATCCTGTTTTCCTTCTCTCTCTCTCTGTCCTTTCACCTGATGCCCTCTTGATGTGCTGTCTGTCTTCCTAGATGTTCATATGACAAGTGGAATACAGGTCCCCAACTCAAAACAATCTCTCTAGTCCAGCAGAGCTGCTTGTTTAAAAGTTTTCCCATAGGGGATTGACCTAAAAGTGTGAATAATATTTACCTTTTGTAACTTAAGTGCAACAAGTGTAACAGTCTAAGAGGAACAAGTTTCCCTCAATGAACGATGTTACAAAAGGACTATCTTAATGAAAAATTGCCTTATTCTCCTATTATTCCCAACCTTTTTTTTAACCAATTTTGACTTAACTCTTCGAAAGCATATACTTTATCTCTGCAGATACCTGACAGTGTGTTTGTAACTGCTCTGGTTTAAGGAGCATTATTTATAAAAATACAATCAGTGCCATGCATCAGGTACTTCTGTAGAACTGCTGTTTTTCTGAAGGGAAAACAAAATGCTTTGGGTCTCATATTGAAACACAGCCTCTGATTTTACCCCTTTGATTTTATGGTGTATAAAGTGAAGGATAAATGGCTTGTCAACTCAGTTTGCTGATAGACAAACTCATTTTTTTAAAGCAAGTTTTAAAGTGTGAGGGCAAAATATTAAAAATTAGACTGAAATCTCTTTTGAAGTATTAGAGATAGGAACAAAATCCTGGAGCGTGAAGGTCTTGTGGCTTCAGTGACGTGCAGGCTGAGGGAGATAAGAGAAGAAAGTGAGTAGGTCACGATTCAAGCTTTCTCAGGTTTGATGCTGTGTCCGTGTTGCCTTTACTCTGCAGTCCTGCCTGCTCTTTTCACCAAAGAACTGACAGATGAAGAGGCCATAGAAGGCAAAAGTGTCTCTCTGCACTGTGAGCTGAACAAGGCTGCTGCTAACGTGGAGTGGAAGAAGGGCTTCAAGACCCTCAAATCAAGTGACAAGTATAAAATGAAACGTGAAGGTGTTGTTGCTGAGCTTATAATCCAAAATCTAGACACGACGGATGCTGGAAATTATTCCTGTGTGTGCGGAGACCAGCAGACTATGGCAGTTTTAACAGTACATGGTAAAACAAACAAAACAAGACGCATACTAAAAGTAACTATCCTGTTTTCTCTGTTATTTGGACAGAGAAAAGGTGTTAGGGTCTAGTATTTTACTTTTCCCCTTGAAAGTTCTTTTATTAGACTCCTCATTATGCTCAAGCCAAATAAAATGGATTACCTCTAAGGGACTATGACTTTTAGGGATTTTAAGGTTTCATAAAATTCCCAAGAGTTAGGTTATTCCTTGGAATCTTATTCCTATACTTCATTCCTGGGACAACGAGGTGCTTTTATATACATGGACCAGTTGTCATTACATTCAGTTACTCTCCTTTGTAAAGCAAACCCAAACCTTCTAAGGGACAACCATTGCCAGGGAGAATTTTGATTTTTACTGCAACTGACACATTTGAAAGGATATGTCAGTTCAGGTGAAAATACTTGTTATCCCACCGTGTATTGAAATGAGCAACTTCATTTCAAACTGACTCCAATGTTTCTTTTTTTTTTTTTTAATAGGCAATGTATTTTCATTTCCCTAAGTATGTGAAAACATAACATACATTCTCCCATTATGATTTAAAACATCATAAAAGAAAACCAATTTTTTTCAGAAATTTCAAATTAATATTCTTTTAGCTTGAAATTTCTCAGGAAAAAAAATGGGTTTTCTTCTTTTGTCTGTGTTGATTTGTGACTCTGAGTACATGTAAAAAACCTGTATTACTGCAAGCATTGATTCCTGTTGAAGGCATTTCTTCCTCATACTGATTCATGAAGACTATTGACGATCTGTGTTCTTGTATTGGTAAATTTGTTCAAGATAAAAGGCAAATTGAACACTGACATTTAATTTTATGTCTTCGGAGCGTTACATCTCAATGCTCATATTGCTGTCCTTCAGCTTTGCCTGCCTTTTTCAAAGAAGGATTGAAGAACAGAGAAGCCACGGATGGTGCAACAGCCACTCTGCGTTGTGAGCTGAGCAAGGTTGGGGTCCCGGTGGAGTGGAAAAAAGGGAACAAGACACTCAAACCCAGTGATAAGTATAGGATGAGACAAGAAGATACCACTGCAGAGCTCTTGATCCGAGATCTGGAGGTAGAAGATACAGGAGAATATACCTGTGTGTGTGGAGATCAGAAGACCTCAGCTGTCTTGACAGTCCATGGTAAAAAAAGTTGTTCTTTTTTATGGTAGCAGTATCTCAGGGAGATATTTTTGCTCTGGGAGTTCTCTCTCACTCGCTTTGATGGTTGGATTCTGCAGCATTTTCTTGCTTTGCTGGCTGTGTTTCACCCCATCTCCTACCATCTGTTGGTTCGAAACTGGTGGCTTTATGGCGAAGTAAAGAAGAGTTGTGAGAATTTATCATCTTAGTCTTTGCTTTTTACAAGGGAAAAAGGCACCTGTATGTAAGGCCAAAACTAAGCAGACATCCAGGTTCTCAGAGGGTTTGTCCCTGTGTCCCATTGACATCAGTGGATTTTGGTGCTTAACTTGAAGGAATGATGCAAAACTAAGCAGACATCCAGGCTCTCAGAGGCTTTGTCCCTGTGTCCCATTGATGTCAGCGGATTTTGGTGCTTAACTTGAAGGAATGATGACACCCCATCTCCTACCATCTGTTCATTTGGAACTGGTGGCTTTATGGTGAAGTAAAGAAGAGTTGTGAGAATTTCTCATCTTAGTCTTTGCTTTTTACAAGGGAAAAAGGCACCTGTATGTAAGGCCAAAACTAAGCAGACATCCAGGTTCTCAGAGGGTTTGTCCCTGTGTCCCATTGACATCAGTGGATTTTGGTGCTTAACTTGAAGGAATGATCTTTAAAAACACTGAATTCAGTGAGGCAGTTCCAACAGATGAAAGAATAGCTTTTATTTGAGATGTCTTAAGGATAAGATGCTTCTAAGGACAGGGACAAAACTATGGAGGCAAAACTGTCTTCTCTCAGATTTTTTTCATGCTTCTATTTCCTCTCTTTCCCCCAGCTGAAGGTATTTTTGTTCTTCCCCTCCTCTGAGCTGGCACTTTCTTCCCTGTGCAAGTCGCTTCCTTTTTAATTTGGTTGCAACACCATAAGGCAACTTGCTGAATGTAGTTATAAAAAAATATAAAAAGCTCTGCATGCCTGATATTAGAGCCATTACGTCCTTGGAAATTATGACTTCACGGTGCACCTTTTCTTTTTTTTTTTTTTTTTTTTTTTACAAAAAAAAAAAAAAAAAAAAAAAGAAAAAAAAGCCTCTGAGCTGGCACTTTCTTCCCTGTGCAAGTCGCTTCCTTTTTAATTTGGTTGCAACACCATAAGGCAACTTGCTGAATGTTGCTATAAAAAAATATAAAAAGCTCTGCATGCCTGATATTAGAGCCATTACATCCTTGGAAATTATGGCTTCACAATGCACCTTTTTTTTTTTTTTCTGAACAAGAAAGACAAATTTTGACGTGAGGAAAGGTAGAGATCTGCAGTTAGCAGTGCCGTCATCCAGAGCAATGACTTTTGATCAAAAGTCAGGTTGTTAATATTCAAGATAGATGAATTCAGACTGAAATAGGTGGAGTACCAGAATGAGCTGGGAATGTCCTTGGAAATTATGACTTCACGGTGCACCTTTTCTTTTTTTTTTTTTTTTTTTTTGATGGTCATTAATATTCAAGATAGATGAACTCAGGCCGAAATAGGTGGAGTACCAGAGTGAGCTGGGAATTGATGAGCATGCTGCATAAGTCAATATAAGAAGCAGGTCGTGGTGGCAATTATCCCTGTGAGATCCTGCAGTAGTTTTCTGGTAGATGCAGTTTTCAAGACTACGTGATTTGTTTTCCTGTGACAGTGAAGGACTGGCCTCAGGACCAAGTCCTAATTTCCTCAGGGCCTGGTTAATGGTTTTGATGTACTCTCTGTTAATATTCAAGATAGATGAATTCAGACTGAAATAGGTGGAGTACCAGAATGAGCTGGGAATTGATGAGCATGCTGCATAAGTCAATATAAGAAGCAGGTCGTGGTGGCAATTATCCCTGTGAGATCCTGCAGTAGTTTTCTGGTAGATGCAGCAAGACTACGTGATTTGTTTGCTGTGATAGTGAAGGACTGGCCTCAGGACCAAGTCCTAATTTCCTCAGGGCCTGGTTAATGGTTTTGATGTACTCTCTGTTTATATTACGTCCCGTAGCTTTGCCCGCACTGTTCAAAAAAGAACTTGCCAATATGGAAGCCACAGAAAAGGGGACGGCCGTGCTGCAGTGTGAGTTATCTAAACCCACTCCGGTGGAGTGGAGGAGAGGGCAAGAGGTGCTCAAGCCCAGTGAGAAGTATAAAATGAGAATGAAGGATACCGTTGCTGAGCTGACAATCCACAGCCTGGAGGAACAAGATGCAGGAGATTACACATGTGTGTGTGGAGACAAGACGACTACCGCGTCCCTGACAGTGCATGGTAAAATACATACCTTTAATAGGGATTTTCTGCTTTGTCATCTGCAATCTCATGCAGGGTCGCAAACTGGTCTTGATCCCATCTATTAGTTTTGAGGTATGACAGCTCTACCAACCACTGGTAATGTCTTTTATTGAAAGTCCTTCTCTTAGGACTGAGAAATAGCACAATACGATCTTTTCTGTCCTTTTTTTTTTCCTGTTAATGGAATCTGGAAGCAGATTGTGAAAACTTCGGTGAAGTTGTGAATAGCACTTTCAGTGTTTCCTTTAAGTAATTTCTCTAGGCGTATCTCTGAGATTTCACTTGGTTTTCTTGAATGGAACTGAATGGTGCTCTGTGTTGTTAACAAGTGAGACAGACAGGTGAGAATGACACGCTGCAGCCTGGAATTTTAAATAACGTAGTGTTCATTTTAAATGTTCATCCGATCTCGAGACAGAGCTGTGCACAGTTCCTTGAAATCCTGGGATTAGCTTTCTGTTATGTCCTAAAATGCCTTTAAAGCATACTTTCCAGTAGTGAAATTATAGTTTTACAACACTGATTTCCAAACCAGCTATGATATGCTGAATATGGTGTGTTGCAAAGCATAAGGCAGGAACACCCTTGAAATCATCATTTGCCTCTCAGGTACCGTATATTCTAAAACTTTTAGAGATTAAAGGGTTTTAATCCAGTGGAGCAGTCAAGGCACAGTATTTCCTCAGTTTTAAAGTGCTCTCTCTTCACCTGTGATCTTCAGCCCTTCCTCCGCGTTTTAATAAAGAGTTGAAGAATGTGGAAGCCACAGAAAATGGCACGGCCACTTTCTGCTGTGAACTGAACAAGCCAGCAGCTACCGTGGAGTGGAGGAAAGGAGACAGAGCCCTGGAGCCAAGGGGCAAGTTCACCATGAGATGTGAGGGCACAACTGCTGAGCTGGTGATCCATGATTTAGAGCTGACAGATGCTGGAGATTACACGTGCTGTTATGGAGATCAGAAAACCACCGCTGCGCTAAAAGTGAATGGTAAAAAAACCAAACCCAACAAACCCACACATATATAACAAAATTAAGTGGATTATTTTCAGCCAGGTGTTTTTTCAACAGCATAGTAGTATCAGCTTTGAAATTGCAGCTTCGTGTCTGGTTAATGTGGTTGGACGTGGGCATAAACACCTGAATCCACTGGTCAGTATCAGGCATGGATCAGGTGTTCTTTGCAAAAATTTCAGATAATCATCTCGGTACTAACTCATTTCTTTGATGCTTGTGTTCAGTAGGAGTTGCTGAAAAAGGAAAATCATATTATTGTGATGTTGGTTGTAAAGATGTTACAATTTTAAAGTTGAGAATATTACAATTTGGTGATATTTTGATACAGTTTTCAGCGTGTCAGCATAATTTAATGGTCAAGTTCAGCTAGAATCACTGTCTGAGGAGAAATCTCATGGTAAAATGAGATTGATGCCTCAGATACAGTTTAATTTATGAGCTTTTTCAGTAAATATTTGCATTGCAATAGAATTTAGGCTACTTTAGCTTTATTTTCCATTGGGGTAGGCAATACCCAAAAAAAGGTATGGCCCAGTCTTACAGAGTCTGAAGAAGTTGAGAGGTGGTGGTTCTCCATTTCAAGCCATAGTCCATAACATAAAGAAAGGTCTGACTTATGAATAAGGTGGTTTCCATCTTTCCAAAGTCACTGTTTTGTGGTTCTCTGGGTGGTTATCAATCCTGCTTGATTAGGGAGGGCTTTGCTCGTAACATTGGGTTGACAGACCACAGATAAATAGTTATTTGGATAGCTGCCGTGGTCATACATTCTGCTCATTTTGAACTCCTCAGCCTTGCCCGCATGTTTCAAGAAAGAGATGAAGAATGAAGAAGCCACAGAAGGTGGAACAGCCACGCTACAATGTGAGCTATCTAGGGCTGCTTCCGTGGAGTGGAAAAAGAAACACAAAGTGCTCAAATCGAGTGAAAAATATACTATGAGACAGGAAGGTACTACAGCACAACTGCTGATCCATGCTTTGGAAGTCAAGGACGCTGGGGAGTACACCTGTGTGTGTGGAGACAAGAAGACCACCGCAGCACTGACAGTGCATGGTAAAGAAAATAGAAATGAGAAATTTTTGTGTGATGTTTCTCCTGTTTCGTCTGGAAGCCTCAGTACTGACACACAATGAGTTCTTTCTCTAATCTTGCCATCATTAATTGTTGGTAATGGATTTTCCTGTTTTTATTGTGATTTTTATCTAATTCTAAATAGACTTGTAGTTCCATTACTATATTAACATTTTCCCTGTGTTCTTCTTGCTCTTGTTGGTGCACAACTATATTGCTTTGCACCACACTGAAGGCTTAAGGATTCCACGTGCTTAATTTTTTTTTCTGTTTTACTTACCTGTCACTTGAGGCTAGAGAGATAGAGCAGCAGGAACATCCATACTTCTTAGAAAGAGTGATCTTGGATTTCAAGTTACATTAGGATTTTCCAGATAATTTTAAATGCTGCAAGAAAAACTTGATAAAATACAACCTTTTAAATGTAACTCTGACCAAGGATCATGTAGATTTTTATTCTGGTATTGCAGAATACTCGGCATTATAGTGCGAAAGTACTTCACAGTCCTCAGTCAAATTCATCTGCACACTTGCCTTGGAAGAGAGGGAAACTTTCTTTCCACTATTAACGTAGGACAGTAGGAAGTAGTTTCAGCCATCTTTCTCACCTGGAGATTCAGTAGGTCAATGCATTGATTTATTTTTACTGCCTAGTCTTTTTCATCTTGGTATTTACCAATAAAACAAAGATCATTTCAGTCTTGAACTTCTTCTTTAACCATGGAAAACAGAGTTTGAAAAGACCTTTACAAGTCATCTAGTCCATCCTTGAGCCCCAAGTCACCATCACACCTACTTAGCCCCACTCCAGAGCTGAGGAATTTGCCATTCCTCTGGACACTCATTCCATGGCTAGCCATCCGTACTGCCAGAGCATTCTTCCTAATTTCAACAAAAGTCTTTCTCAAGCTGGCTTAAGTCATTGCTTCTTGCCCCATATCCTGTAGAAATAGAGAAATATTTTTCTCTCTGTTAAAAATTTGAAAATTTATATCATGTCTCTTTTCTGTCTTCTCTTTTCTGGACTAAGCACCTTCAATCCTTTCACTCTTTCTTCATAGGTCATGTTTTCTAGACTTCAGCTCATCTTTATTGCTTTCTGGACCATCTTCAGTTAATCCACATCTTTCTAGAAGCATGGTGGCCAAAAGCAGACTACAGTACTCCATCCGACGCTTTGCAAGACTGGAGTAGGACAGAAGGACTTAATGTGTCTTGCATATGATACTGTTTTATAATCCCTATTATGATGTTTGCTTTATTCACATCAGAATTGCATTTTTTGACTTGCATTTAGTCCATGATCCCTTGTAACCCCAAATCTCTCTCTGCAGATTTGCTGCCCATTATTCCAGAACTTGTATTTGTGGTGTTGATTGTTCCTAAATATAGTATTTTGCACTTGCTCTTGCTGAATTGTAGCCTAGTTTTTCACCACAGCTTCATCAAGACCTTCTTCTCCTAATCCTGTTTAACAAAGTGCTTTCAGCCTCTCTCCCTTCCCAGCTTCATATGCAAAGTTAATGACTGTTCTGCATTTCATTGTCCAAGTCACTACAGAAAATGCTAAATAATACTGGACTCCAGCGTACTGAGGAACTCTGCTCAACTCATTCTTTCATTGTGAGTGTAAATCACAGCTGAATACTCATTATTTGCCTGTGGTTTTCAAACTGGCGGCATATCTTCCTGTAGTTCCACCTATATCTAAGTCAGGATTAAGAGCTTTACTGAAACAAATTTGTACAACGTACACTATGTCATTCTGTCAGTGAAGCTTATTAAACTATGACAAGAAAAATTACACTGGTCCACTCCTTCATGAAGAGAAAAGCTCTTGGTAAAACCAAATCTATTGCTACAATATTTTTCAGAGAATTAAAGCTAAGCTGAAAGGGCCAGGATTCCTTGGATCCTCTCTCTGCTGATCCCTTCTCATCCCTTTTTCCAAGACAAGTGCTGTAAATGAGATTCAGCTTGTAGATCAAGACCAGGGATCAAGACCTAAGCTCCCGTTGTTGTCAGTGGAGATCTAGTCAACTTAGTCAATGGAAGCCAGGGAGGCATCCAGTTGACCTTGCAGCAGACATTTAGACTTGTTCAGCTCCATTGACTATGTTGACTTTGTCTGCAGCTTTCTCAACTGTCGTGGGAGCTTAGACTCAGTTTACATGATGCAAACTAACTGTGTGTGAGAATTTTTCCAGCTCTGAGTTTCTTTTTTTTTTCTATAATTTTGGAACATCACCTATTTTCTTTGATTTCTCCAGTGTAACTGTTAATGTCTGATATCGATTGAGCCTGTACCTTAAGTATTCCAGGACGTTTTTTTTCTATGTTTGTGGAACATCACCCATTTTCTTTGATTTCTCCAGTGTAACTGTCTGATATTGATTGAGCCTGTACCTTAAGTATTCCAGGACAAATTTCATTACACCAAGGCGCTTTGAGAATATTCAGTTTATTTAAATGTTCTCTAATCCATTTTTTCTTATCCTATCCAGAATTCCTATTATTTTTTTAGTTATCGTTAACTTGTGATATTAAAGAAGAAAAAGGAATTAAACACTTCAGCTCTCCCTGTTACTTACCATCAACTTATATTCCTGAAAGTTGGTAGACCAATTTCTCCCTTCTTGTTTTTCTTCATTTTCATCTACCTACAGAATGTCATTGTATTATTTCTGCTTCCTTCTAGTTCAGGCTGGCCAGGTTACCTGGGGTTTGCATGCTAATATTCTGATACAGCCAAGAGCCTCAAGTCGAACTGTGACGAGAGGATGAGGAAAGCTCCTGGAGTAGTGATTTCACCACCCAGTTGCTGGATACAAATACATACAGCTGTGTCTGGATACATTTAATATCAGCATCATTTTGCAGGTTACCTTTCACCTGTTCTTTTATGTTGGTCTCTTTGTCCATGAGATGAAAAAGTCCACGAATGGGGAACTGCCCTTGAGCTTCTTGAGACAGGCAGGGAACCTGTCTGGTCTGGGTTTGCCTCTATATTCTGTAGTATTTCTTTTGCGCTCATCTAAACTCCCATATTTTATAGGTCTCTTGAGTCTCTTCAGGACGTTGAAGAATTTGTGATTTAGGCAGGGTATTCCTGATGATCCTTGGAGTGAGGTAATCTGTAATTATGCCCTTATTATAGTTTCTTTGAGGAGTTTTCCATTACCTTAAACTACCTTGTCCTTTAAGTAAGCTTCTTTTTGATCATAAGTAACATTATTGAAGCTTACTTTCTTGTTGATCACAAAATTTCTTTTTGCTCTTCTCAATCATTACTTGTCCTAAAATCCATGAGCTCTCCTGCTTCATACTGGGTGTATGACCAATGATCCTCCGCATCCGTATTCTCAAATATTTATTTCTTGCTGGTCAGAGTCAGGATTTGGAGATACTTCTCTCCTGTTCTTTCGTATCTATTGTATGTCCAAAAGCATTTCCCACCCCATTTCAAAGATGTAGCAGATATTGTCCCATCCTGCTGCTCCCACGCTACATATTATCGTGTTACCATCCAATCTTATGCTCTGAATGATTCTACTAGTTGTTCTAAAAGCACCTGCTGTGAAGATCTTATAGCAGATTTCCACGATGGAGGCATCCTCCTCCTTTCTTTTTATTGTTATCCAAGCACTTTCAGGAAGTCTCTCTGATTCTGCTCTTCAGCCACATTCTAACTCTTGAGCTAGGTCTGTAGGCATCCTTAACATGTAAGGTAAAACCTTTTCATTTTTTCCTGATCATGGTGTAACCTGATTTGTCAATTTCCTGAGCTGAATCATACTGAGAAAGTTACAGTTTTAACCATTACATGAAGTTTTCCCATTCCTGCTGTTTATTCTCCGTACACCTCTAAACCAATCAGCATATTTACCCACTGGAAATCCCTTTTGTGTCTAAGTTATTAATTATTATTTTCCTTCTGTGAGATGATCCTCATGTCAATAACTAGGTGTGGATAGATATTGGTAAACATCAGGTTCATTTTTTTTTGGTGGCCAGGAACTGCATATCATGAAAATGTTTGCTCCTCTGTTTCTCAGCCCTTCCCGCTCTCTTCAAAGAGGAGTTAAGAAATGAAGAAGCCACGGAGGGTGAAGTAGTCACTCTGCGCTGTGAGCTCACCAAGGCCGCTTCAGTGGAGTGGAAAAAAGGACATACAGTGCTCAAACCTGGCGAGAAATACAAAATGAGGCAGAAGGATGTCACTGCAGAACTGGTGATCCATAATCTAGATGAGAGTGATGCTGGTGATTATACCTGCGTGTGCGGGGATAAACAGACCACAGCTTCCTTAGCAGTGCATGGTAATAACCAATTTCATCTGGATGTCCTTCATTATGGAGATTATAGTTTGAATTGATTTTTTTTTTTCTCTGTCTTCATTGTTATCTCTACACAGTTCCTCTCAACCTGACTTTGCATGTCATAGTCGTGAGAATTAATTTGCCTTTTGTGATCTAAGGGAGAAACCTTCATCCCATTTCCTAATACAAAGTGTTTTTAGGACCTGATCCCTCAGGTAGATGTGAGATTAGGCCAGAAGACAGCTCCCCACTGATGTCCTCACCTTTCTTTCCCCAACCCATGCCCTTCAGGCTGTGTTTGCTGCTTCAGTTTAACCCTCTGTCCATTGCATCCTCAGTGCTGCCTGCCCTCATCAAGGAAGGCCTGAAGGACGAGGAGGTGACAGAAGGTCAAGCAGCCACTCTGCTCTGTGAGCTGACCAAGGTTGCTCAAGTAGAGTGGAGAAAGGGAAGCAGTTTGCTAAAAGCCAGCGACAAATACAAAATGAGACAGGAGGGTACGGTCATGAAGCTGCTTATCCATGATGCAGAATTGAAAGATGCTGGAGAATACACTTGTGTGTGTGGAGAGCAGGAGACAACAGCTGCCTTGACAGTTCATGGTAAAAGAAACATATACATATATCTGTATTATTGTGTATTTCTCCATCACCTTATCGCTATCGGTTGTGTGTTCACCTGTGGCTGAACTTGTTTCTTTAAATTTGTAAGCTGTCTCTAAGGTCTGGTGGCATCCAGGCTGCTTTTCTGTTCCTGTCTATTGGTTTATCCAAAGTCCTAGAATTATGAGGAAAGGAAACTCTTTCCACTCTAAGATGTTATCTGCCTCCGTACCACCCCATCCCTCCCATCACCCATGTGCCATGTGTCATTTTTAATGTCCTCTGTCCATTTTGTGACCTTCAGCCCTGCCTGCGCTTTTCAAAGAAGAACTGAAGGACCTGCAAGCCACGGAAAGCCAAACAGCCACTCTGCGCTGTGAGCTGACCAAGGCTGCAGCTGTGTCATGGAAGAAAGGAAACAAAATACTCAGGGCAAGTGAAAAATACATCATGCGGCAGGATAATGCCCTTGCTGAGCTGGAAATTTGTGATCTCGAGCTGCAGGATGCGGGAGATTACACCTGTGTGTGTGGAGACCAACACACCACCGCTTCTCTGACAGTGAATGGTAAATTTGTCTTATGGATGACTTAATTTTTTGTTTCTCTGAAGCATTCTGTTGCTGCATGACGTGTTCACCTATCAGCTTTTTCCTAGGAATTGCTTTGTGTTCAGGAAAGGAGAAATTCCTAGTCTGACACTAAATTTAGGTTTGATATTCCTGAAAAGTGACCGTTTCTCCATGCAGGCAAACTGCTGTAAGTTTAAGTGAATAACACCTAGGAAATGCTCCTGGTAGACCAGCTGAGATGTCCTGCCTCTGTGGAGGGTGGCCCTGTGATAAATTCTTCAGATTACATCTCCAATCCATCCAAAATGTATGGATTGTGCTTTGACCTGTCAACTCAGCACCTCTTTCCTTACTGTTGCTGCTGGATTTAGTTTTAAGATGTCCTGCCTCCGTGGAGGGTGGCCCTGTGATTACATCTGGAATCCATTCAAAATGTATGGATTGTACTTTGACCTGTCAACTCAGCACTTCTTTTCCTTACTGTTGCTGCTGGATTTAGTTTTCCAGATCATCATAGCGATAACCTCAACCTCAGTGGCCAAAGTCCCTGACTTGGCCAGATTTGAACTTCAGTTGAGATTTCATGGTGCTGATCACAAATGCAGAGGACTTGTAGTTTAAATACACTATTAACTTTCCATTCCCAGCCCTGCCGGTGCTTTTCAAGGAAGAATTGAAGAATGAAGAAGTCCAGGAAGGAGCATCAGTCTCTCTGCGTTGTGAATTAACCAAAGCAGCTCACGTGCAGTGGAAAATAGGGTCCAAAGTGCTCAAAGCAAGTGACAAATATCAAATGAGACAGTCTGGCACCGCTGCAGAGCTGGTCATCACTGACCTAGAAGTAAAAGACGCTGGAGATTACACATGTGTTTGTGGTGACCAGAAGACAACAGCAATCTTAACAGTTCATGGTAAAAAGACCTTATTAAAATTAATAAATAGTTTTATAGATAGACATCACTCTGAAATTCACCTATTTCTGCCCTTGGTCAGTAGATTTTCCTTGTTTTCCCCCCTTTCTCTTCATTCTATGTATAGCTCATTTCTTACTGGGAAAGACTACGGGGAAATTTTGAGGTCATTGTTAATCTGCTTCCCTTTAGAAGGAGAAAATGAGATCTTTCTACCCAAGTCCCCTCTTCTGGGACACTTACATTATCCAGCTGTTCTCCACTCCTATCCCAATGGTTCACTTCAGCCAACCTCTAACAACACAGATTATCAGAAGATTATCCAGAAATAAATCCTTATATTATGCTAATAATCTCATTACTGGATCTTCTGCTCTCCTCTCATTAGTGAGTATCCACTTTAATGGAGTAACAGTCCTTGCCTATGAGGAACTCACTTGGGTAAAGAGACCCAGTTCTGTCTCCTACATTTTTTTCCCCAAATCTGATTCCCTTCAGGCTTTCTTGAGACATCAAATTTTTCTGAGGCATCTGGGGAGCACCCTTTGTTTTCTGCACCCCCTTACAGTAGTTGTGCACAAGGCACATTCGTGGGTAAATGTTAATGATTAGTTTTCCTGTAGATTGTTCAGTCTTTGGGTTATGATTTGCAAAATGGGGAGTAGTAAGAATCTGAAATTCTTATTGCATGTAATGGCCTTTCAAACTTCAAGTTAAAATCAGAAGTAGTTTTATTTTGAAATCTGCCTGCTTTCATGCAGATGAGGCTATAAGTTCTTAGTAAAAATAAAACAGGAAATAACAATACCAGCCTCCAAGTAATCACACCTGTGTAGGTAGAATAGTGGTATTTGTGAGTGCTGTTGAACAAGGGTCTGGATCTTTCTGTGTTGTTCTTTCAACGTTAAAAACAAGACACCCGGGGAACTGATCCCTTATGGTAAGTGAAACCATGTCACACCTGAAGAAGGATACTTTCAGAGTTTTTGAACTTGGCTGTAGCTAAGAAGGTTTATCATAGGGTGAAAGAGGGAACCATTAGGGGAAATAACCCCAAGTCTGTAAAAGAAATTAGGATTTTAACTCTGTTTTTCTGATGACCATTTGTCCATGTTGCATCCTTCAGCTCTGCCACCACTCTTTAAGGAAGAGTTAAAGAACAAGGAAGCAGAAGAAGGTGGAGAAGTTGCCCTGCACTGTGAGCTCACCAAGGCTGCTCCGGTGGAGTGGCGGAAGGACCAGAGGATTCTCAAAGCAAGTGAGAAATACAAAATGAGGCAGGAAGGGACCAAGGCAGAGCTGGTGATTCATGAAATAGCTGAGGAGGATGCAGGAGACTACACCTGCGTGTGTGGAGAGCACCAGACTACAGCTGTCTTAACAGTACAGGGTAAAAATTATCTTGACCTCCTATTTCCTAACTGGAAACATCTGTCCTCTACTATAAGGTGTTCAATTTTCCATGTCTATTTGTTCAACCTTATTAACTGAATTTCCATTCATCTGAAAGTATTCCCTGCCTTTGATGATTTGCAGGCTGTGTATATTGGAAAACACCAGTCTACTTTTTCCTGTGCCATCCTTTTGTCTTTTTCTTTCCTTAAACGCAAACCTGCTGTCCTTTCATCTTTCCCTTCTGGCATTCCTTTCCTAGTGTATAAATCCACTATTCTTTTGCCTTCCCTTTCCTGCATGTATTCTCTAAAACACATATCTGTTTATTCTTTGCCACTCCTTTCTGGCATTCTCAACACCTACCATTTTAACATAAATTAGGGTATAAAAAGTAATATCCAGAATAAGGCTGTGTTAGTTACAATTTCTTCTGTACCGAGTTATGTTTATATTGGGTTTTGTGCCCGTAACCTCTCTCCTTTTGCACCAAGACAGATTTGCATTGGGAAGCTGATTTTTCTAAGCCGGAAAGAATAAATTCTTTCTGTGACCTCCTTCTGGTCTTATTTTGTTGCAAGAACCAGTTGCTGTGCAAACAAAACTGGTGTTTCAAGCTTAACTCTGCTTGACATGGGAAATGTACCAAATCAAGGAGGCTAAACCTGTTTTCTAGCCTGGATATTTTAACTTAGCTGTACTACTATGGAGTGAGATGCCAAGTGTGAGATCTGAGATATCCAACCTTGTTAAACAGGTGGAATATTCCGTTATTTCACCTAGTCAATAGAGGGACATGTTAATGTCACCAAATTTATTTCAAGGACACAACTTGCAGTGGGTACTAGAATTAAGTTAAGTGAGGAAAAATATGTTCTGAGACAAGAAGAATCAGCATCTGGAGTTTTTCTTTGGTGTCAAGAAGAATCTGTGAGCCCTGGCTGCATCTTTTCAAGAGTATCTCAAGGGAGAAGGAATGATGATTAGTAAGGATTTGTGCCAACACTCAGAGCTCAGCAGGGCTGCTCTGTAAGTAGGAAAAGAGAGTACAATGGAAGACATCAACACTTGTGTGAATTAAAGGGCTCAGAGACTATATTCTTAGCTCTTCTTACAAGGAAACGTAGAAAGCGTGTATAAATCTCCTGAGGACAGTACAATTTTGCTAGTAGGAAGCCAGCATGAAACCAAAGGTTAAGGGTATATATTCCCTCTGGGACATTCTAATTTCTCTTTCCTCTCTTTGTTGCTGATGCTTGCCCTTCCATAACCTTCACAACTTTCCCCTGTCACTTCCTACTCTCACCCATCCCTGGAAGTGTCTTCAGTTTGTAATACTTTTTACCTGCATCCTTCAGCTGTGCCTCCATTTTTCCAAGAAGAAATGACCAGCGAGGAAGCAGTAGAAGGTGGAACGGCCACTTTGCGCTGTGAGCTCAGCAAGGCATCTGCTCACGTTCAGTGGAAGAAGGGCCATCACGTCCTCACCTCGGACAAAAAGTACAGCATGAGACAAGAAGGCTGTGTTGTGGAGCTGGTAGTTCAAGATTTAGACTTGAATGATGCTGGAGATTATACCTGTGTGTGTGGAGACAAGACCACCACAGCTGCCTTAACAGTGCATGGTAAAGTAATCCTGGTGATTAAGGTCCTCCAAGCCTTAGACTTGCCCAAGTCTCTGTTGTTGTGGTCTGTTCCCATTCCCTTTCTGTTTGTCTGGGTTTTTGTGTTCTCTTGCAATTTGCTCGTGTTCTTCCTCCTTCTGTTAGAATTGGGGAAAAAACTGTCTGTTGGTGTGTGTCCTCCTCATCTGGGCTGGTCCTTCTCACTTTCCTTGCCCTGATGCAGAGTCCAGGGAAGTCAGGAAAGATTTTTCCATTGTGTTCCACTGGCCTGGATCAGGGCTCCGTAGTGCACCATGCGTCCTTTCCCCAGGCACCTCATTTAGCTGCCTTTTTAGGAATATTCACTCTCTCTATGGTAATTCTTTTACTCTCCAGCACTGCCACCAGAATTCAAAAAAGACCTGAAAGACCTAGAAGCCATAGAAGGTGGGACAGCTGCTCTGCACTGCGAGCTGACTAAATTTGCCATGGTGGAGTGGAAGAAAGGGCAGGAGTTGCTCAAAGCAAGCAGCAAATATCAAATGAGCCAAGATGGTGCTGTTGCAAAGCTGGTTATTCATGAGCTGGAGGTGGAGGACACTGGAGATTATACCTGTGTGTGTGGAGATCAGCAGACAACTGCCACTTTGACAGTCAATGGTAAAAAAAAAATAAAATTAAATTTAAAAAAAAGAGAGAAAAGGTTATAATATGTTCTGAAAATTAAAGCTGTATGTTAGTGTCACTTATGGAGCAGACTTGGCTATGATTCCTAAAGAAGGTGGCAGAATAGCACGGGCTATACGGCCGGATAGAGGTAGGAAATGGGGTTTGCAACACAAAACTAAATGCGTTCTGTCAGTATGTTACTTTCAGGATAATTGTAATCTCTCCTGCAAGTGGCCTGCCTTAAGAGGGAATTTGAAGTCTTACGGCTCTCTGCTGGGCTTCAGAATATCTCAACTGTGCTCAGGGCAACATGTTGGCTACTTTTATAATAGGAAAAATATTCTGCCATTTTTTAGATCATCGATTAGATTAGGCTTGTATATACTTCAAATGTAACTTCTTGAAATCAATTTCCTCTTGTTCTGCAGCTACTCCTACTACCCCTCTGGGGAAATAGCCTTGTACTTTGAAACCAGAGGATTGAAGCTTAGAGACATTTGCAAAAAATGCTTTTGGTGTTCTCTTTTTCTTTTCCCAAAGTCCAACTGCAGTATATTGCAGGTTATATTTCTATTTTATAGCCCTACCAGCACTTTTTAAACAAGAGCTTCAGGATACTGAGGCAGAAGAAGGTGGTACAGCAATACTGAGGTGTGAGCTCACCAAAGCCAAGGCTCCAGTAGAGTGGAGGAAAGGAGATGCTACTCTCTACCCTGGTTTGAAATACGAGATGAAGCAGCAGGGCTCCGCTGCAGAATTGGTCATTTATGACTTAGAACTGGATGATTCAGGAAAGTACACCTGTGACTCTGGACACCAGCAGACAACGGCTGTGGTAACCGTACATGGTAGGCAGAGTCCTGACCCTTGGCTCAGCAGAGGTGAAGTGAAAGGAGCATCTCTCCGTGTTCCCTACTGCCATTTACTTGTTTTGCTGCTGGTCCATGCCAGCAAACGCGTTCTACCTGAGCATGACATATGGTCAAGCTGGGAAGGTTCTGCTTGGAGTATTTAGAGTGGTTAATCAGCACCAAAGCAATTAAATGTCGCCACGATGTCAAAATGTGATGAACCCTCCTTCCCTCTGAGTGTGGCTGCATATGGGAATGGATAACAGAAAACAAGCCAGTCAGGCTGACGGTTATTTTGGGTTGTTGATTGCTTCAGTAGGCATGAGGGATGTCTGATTGGGATGATAAGAGATGAATCAATCGATGGATAAAGGATCTCTATAACATGTGAATGTGCTGTATTATTACTTGAGGCTTCATGCCTCAGGTGTAAACACTGTTTTCCTCAGCCCCTTCTACCATCCTGAGCAAGATCTTGCCAGGAACCTGAATTTCCTCTTGCATTTATCTTCATCTCTTACTGTGGTGCGTTGTCTTGTGTTTAGAATGCTAAATTGATCTTTTGTATGCTGATAGAAGGGGGAAAAATATTCTTAGTTTCATATTGCAAACTCACAGACCTCCATTAAGGAACAAGGGTCCATGTCCCACTGGTCTTTGACTAATGCACCCCTAGTTGGCATGGACATACTTCTGTGGGAAAGTCTGACTCCTTCAGACCCCAAACCAGGCCATTCTGTGAGCTACTCTCTAAGACCAGCTCTCACCATCTGTCCTCAGCTCTTGGTTCACTTAATGGCTCAAGAAATGTGCTGCCAAGACCAAGTGTTGCAGCCCAAGAATCATGAAATCTTTAGAATAGACCATTTCTGAAGAGCAATGGTATAATTGGGTCCTTTCTGGACTCAAACACTCTGAAAACATTTCCTTCTCAAATTGATCGTGGAATCATTAGAATATGCCATTTCTGAAGAATAATGGTAGATGGGTCCTTTCTGGACTAAAACACTCTGAAAACATTTCCTTCTCAAATTTTGCAGCACTGCCCATCACATTTAAGCAACCCCTTCAAAATAAGGAGTCAGAGGAAGGAAGTACAGCTACATTCTGCTGTGAGCTGTCAAAACCCAATGCTGCAGTGGAATGGAGGAAAGGAGGAGTTGGGCTGCAACCCAGCCAGAAGTATGAAATGAGGCAGAGGAAATGCCAGGTAGAGCTCTTAATACATAATCTCAAATTGGAAGATACAGGAGAATACAGCTGTGATACTGGGGATCAGGAAACCAAGGCATCTTTAAATGTGAAAGGTAGGTGGTGCGAGCTGACTCCTAAAGCAACATATTCCATTCAACAAGCAAAGCAACAGTTTGAATATTTTGAAGTACAGTATTTTTTCCCTATAAATATTTTCCTTTTCATCTGATGTACTACGATTATTTTTATTATTTTTCTTAAATGAGAATGGAAGAGGATGATACTTTGTTCTTCCAGTGCTGCATTTGAGTCTTGGGTTCTTAGAAGAAATACTTTCTAGCTACATGTCTAGGGAGAAGTTAAAGAAAGACCATGTCTAGGGAGAAGTTAAAGAAAGACATAACATCTGGACACCTCACATGATACGTAGCTTAAATATTTAAAAAAAATATTTTCTTCCAAGTCCTGGAGGAACACTGACAACGACCTTCCTGATCTGACAAGGCTGTCCATGGAGTTTTCTACTTTTTTGCTCTTGAGATCTTTGTTAGGGCAACTGAAGGATAAATTCATTCGAAGAATTCAATCCTGGGAAGAATTTGAGTCAAGGAGCAAAGGAAACAAATGTTCTAAGTGCTGATGGCTGCTTCTGACACAGCAAGATCTCTTCGTAGCTCCAGGCAAATTAGAAAACATGGATCCTGCCTAGGAATATAGCACTTGCAAAGCACAGAATCTTGTTCCCTGAAGTGTCAGTCTAACTGTTTTAATCGGAACTTGACCCAGGCTTCAATAAAAGCTCCTGTTCCTTTTTTTTTTCCCCTTTAGCTCTGCCAGTTCTTTTCAAAAAGGAGCTCAAGGACAAGGAGGCAGAAGAAGGAGCTGCGGTGAAATTCCAGTGTGAGCTGACAAAGGATAATGCGACAGTGGAGTGGAGGAAAGGCACAATGGAGCTCTTCCCGTGTGCCAAATATGAAATTAAATTAAGTGGTCGCACAGCTGAACTCGTGATTCATAACATAGAACCAGAAGATGCCTCTGATTACACATGTGATACAGGAGACCAGCAGAGCACAGCAGTCCTCAAAGTGAATGGTTAGCATTGCATCAGCATGAAAGAGAGGATAAAAGGGATTTGTGAAATTGTGTGAATAATGTTCTTTCATTCATTGGTGAATAAAACATCCCAAACATTAAGATAAAGAGGAAAGCAGGTGCCCAGTCATAAACCAGAATACAGAACCGTGGATCTTATGGGACAGGATTTATAGACGAGATATTTAAAGCACAGGGAACAGTGTGTTGGCCCCTTCCTGTGGCACTCACAAAAGCAAGAAATTGTGCATCATGGAGATTTTTAAATTCTAATAGATCTTTATTTTTGGCACTTCACATTCATTTCTGACTCAGCTGAACCAATTACTAATCATAAGTCATTTACAAAAGCATTTTAAAAATTTACTATTTTCAATTTGAAGATCCTGAGAACACTGCTTTTAAACAAACAAGGAATAATGCCTGTGGTTAACCACCCTCTGTGAAATGCTTGTGGTCATCTCAAACCATTGGGTGAAACTTGTGGCTTTAATCTAAGCCACAACCTTTCAAACTTCATCCTCTTGGCTGAACTTGACCCTCAAAGCAGCCACTGGGTCAAACAGAAGTGAAAGAGCCCTGTGTTTGCTTTACATGTATCACAATAAGGTTTAGACAGAAGAACCACAAGCATTGTGGTTCTTCTGTTTCACAACTGCTCACACACACACACATACTATGGATATTCCCTTCTTGTTTCCATCAGTGACAAGCTGTTGTCTCAGCTAGTCCATGCTCTGCTTAAATAAATGGAGTCCGTTTGTTTGTGCATCATCTGGAAGGACTTTCTGGTGGTGGTGTAAGGTCTTGAAAAGCCAGCAGAGAAATCAGAAATGTGTTTAAAGCTTTACATCATTTACAATATTGGCAGTCATGAGTATTTCTGTAAAAATTAACAGATTTACACTGTTGCAGTTTCCAATATCCAGAGCAGATGTACAAAAGGTGTAATGTGGTTGCTCTTGACTTTATGGGAAACAAATATTTGGGGGAAACTTTCTGATCCTCTCCTTGTCTGGATAGAGATAATATAGTTCTGTTTATAGAGAAAACCAGGTTGTTATTATTATATAACCAAATTTGTTCTGCAGCATCAGACCCCAGGTGCCTTGTGCTGAGTTGTGCAGACCTGGCATTCAAGCTGATGGATCGTGAGTTAACTGTTTTTCACTTTGCAGCCATCAAACCCCGGCTGAAGCAGCAGCTGAAGAATGAAGAAGTGGAAGTGGGGGGAACGGCCAGGCTGCGCTGCGAGATTTCCATTAGCAAAGCAGAAGTGGAGTGGAGGAAAGATGGAGTCGTCCTTCACTCGAGCTCCAAGTACGAGATGTGGCAGGACGGCACCCTCCGCGAGCTGCGTGTTCACCACCTGGAGCCTAGCGATGCTGGAGAGTATTCCTGCAAGGCTGGAGATGAGACCAGCTCCGCAAAGCTGACCGTGAAAGGCAAGACCTGTTTATTGGGGGCAAGGGGATTTTCATTTTGGGATGTTAAGGTTTTGCAACGTAATTCTTACTCTTGTGATAAACACAGAGCATAGGAAGGGTATAATTCAAAAAATCTTACGGTCAATGAATGCACCGAAGCAGAGATTCACTTGGAGGACAGGAGAGGACAAGGCAGCTGTAATTTGTGACTCATGGCTTGAAATATTTGCTTGACATCATACGCATGTGAGTGAACAGATGGTCCGTCCCCAGCTTCCAGTCACATGGCAGCTGCATCTGGCCTTCACATCGTGGCAGACAGAGCTTGCTTTTAGGTTGGCCCGCTAGCGTGGAACAATCACCCCTAGCATCTCTACAGGCTGCTCGGTGGTGTAGATACTCTATACATTATGCCCAGCTGTGCCATTTTTCATGCAGATGGTGACCTCAGCTGTATGAGTATGTTCTGTGTTTGCTCAGATGAAGATTGCGCCGCTCCTCCTCCGGTGTGCCCCACCAGATTCGGGGTACAGACAGCTTTTACCCCTTGCAGGCTGGCTGCGTGATCTTTGCACAGGTCTGCAGGTGCCCAGCTGTCTTAGAAACAGGACTCAAGCAAACTGAAGCGCAAATAAGTGCTCGTGCTAATCCAGTGAGTCTTGCTGAGAGCACAGAGCCAGCCAGATCCCCAGCCAGTTCGGAGCGCCAGCAATGTGTGCCAAGTGTATGCAATTCTCTTTGCAAAAAGACAGTAGAAGGGATCAGGTTTTAATGTTATTCTTTGAAGATACATAAGTGCAAATGTAACGTTTCAAAATCCTGAATTCTGGCATTTAGAGTTCACACCTTATTCACCCAATTACATTATCAAACACATACTTAAAAAATAAATAAATAATCAATGCTCAATGGATCTCTGAGAAAGGGCAAGGAATAAAACCACTAACCCAAAGATTTTGGCCGTGTTACCAAGTATGCTGAAAGCAGTGAACTAGTAGCATTCAAAATATGATTTGAGAAGCTGTGATACTTCCATCCTTGGAGGTGCTTAAAGCTCAACTGGACAAGGTGCTGAGTAACCTGCTGTAAACTGGCCAACTGTCCCTGCTTTGAGCATTGGTTGGACCAGATGACCTCCAGAAGTCTCCTCCAGCCTATAATATTCACTATTTTTGTGTTTTGATCCATGTTTTTCCTTTCGTGGCTTGACTACTAATGGACTGTTTGCAGAGCCCGACGTGACCATCGTGAGTGGCCTAAAGGACATGGTGGTGTTCGAAGGGGACGATGTCACCTTTCGGTGCCAGGTTTCTCATGAAAACGCAAGGGACGTTGAATGGAGGCTACAAGATGTTACTCTGCAAAATAATGAAATGAATGAGATCTCAGTGGAGAAAGGAAAGATCCACACCCTGACGTTAAGGAAGGTGACTGAGCAGGACATTGGCACCATCGCTTTCCGAGTGGGACCCTACATATCGACGGCAGAGCTCACAGTAAAAGGTAAAGGTTCTCTGTGATGTGGCAAAGGAACAGGATGGGGGGAGAACAGGTGACGTTTTCTTATGCTAATATGAAATTCAAGGCCATAATTCACCCCTTGTTAGCTCACCTTAGTAGGGTGCTTGTGCTCCAGAGTGTATAGGATGTACATATTGTGGTCTTATATATTGTCATCCCTATGGATAGACAGTGAATATGCCACTGGTGTCCTGAAGCTAGCTGGTTTCTGGAGAAATTATTGGGGTAGCCCCAGTAGTGGATTGACAGATCTGTATTTTTATTGCTTCTTTTTTCCCTTTTCTTTTTCTTCTTTGGGGTCTTTCTTTCTCTAAACACTGTTTTGCAGAAATTCTCAGTCAAATATCCATCTCCTTCCCTCCTTGAATCTGTTGGTCAAAGTCCCCATCCCACCTACAGTTAAAACATCTGTAAAGCTTTTCATTAGTACTTCAGTAACTTCAACAACTATTTGTGAGTCGGTTTAATCCAAAATCCATTCACTTGTTTTAACTCCTCAAGGTATAATCATAGAGTCATAGAATTGTCTGGGTTGGAAGGGACCTTTCAGATCATCGAGTCCAACCATCAACCTAACAGTGACAAAAATCATCACTAAACCATATCACTGATCACTGCATCTACCTGTCTTTTAAATACCTCTAGGGATGACAATTGCACCACTTCCCTGGGCAACCCGTTCCAATGCTTAATAACCCTTTCAGTGTAAAAATTTTTCTTAATATCTAATCTAAACCTCCCCTGGCACAACTTGAGAAGTATATATTTTTTTAAAATTATTAACTGTTCAACTGTGGCCCTAACACTGCAGGGAAACAAGATGAAGATGATTGTAAGTGCCTTTGCTGTGTTTGTTATTTCAGTGCCACCTCCAGTCTTTAAGGAGAAATTACAGAGCACAGAAGTGCAGGAGGAAGAAACAGCCATCCTCCGCTGCGAGGTCTCCCAGCCTAATGCTGCGGTCAAGTGGAAGAAGGGCACTCAGGTGATTTCTTCAAGCTCCAAGTATGAAATCAGGCAGGAGGGAACCATCCATACTTTAAAGATTTATCACCTAAAACCAGAAGACTCTGGCAAATACACCTGTGATAATGGAAATGAACAAACCACTGCCACGTTAACTGTTAAAGGTAGGTTCATTTATTTTCTTTTTAAGATGAGAAACTTGTTCCACTTCCTTAGCTTAGTTCTAGCAAGAGGGTGCTCTCTACTGTCCTTGACTTCAGATGTACTTTGCTGGTATGAACCATGCTGAGCTTTTTGTTTTCAGAAGTTATGTTAAGTCCTGTGGTGTCCTGAGCAATGAACATGGAGGGATCTGAGTGCAGCAACTGCTTCCACAATTCTAGACCAGGCACAATGGGATGCCTTCACTGCAAATGCAACTGTAAAAAAGCCATTCTCCAACTGTCCCACATAATACACCCTCCAGTCCTACAATACTTGCAAGAACCTTCAGGTTTATCTCCTTTTATACATATCTGCCACCTGGTCCCTGTGAATTCACTCTGATTTCTGGAACCCCATCTCCTTCCCTTGTAAATGTCAATTCAGCCATAACTGTGGAGCCACCAGAGGTTCTTCTAGGGAACTGGATTTGAGGAACTAAGCTTCTACATGTGATGCGTTGTCAACCCACCAAAACTCCATCTTGGTCCATCAGTGATACACATCAGTGCAGAAACTTCCAGAGTTCATCTCTCTCCTAGGTCCAGTTTTCAAGTGAGGGGGACTGTATAATGAAGTTTCTCCATGCACCCTCCCTAATATCCAAGAATTTAGGTATCAAGTGTAGGTTTTTAATTTGTAGCTTTGGTACCTATTTGGAGGTACATGCACTAAGATGCTTAAGAGTCCAAGTCCATGACCTCTTCTGTGTAAGAAGGAACATGTTCCCTGAGAAGCTCAGTGTGTGCAGTGACTCTTGGGGACTGCAGAGTCCTTAGTGCTTCTGGAAATCCAGCTCTTCCTGTCATTCCTTGTTTGGATTTTAAAGTAATTTTGGAATTGCATTTTAACCAAATTTGGAATGACGCCACAGTTTCACCAAACACAAGATTTGGTGACAGTCAGCAATAAAATTTAACTTTTTTCCTCTGATCTATTTTGGTTCAGCTTTGCCAGTAATCTTCACACAACCACTTCAGAACCAGCAAGCAGAAGAAGGCGGCACCATCACTTTGAGCTGTGAAATCTCCAAACCAAATGCCACTGTGCAGTGGAAGAAGGCCGGGACAGTGCTGCGACCAAGTGATAAATACAAGATGCATCAAACTGGATCCCGGGCTGAGCTGACAATTCGCAACCTGAGTGGAGCTGATGCTGGGGAATACACGTGTGACACAGGAGACCAGCAAACCACTGCAGCTGTGCTGGTGAAAGGTGGGGATTTGCATGGGGAAGAGCTGAGCAGTGCCTGGGGCATCAGGGACACAGGATTAATTAATTTGACAGCTAGGCATTGTCCTGTACCCAAATTGAATCATGGGGATCTCAGAGACAAGAGGGGTTTCAGAGGGATAACAACTGGGTCAATTATCTCTATGGAATCAGAAATGGGTCTTTAGTCAATGATTTTGTTGTTTAATGTAAACATCACCCACTAAAACGTGTTGACAACGTTTTCAAAATACATAGTTTGCATTATAAAGATATATTATATATTTATTACATACACAATATATCTAACATGCATATTTTATATACTGTCATATATATGTGCATAATATATGCACACATACATAAATTATGCATGTGTAAGAATGTAAGATGCTACTACGTGCCCAAGTATCTACATTTCCATGTGTTTAGTGCCTTGGGGTAGTTCCTTCAAAGAATACAGTACTGTCAAGAAAGAGCATAACAAAATGTTTAACCCAGGAAGCATCACCTGAAAGTAGATATCAAACTCTGTTGACCTTTCCATAAAGAACCAGAAGCCACCATAGTGGAGAAGCTGAAGGATATCACGTCGTACGAAGGAGAAGACGCAGTGTTTGAATGCAGGCTGTCCCGGGAAACAACTCAGGATGCCCAATGGTTCCTGGGGGATGTTCCTCTGCAATCCAATGAAATGAATGAGATTAGAGTCCAAGGGACGCATCACACTTTGATCCTGAGGAAGGTGACACTGGAAGACTGTGGGTCCATCAGTTTCAAAGTGGGGCAGCATACCTCAACGGCACAGCTGACCGTCAAAGGTGAGCCACTTCCTAGCAAGAGGGATTGAGGAGGTACTACTAAGCTTTGCTTTAGCTTCTGGACAGGTGTATTTGGGAGGAGGGGGCCCTGGAAATTTTGGGAGCTTCTACTAATGTAATTTAGCCATTTAAGAATTAGATATGTACACCTGAGCTAGTCATTTCGGTCCTTTATCATCCATGGAGTGAAGCAAACACTCTTTGAAGACTGTCCAACTTATCCTGAAATAAGCAGCTAAGAAATACCAGAATCTATGCTGAAGAATGTCAAGAATATGCTTTGAATTAATCTCCTACTTAGGATGTTTTAAAATTGTATTTACTCCAAAAATTGTCTGAAAACACCTTTCCATTACGTTATGTAGAATGATTTTTAAAGATAGGTCACATCAATACCTTATCTTATTTGTTCCTCTTTGATGTGGTTCAAAATGTAACTATAGGCTCCCAGTTCTGATCTGGGGCAATGCTGGATTAGGTGGTTGCAGCAGTGATGGTACCTTCTTCTCCACAGTTGCTCCAGTCACCTTTGTAAAGGCGCTCCACAACTTGGAGCTGCAGGAGGGTGGCACAGCTCACTTGTCCTGTGAGGTGTCCAAGCCCGATGTCCCGGTGGAGTGGAGGAAAGGCACATCTGTGATCCGCTCAAGCCAGAAGTTCAACATCAAGCAGGAGGGAAACGTTCACACACTGGTTATTCACGATTTGAACCGTGCGGACTCAGGGGAGTATAGCTGTCACGCAGCTGATGGGAAGACCACTGCCAGACTGGAGGTTAAAGGTATGATCTCCTCTTTGTTTAGCAGGGGGGGCTGGACTTAGATGATCTCCAGAGGTCCCTTCCAACCCCATATCATTCTGTGATTCTGTGGTTTTTTGGACCTCTCTAGTAGAAGGCAGACATTGAGGTAGTGAAGGAAGTGCCACCAAATTTTTCAGGGAGATGGATCACAGGAAGTATAAGGAGAGACTGGGTTTGTTCAGGGGAAAAGACAGTTGAGTGGGGACCTCATTTTTGTCTGCAGCTTCCTAATGGGGATCTACAGAGGAGAAAGAGAGACAGACTTTCCTTGGGGTTCTCAGTAGGCAGATGCGAGGCAGCAAGTGCAAGCTGCACCAAAAGAGATTCAGATTAGGGAAAAAACAACCTTTCACAATGAAGCGGTGCTCAGACATTGGAACTGGGACCCAGAGGGGTGGAGGAATCTCCATCCATGGAGGATCTCCAGAGGTTCCTTCAGTCTTAATTATTCTGTAATTGATCCCTGGCTGCGTGACCTGAAGTCTCAGGTTTGCAGGTGTATATTCTTTGAGTATTTTTATCCTATTCTGTGGTTTTATTTCGGGGATGAATCACGGAACAGTTGGAGTTGGAAAGGACCTAAAAGTTCATCTAGTTCCAACCCCTCTGCCATGTGCAGGGACACCTCCCACTAGACCAGGTTCCTCAAAGCCCCATCCAGCCTGGTCTTGAAACCTTCCAGGGATGGAGCATCCACAGCTTCTTTTGTGCAACCTGTTCCAGTGTCTCACCACCTTCACAATGAAAAAATACCTGGGTTTCATAAATTATTACTCGAAGTCAGTTGGCAATTCTTTGTGAGAAGAAGTCTAGGATACAGGAAAAGAAATGCAGCTCCCATGGAACTGAAATTTTTCCTGATGGTTAACTCCAGTCCCTTCTCCTCCTCTGTCTGACTTAGACCTTGGTGTGTCTGCCCCTGTCTCCTTAGGTAAATGCAGCCAGAATTGTGTATGAACATCATGAACAGCATTATCAGTACCTTAAAAATAAAATATTCCTCCATTTTTCTATTTTTGCTTCACCCATTTTTTTTTTTCTCATTGCACCATTCTCCCTTCCAAGCCCTGCCCGTGCTCTTCAAGCACTGGCTGAAGAACGAGGAGGTGGAGGAAGGGCGCACGGTCGTGCTGCACTGCGAGCTGACGAGACCCGGCGCGCCCGTGGAGTGGAGGAAAGGAGATACAGTGCTGCAGTCCTGTGACAAGTATGAGATCCGGCAAGAGGGGACACGCGTTGAGCTCTTCATCTACGATGCTGAGGCTCAGGACGCTGGCGATTACACGTGCGATTCAGGGGACCAGCAGACCACCGCGTCCTTGCAAGTCAAAGGTAGGAGAAGCCTTCCTTGGAGGCGGAGGAGTTATGGCTGTGGCTGTCCTCTGTAGAGGTGATATGGATGTTTTACCACTGAATTATCATTAACACTCTGAGTTACAGCTGCAGAAAAGGGTCTGACCTGCAATCTGTGCTTCAAAAAGAATTTGTTGCCTTTTAAACCCAATTTCTGCAGTTGCAATTTTGATCTCACTGTGAGAGAGTTGGGAACAAAACTGCTCTCCATTTGCTGCTGCTACTGGAGAGTGTGTCCAAAAGTAGTTAGAAAATTCACCTGTGGCCTGAAAAAAAAAAAGATACTGGACTATTTCATCATACCTAGAATAGGCCCACTTTAAATTGAGTCATTTTACCTGTTTGTGCCTGAGCAGCCCAAGAATTGTGTCTCTGTGCCTTTTTCTAGTGGCTACGTTTTGGGATTTTATAGTTTTATTTGTTTTATACCGAGTGCTGTGTCTTTTGAGCAACAAGATCATGCTTTTAGATCCCCAGTTTAGCCCCCATAACCAGCATTCAGCTCAGAGTGTGTGGTTTCAGTGATTAAATGTCCAAATGTTGTGATTTGAACTCTTAACTGCTTATACTGTGGGTACGCCCACGTGAAGCCCTTTGGAGGTCCCATGACCTACAGCAATCCCTGATGGAGCAGCAGTGGACACCCCCACTGTACCAGCAGCTGACCCCCAATGACCAGCTATGGCACACCTCAAAGTCCTGTTCTGGGCTTGGCGTTGCCAGCAGGCAAGTTGTGGTTCAGGAAGAGGGGAACCATCAAGCTGGAGAAGTTGCAAGCCAGCTTCTCTTGCCTGAAGAAGAGAAGAATGAGAGGGGATCTCAGCAATGTTTATCATTATCTAAGAGGCGGGTATCAAGAGGATGGGGTCAAACTCTTCTCAGTGGTACCCGGTGACAGATCAAGGGGCAACAAACACAAGCTTGAATGCAGGAAGTTCCATCTCAACGTGAGGAAAAAAATTCTTTCCTGTGAGGGTGCCAGAGTTCTGGAAGAGGCTGCCCGGAGAGGTGGTGGAGTCTCCTTCTCTGCAGATATTCAAAACCCACCTGGAAGTGTTCTTGTGCAACCTGCTCTGGGTGACCCTGCTTTGGCAGAGGGGTTGGACTTAGAGGATCTCTGAAGGCCCCTTCCAACCCCTGCCACTCTGTGATTCTCACCTCTGAGGACTGTCACTGACACAGTTGCTTCTCCACTGCAGTACTACCCGTGCTGTTTAAAGAAGAGCTGAAAAATGTAGAATCTGAAGAAGGGGGAACGGCTGTCCTGCACTGTGAGATCTCCAAGCCGGATGCCCCCGTTGAGTGGAGAAAAGGAGGGGTGGTCATTCAACCCAGTGACAAGTATGAGATGAAGCTGAAAGGCAGTATTGCTGAACTGATCATCCACGGTGTAGAGCCTGATGACTGTGGGGATTATACCTGTAGCACCGGCTACGAGATCACCACAGGTTCTGTGTATGTGCAAGGTAAGGTGAAACGTGGTGGAAAAGCTCTGGTTTTGCTGCCTGGATTTCTTGTTCCGAAATCTTTGACAGTAACTGGCCAAAATTGTCTCAGATGCAAACAGTTGAAAGTCCATTCATTTCTTTCCTGATTTCAGTGAAGATAGAAACGTTTGCATCCAGGCTGAGGTTGGACCAATGTTTTTAAATTAAGGTCATTTAAAGTGCTGATCATATTGCGTACCATAGCAGATGGTCATAGATGCTGAAAAACTATTTGCTTCAAGCAATGGTCTTAAAAAAAGTATGAAATTCTTGTTATTACTAATTACACTTTCTATCATTGATATTCTTCTTAATCTTTTAAAGCACTGTAAGCAAACTTAAAAAAAGTATGTAATTCTTGTTATTACTAATTACAGCTTCTATCGTTGATATTTTTCTTAATCTTTTAAAGCACTGTAAGCAAACATTTAAATCTTGAGCTACCTCTCTGCCTCCCACCTCATAAAACATCAGTGCAGATGGTTGAAAAACATGGGAGAACCAGTCATGACCTGGTCATGGAGGAGACTTTCCTCCCAATGAGACAGTTTGAAGACACACACACACTGCACTTTCGAGCAAGTGAAGGACGGAAGGTGGTTTCTAAATCCCTTACAGAAAAATTTAAGTTCTTTTTTCTCTGGAACAGCATTACAAGTTTAACTCTACTGGACAACTTGCAGTGTTGCTTTGGGCTAGTTCTGCAGGAAGCGACGTGTATATGTTTATGCTCTTGTTTTCCTTTGGCACCTTCTCTTGCTCTGTTATACAGAAGAAGCAGCAGTCATAGTTTCTGGTTTAAAGAACACAGACGTCTTTGTGGGTGAGTCAGCCACGTTCACCTGTGAGCTCTCCTACCCGGGCGTGAAGAACGTGCAGTGGTGGCTCGATGGATCTCCCCTTCACAACAACTTTGTGACTGAAATCTCTGAGCAGGATGGGATGATTCACACTTTAACCCTAAATGACGTGGCGTGCCATGACTCAGGCACAGTCACCTTCAGAGCTGGGTCCCTTATATCTTCAGCTAAATTATTAGTCAAAGGTATTTCATTGTTAGAAAGAAACACACGGCCACCTCTGGACTTGCTCAGTGCGCTAGTGCTTCTGCCTTCTGGGCTACCCTTACTAAATCCCTTCACTCTTCCTCTGTGTCCTGCAACCCTCCACTTCTGCAAGTCACCCATACTCACATCAGAAGCCTTCTAGGTACAACCACATTGATATTTTAATATTTTTTTTTGAGTGGTTCTGGTGAGGAAGGGTTGCAGGGTCAGGGCTGCTGACATCTGAGTAGAGCTGAATATAAACCACTGTGGTAGCACCTGACTTTTTTATCACTCCTTCAACTGTTTTTATAATACCACAAAATATTATGTAGCTGGAAAATCACAAAATTACCACTGTGCTGCTCCTTGTCAAGGCTACTGGCACCAAGCTAGTATATTCCCAACACAAGACTTTGGACTATTTTATTGTTGGCTCCAGAGCTTCTCCTGGAAACCAAAGGGTATGTGACATTGGGGTAACACAGTGACAAAATGACCCTTGTTTGTTGACTGTCAGAATAGTAACTGTCATCATTGCACTAGAAAAATCTTTGGGGTCTCTTGAATAAATATTTTTCTCATTTGGTGGGTTGCAGGGTCAGGGCTGCTGACATCTGAGTAGAGCTGAATATAAACCACTGTGGTAGCACCTGATTTTTATATCACTTCTTCAACTGTTTTTATAATACCACAAAATATTATGTAGCTGGAAAATCACAAAATTACCACTGTGCTGCTCCTTGTCAAGGCTACTGGCACCAAGCTAGTATATTCCCAACACAAGACTTCAGACTATTTTATTGTTGGCTCCAGAGCTTCTCCTGGAAACCAAAGGGTATGTGACATTGGGGTAACACAGTGACAAAATGACCCTTGTTTGTTGACTGTCAGAATAGTAACTGTCATCATTGCACTAGAAAAATCTTTGGGGTCTCTTGAATAAATATTTCTACTCCACCGTAAGGGTAGCCCCAAGCCGCAAATAACACTGAGCTCCAGACTTGATACAAAGCAAGCTCCCTCACATCCAGGCCTTTTATAGCCATTGGGAAAAGCTGTTATTTTTCAGACAAAAGTAACACTTATTCTTTACTTGGAAAAGGGATTTGTATATATGGAGATATAAAGGGTTAAGAGTTCTTTATTAAAATCTACCCCCATGCTATAACTGTCTACCATAACAGGAATGATCCATAATACGGAATTCTAGTCAGTGGTTGATGTCTCCTTCTCTGTATAATGTGTCACTTGTACATTCAGAAAACTTAACTCTCTGCAGAGATAAAACACCAAATCACTACTTCTTAATATCAGAATGATGCAGCAACAACATGGTGTGCAAACCCCACAAAACCCATGTCCATTTGCATCAATTTTGAGTTTCACATATTCAGAGACAGAACCTGGTTCTGAGCTCTCTAGGCAAAGAAATCCAGTGGGCCTAAAACTGAAATTAAAAATAAATATATTGTTAGGTATTCTATTCAAATAAGGGGGTCCTGAGAATTTGTCATTTCACAGAATCACAGCATCCTTGATGTTGGAAGGGACCTCTGGAGATCACCTAGTCCAATCCCACAGCTTGTGTTAGTACATGATGTGTGTGGATATTTTGTGCTTCCATTAAGGCAGGATTTCTTTAATGTGAACCTGAACCACAGCAGTATATGACTATAATTGGATTAGGATAAGAGAGGTATTTAAAAAACACCCCAGTTACACCATGTTCAATAACACTTGACTTAATAGGAAAGTAAAACACTAGTAAAATTCTAACTGTGCTTGTATTAGCAGCCAATTTCACACACTTTATTTTGTCCAGAAATCTAAAAATTGTGTTAGTACACACATGTGTGTGGATATTTTGTGCTTCCATTAAGGCAGGATTTCTTTAATGTGAACCTGAACCACAGCAGTATATGACTATAATTGGATTAGGATAAGAGAGGTATTTAAAAAACACCCCAGTTACACCATGTTCAATAACACTTGACTTAATAGGAAAGTAAAACACTAGTAAAATTCTAACTGTGCTTGTATTAGCTGCCAATTTCACACACTTTATTTTGTCCAGAAATCTAAAATAGATCTGTTTTCAAACAAGGCATATTTTGGTCTGTCTAGCTATCCATGGCTTGTTCTTCATCAAGGAACAAGTTGTGCCATGTGCCCCATTCTCCTGGCGTAAGGTGTGCTTGTAACTGGATATATTCTATAGTATACATATATATTTTCTATAATAACTGAGATCTCATGACAGTTTTTCTTGTTGGGCTTTCACAATATCATTGCCCTACAACTGTGTTCATTCAGTGGCCCAGCCTGGTGGTATCTTCATGTACGGGTGGGGGGAAAATGGAAAAGGTTAGAGGAGCTGCTGCCGCCTTCTGATCCCCTTGGGCAGGGTAAGAATTGCAGGCCCCAGAGTACAAATTGGCTCCTAAATCCCAAGGAGCTTTCTGCCATTCTGCGTGGGTGAATAAGGCCACCAAGGTCTGAGTCTAGCAGTGGCAGAGCCGTGGGGCAGTGGAACCAGGACACCTTCCTTCTCTAACACCACAGGTGATGTTTGCTGTGAGGAACATGTCTGCATCTTATGAAAGGAGATGGTGGTGTACTCTCCAGCTGCACAGATACCTTCTTGCTTCCTCAGTCCTCATGTAACCAAAACATCTCTATGACCTGCCATTGATGTCTCCTATCTATGAACACACAAGCAGATGCACAGATTGGTAGAGGAAACCTTAGAGAGCAGGATTAGGCCCTGCAATAAGGTTCCAAAAGACATTTGCAAAACTATTTGCTTCCAAGAGCTGCTAGAAGTATCTCAAGTCCTCAACCTGATGCACCATTTTCAAGAGGAGCATTCCAGACAGAGGTCCAGTGTAGTTTATTCTGGCTGGCTTGTAATCAGATCAACTGTTTTAAAGATAAGGACGTATATAAGCTTTCTCTGACTGTCATCTTTTTATGTTACACTGTAGCCCTCGCAGTTTTGGGGGGAAGTTGACATAGTTCTGCTGAGAAGGATGTTGCAGAGAGACTTCCATCTTCAGAATTCATTGAGATTTTTCTTTTAAACATGTATATTGCAGTTGTGTGTGGGTGGTCCAATTTGACATCTCAGGAGGAACTCCTTGGCTGCTTTGGAAGCTCACAATATTTTGAGGTTACATATATTCTGGGCTGCATCAAAAGGAGCATGACCAGCAGGGTGAGGGAGGTGATTCTTCCCCTCTACTCCACCTGGAGCACTGTGGCCAACTCTGGAGTTCTCAACATAAGAAGGACATGGATGCATTGTAGCTGGTACAGAGGAGGGTCATGGAGATGATCAGAAAGCTGGAGAACCTCTCCTGTGAAGACAGGCTGAGAGAGTTGAGGTTGTTCAGCCTGGAGAAGGCTCCGGGGAAACCTTATTGGCAGCCTTTCAGTACCCAAAGGGGGTCTACAGGAGAGATGGGGAGAGACCTTTTATCAGGGAATGTATGATAGCATTAAGGGATAATGGTTTTAAACTGAAAGAGGGGAGATTTAGACTAGATCTCAGGAAGAAATTCTTTGCTGTGAGGGTGGTGAGACCCTGGAACAGGTTGTCCAGAGAAGTTGTGGCTGCCCCATCCCTGGAAGTGTTCAAGGCCAGGTTGGATGGAACTTTGAGCAACCTGGTCTGGTGGGAGGTGTCCCTGGCCAGGGCAGAAGGGTTGGAACTCGATGATCTTTAAGGTCCCTTCCAACCTAAACCATTGTATGATTTCTTTCCAATAAGTGGTTGTAGTTTGCTCATACAAGAAGCCTCCAGTAGAGTTTGTGGTATTTTCCTATGGCTATGTGAGGTTGAGAGTTACAGGAAACCCCTCAGAGCAGCCCGTCCATTGCAGTCCTCTGTCTCACACTTGTGTTCCTTCCACATTATGGGAAGCAGAAGCGTTTTGTATCCAGTGCTTCCTAGTCTAGTGGATGTCAGCAATGCTGGGAGAAAAACTAAGCCTGGAGGGAACCCCAGGAGATGTTCTGCGTGGAAGCTAATGTTCAGGACTGTTAAAGCACAAGCCTTAATTGCTGGTGGCCCATTTTCCAGTGTGATAGTATTAGCAGCCAATTTCACACACTTTATTTTGTCCAGAAATCTAAAAACAGATCTGTTTTCAAACTAGGCATATTTCGGTCTGTCTAGCTATCCATGGCTTGTTCTTCATCAAGGAACAAGTTGTGCCATGTGCCCCATTCTCCTGGCGTAAGGTGTGCTTGTAACTGGATATATTCTATAGTATACATATATATTTTCTATAATAACTGAGATCTCATGACAGTTTTTCTTGTTGGGCTTTCACAATATCATTGCCCTACAACTGTGTTCATTCAGTGGCCCAGCCTGGTGGTATCTTCATGTACGGGTGGGGGGAAAATGGAAAAGGTTAGAGGAGCTGCTGCCGCCTTCTGATCCCCTTGGGCAGGGTAAGAATTGCAGGCCCCAGAGTACAAATTGGCTCCTAAATCCCAAGGAGCTTTCTGCCATTCTGCGTGGGTGAATAAGGCCACCACGGTCTGAATCTAGCAGTGGCAGAGCCATGGGGCAGTGGAACCAGGACACCTTCCTTCTCTAACACCACAGGTGATGTTTGCTGTGAGGAACATGTCTGCATCTTATGAAAGGAGATGGTGGTGTACTCTCCAGCTGCACAGATACCTTCTTGCTTCCTCAGTCCTCATGTAACCAAAACATCTCTATGACCTGCCATTGATGTCTCCTATCTATGAACACACAAGCAGATGCACAGATTGGTAGAGGAAACCTTAGAGAGCAGGATCAGGCCCAGCAACAAGTGTCCAAAAGACATTTGCAAAACTATTTGCTTCCAGGAGCTGCTAGAAGTATCTCAAATCCTCAACATGATGCACCATTTTCAAGAGGAGCATTCCAGACAGAGGTCCAGTGTAGTTTATTCTGGCTGGCTTGTGATCAGATCAACTGTTTTAAAGATAAGGACATATATAACCTTTCTCTGACTGTCATCTTTTTATGTTCCACTGTAGCCCTAGCAATTTTGAGGGGAAGATGACATAGTTCTGCTGAGAAGGATGTTGCAGTCCAGGAGCTGCTAGAAGTATCTCAAATCCTCAACATGATGCACCATTTTCAAGAGGAGCATTCCAGACAGAGGTCCAGTGTAGTTTATTCTGGCTGGCTTGTGATCAGATCAACTGTTTTAAAGATAAGGACATATATAACCTTTCTCTGACTGTCATCTTTTTATGTTCCACTGTAGCCCTAGCAATTTTGAGGGGAAGATGACATAGTTCTGCTGAGAAGGATGTTGCAGAGAGACTTCCATTTTCAGACTTCATTGAGATTTTTCTTTTAAACATGTATATTGCAGTTGTGTGTGGGTGGTCCAATTTGACATCTCAGGAGGAACTCCTTGGCTGCTTTGGAAGCTCACAATATTTTGAGGTTACATATATTCTGGGCTGCATCAAAAGGAGCATGACCAGCAGGGTGAGGGAGGTGATTCTTCCCCTCTACTCCACCTGGAGCACTGTGGCCAACTCTGGAGTTCTCAACATAAGAAGGACATGGATGCATTGTAGCGCCAACTCTGGAGTTCCCAACATAAGAAGGACATGGACCTGTTGGAATGAGTACAGAGGAGATGATCAGAAAGCTGGAGAACCTCTCCTGTGAAGACAGGCTGAGAGAGTTGAGGTTGTTCAGCCTGGGGAAGGCTCCGGGGAGACCTTATTGGCAGCCTTTCAGTACCCAAAGAGGGTCTACAGGAGAGATGGGGAGAGACCTTTTATCAGGGAATGTATGATAGCATTAAGGGATAATGGTTTTAAACTGATGTACGATAGCATTAAGGGATAATGGTTTTAAACTGAAAGAGGGGAGATTTAGACTAGATCTCAGGAAGAAATTCTTTGCTGTGAGGGTGGTGAGACCCTGGAACAGGTTGTCCAGAGAAGTTGTGGCTGCCCCATCCCTGGAAGTGTTCAAGGCCAGGTTGGATGGAACTTTGAGCAATCTTTCCAATAAGTGGTTGTAGTTTGCTCATAAAAGGAGCCTCTGGTAGAGTTTGTGGCATTTTCCTATGGCTATGTGAGGTTGAGAGTTACGGGAAACCCCTCAGAGCAGCCCATCCATTGCAGTCCTCTGTCTCACACTTGTGCTCAAGAAGCCTCCAGTAGAGTTTGTGGTATTTTCCTATGGCTATGTGAGGTTGAGAGTTACAGGAAACCCCTCAGAGCAGCCCGTCCATTGCAGTCCTCTGTCTCACACTTGTGCTCCTGCCACATTCTGGGAAGCAGAAGCGTTTTGTATCCAGTGCTTCCTAGTCTAGTGGATGTCAGCAATGCTGGGAGAAAAACTAAGCCTGGAGGGAACCCCAGGAGATGTTCTGCGTGGAAGCTAATGTTCAGGACTGTTAAAGCACAAGCCTTAATTGCTGGTGGCCCATTTTCCGGTGTGATAGTTACATTCTAATGTACCAATTCTGCTTCAATCCTGCTTGATGCTGGCACAAGCACAGACTAAACTGCTAATCCCCAGCGTGCCCAGTCTGCTCCCTGCTTGCACTGTCACTCTGCTTGCTCCCCGCAGGCTCCGTGCTTGTCAAAAATCTCTAAGTTGCCATTTCCATGAGGATCCACTAATGCATGTCCTTCCTGACGTGTTGGTTAACAGATCCAACCATTGAAGTGGTCAGTCCCATGCAGGACATAACTGTTGATGAAGATGGCACAGCAGAGTTCATATGCCAATATTCTAGGCCAGTACACGCCATATGGAAGAAAAATGATCAGGAAATACATGCAGATGGGCAGCGAGTGATTATCGATCAGGACTGGAATGTAAGCATGCTAAAAATTAAACCTACGGTACCAGAAGACACTGGCATCTATTCTTGTGAAGCTGAAGGCATTAAAGTGATGGCTGCACTTGATGTTCAAGGTGAGGTCTTCCACCCAAAAGAGGAAGACTATCATGGGTTCCAAATTAGAGGTGGAAAAATCATGGCAGCATCTCACAATAAGTCACAGATCAGATGAAACCTGCTTTTTGATGTTCACTCCAGTACTGATAACGATGATAAAAGTAGTTGGGAGTTAATGGGGATTGAATAGGAAACTGCAGCATTTCACTGGAGTTTAGTTCTAATTAATGCTCCCTTATTACACCACTTACACATCCTACCTCTTCTACAGTGAACCGCAACCTCAGTGCAATGGGGCATGTCCTGCTGAGCTATTGTGAAGGGACAGGTGTAATGTTGGTCCAAAGAAATAACAAGGATACTTTTTGCTGTTACAGAGTTATTTTTCTGCACATTGTGCCTTAAAACCAGTAGCTAATGGATAGCGTGGAATTTCATTTTATTTTCAGCTAAGCTAAAGTAGTTTGATATTTTACTTATTTCAAATACTGATCATTCAGGAGCTATCTTCTTACTTGTCATCAGCATTTTTGAGAAACAGCAGATAAAAAATTTAAAATAGTCTTAGGATTTTATATTGATGTTTCTTACTTTTTACTGCTTTGTATGAAATTATTCTTTTTGGTCATCAGATTGGATTAGTGTGATCAGCCACAACAGGGGATCTGATTTGATTTCTGAATTTTTGTGTTTTGTTAGGCAATTATGCCTTCTAGTCTTAATCAGGGCTGCGAGTACAGAAGAGCAGGGTATTGTTTATTTTCTACATTGATAATTATTTTCTACATTGATAAGCATTTTCCATTTTAGGGATTTAAGAAGATGTTAATGAACATAATCTAAAAGCATCCCAGAGGAGGCAGGATTTGCAATTGTCTGCCTTTCATAGTTAGGAAACCGGTACTCCAAAAATGCACAAATAAACAGCTTGGATTTGTTTTAACAAAATTATACATTCTCCAAGGGTTTACCAACCCCATCTAGAATTTTTTTAGTAACTCGCATTTCGGGTTTTTTTGCTATTAAATAGATTGTTCAGGGTTTTTTTGATTATTTTTTTTTTGTGATTATTTTTTTCTTAGCATAGTTCCAGCTAACGGTTATAGAGATCTAAACAGGAATGTCTTAGGGCGTTGGTTTATATTATAGATTATGCTGACTGTTGTATGATATTTGTGTAAATTGTATTTACTCAACCATGCATTCCCACTGTTGTGCATGTAATTTGTCCGTGTAGCTGGTCTAACACGAATTACATTCACACGCACCAGCCCACATTTAATTTTGCAGCAGGCTGATTGCTTATTTATGAATGCCAACTGATGCGTGACTCTGCAGGCAAATGGAGTGTGTAGATACGTGCATGTTTCTCACCAAAAAATTCACCCCACACGCATGAGAAAATAAACCTAATACGTTATCACAGAGCTTTTGTAATAATTCAGAAGTTTACTATTAAAAATACCATTAATGCAGATTTTAATTCTTTGTGTGCTGCCTGGAGGCAGAATTGCAAATGTGCTCTTAACTCAGATGACAGTCACTACAGCTTTGTCAGCTACAGTATCCTCTTGCGTTTGCTTTGCATGAAAGATAGCAAGATTTTGTCATGAGCTCTCAGTGGATTCACATCTCCCCAGATACGATGACAATTGCGCTGCCTGGCAGATCTGTGGAAAATGTTTCCTGCTGTGGGACAGAAGGAATTTGATGATACTTTATCATCTTGAGCTATCCCCTCCTATCAGCGATTGACCTGATTCATATAAACACCAACATTTTTTACTTTATTTGTAAAACACAAATTGGGTTTCTGGAGGAAGTCTAGATGAAACGCTAGAGGTTCTAGAGGTTTATCATTATTTTTAAACTATCTCACTGCTTAAAATGTTTTTTGGAGGACCATGAAGATGATCAGAGGGCTGGAACACCTCTGCTATGAGGACAGGCTGAGAGACTCGGGGTTGTTCAGCCTGGAGAAGAGAAGGCTCCGGGGTGACCTTAGAGCTCCTTCCAGTATCTAGAGGGCCCACAAGAAAGCTGGAGAGTGACTTTGTACAAGGGCATGTAGTGATAGGATGAGGGGTAATGGCTTCAAACTGAAAGAGGGAGATTTAGATGAGATCTCAGGAAGAAATTCTTTACTGTGAGGATGGTGAGATGCTGGAACAGGTTGCCCAGAGAAGCTGTGGGTGCTCCATCCCTGGAGGTGTTCATGGCCAGATTGGATGGGGCTTTGAGCAACATGGTCTAGTGCAAGGTGTCCCTGCTCATGGCAGGGACTTTGAAACTTGAAGATCTTCCAACCTAAACAATTCTATGATTCCGTTATTCTTTAAATAAGTTTTGTGTTAGGGCATGGCTGAAATTAACAACAAAATCTACAAGCACATTTTATGACATCCATGTCCTTTCCATCAGCTTTCCAGCAGTGGGAATCATCCAGTGCTCCGAGGCTTGTTAATATTCAGGTAGGCATAGCCAAATAATTAATACTATTCATCATCCTTCTTTGCCAGCCAAGAACAGCATTGTCCAGGGCTTGGAGAATGTGGAAGCCGTGGAAGGAGGGGAAGCCCTGTTTGAATGCTACCTTTCCAAGCCCGAGTGCTACAACTACAACTGGCTGATTGACGATGAGCCTGCCAAAACTACAGAAAACACTGAGATGGTTTACTTTGAGAATGGGCGCCGGCATATTCTGCTGCTGAAGAACCTCACTCCCCAGGACAGCTGCAGGGTGACCTTTATGTGCAGCGATGCAGTGACCTCAGCCTTCCTGACAGTGAAAGGTAACTCAAGCACTCATGCACAGGGAGTCTTAAAATTCTGGTTGGAAAGCACAAATGAACCAGGACAATGATGAGTATGAGAGAGGAAAAGTTGCATTTGTTGCTTGCTTCTTACCTAAATCCTCTTCCTGTGCAATAAATGGCAGATGTTTTACAGTTTCTTCTTCTTCCATATGCCATGACACAGATATGAGCAGCATCAGTTGGCAATGAGATAGTAGCGAATGACTGTCTTAAAATTGTCATTATTCTGAAGAGTTGGGTTGGGTTGGGTTGTGTTTAAAGATACTTCAGCGCTCCAGAGGTGAGAGTTATAGCAGTAACAATACTATCTCTGTGTCCTTGTATTTTATGCTATTACTGGGAGCCTTGAGGGATCGGAATGCCCTTGAGTACAAGAAGTGCCACTCTCAGTCAAGGCATAGTATCTCCATTGTGGTTTTCTGCTACTTGGGAAAGAAAGACATCGATGGGTTGATTTTTGCTCCTGAAAGTTTTGGAAAGTTTCAGTCTCCGATGGTTCCTTCTGTTCTGGTGATATACAAAACCTCCCTTTTCATGATCTCCTTGGTCTCCAAGGTCTGACTGTCCAGAGCTTCACAAAAATATTCACAAAATCTCTTGCCTGTCTTTGTTTCTGTAACTGAGGGCTTGATTACATTTTTTATCTACAGGATGGCGCCTACAGATCTTGCAGCCTCTCACTGATGTGGAAGTGTCTCCAGGGGAGAAAGCTACATTTAGCTGCGTTCTAAGTGAAGCTGTGCCAATTAATGAGGTTGCCTGGTACAGTAATGACATAGAGATCCAGTCAGATGAGGACTGGGAGATACAAGCAGATGGAAACAAATACAAACTTATTCTGAAAAAAGCCCAACCGCATCATTCTGGAGAAGTGACCTTTGCTTCCAGGGAAGCAATTGCATCCGCCAAGTTATCTGTGATAGGTAAGTGTCCGTCGTTCTAGCCCAGTGGCACTTGAAATCTCTCTCACTTGGTACTGAGCTACAACACTGACTTTTCTAATCTCTGTACTGATTCTTTTCTCTTTGCCTTGCGTGTCCCAAGCTAGTGTTCTTAGTCTGAGAAGATGCCACTGGGCAACTTGGTTTTTGACGAGAAACCGTTCACTTCATCAGAAGAAACTTGTATCAGGCTGGCTGATATGATGAATCAGACAATGGTAGAGAAGTTCACCAGCTTTCTTTAGCTGCAGACTTTTGTAAATTGTAACATAGAGTCTAAGGGAAATCAATTTACTCAGAATTCAGCATCACCCTCTGCAAAAGTGGACATGGGAGGGAGCTGAACTAGAGGGCACATGAAAAGATTATCCAGGGCAGCAGAGAACCCTTTGAAATCTGCTAATCTTCTCAAATGTTGGGCAACCAGTTTTCCAGATTAATGACTTACATATCAAAATCTTCATGTGTGTGACATCCATGAAACACATGCCTTGTACTTCAGAGATACAAGAGTTAATAGCTCTTGGAGTACTTCAAAAGCATACAAGATGATAGTTCCCTAGTTTGGTTGTGGGGCAGGTTCGACCAATGATCCGTCAATGTTCACCCAAGGTCTGGTTCCTTCCCACGGTGGGACACTTGGGTCACCCAGCAATGGGCATGCCAGCACAACCCCAGTGATGATTATGGGATAGTTATGATGTCTTTTAGCCTTACACTGTTCTTGAGATGTTCAAGAGTCACTGATTGACCATCCCTGCTTTAAATGATTATAGGTAGTCTGTCTGTCTAATGACTTCTGAGACTTGACTTATTCCAGTCGTTTCCACAAAAAAAATAATTGGGTGTTGATGGATTTAAGACAGGTTTATCTTATTTTAGGGATCTACAGTTTAGAAACTGCAAAATATTATCCTCATAAACTCCTCCTGTTGATGGGTTCTCTGTACGAAATTTGGCTGAAAATAGAGAAAATAAGCTTATATGTTATGTAGAAAGGAATGTTTCTGGTGTCCAGAATTGCAGAACTGTCTGATTACCTTATTTGCCTCTAATTTGTTGGACTGGTACATCATGGCAGGTCATTTCTGTCTTCTAAGCTAAAATGTAAATTAGGTGAGGAACATTTTATGGTGTACTGAGTATGATCATCAGTAGCCAGTCTGGTAGGACACAAGACCATTCCCATTATGTATTTATTTGTTATTGCCTGATGCTGTGACATATATAGCAATTACACAGAAATTGAGTGACTTGCTATTAAATGACTAGAGAGTTACTCTGTAGTCCAACAATAACTTGATTTCCATTAGGACCAGACCTGAAATAAATATGATCAATGCCCAAACATATTTAATTTTTCAGCTAAGTTCCTTGATAATACAGGCAGCAAAGTGTCATCGAAATAAAGATTTATTTTGAGCCAGCTGCAATAAAGTAGCGGGAAAAAAATCACAATATGAGACACTAAGTATGTGAGATGACAGTTGGAAAACGAATAACATTAGCAGTGTAGATCAGGGCAGACAAAGGAAAACTCAGTGGTGCACAGGTATATCTCATGGCAACGAGCATATACCCATCAACTTTACAATAAGGCAAATATTGAATCTATTGAGCTTCCTTTTCATTGCTTGTAGAAGGGTCTTGGTTGTTTCAGTATAAAGCATTACTGCTCATGTCGTACATCACGGGACCTCTGTTGTGCCTTCAGCCCACCCCGATCCACCTGAAGAACCAGAAGTTTTAAGTAAGAACAGCCACTCTGTCACTCTGTCTTGGTACAAGCCGTTGAGCGATGGCGGTTGTGACATCCTAGGCTACAACGTGGAGAGGAAAATCCCAGGTATTGGCTGGCAGTCGTGCAGCAAGGGCATTATTCAAAACACAGAGTTTACAGTGGACAATCTCACCCCAGGTGAACCCTACAGATTCCGCGTCTCGGCTATAAACAAAGTTGGGGCCAGCGAGCCGGTGCACTTCCCTCAGACGGTGAGGCTAGGTGAGAACGGAGAGGTGCCCCCATGGAGGACTGCAAGCTGCTCTAGACCTTGTGTTTCGCATGGCGTGCCTGCTTCACCCATTCCAGGCATCTCCTGGAAGACCGTTTTTCAGTGCTTTGCTGCCAACACAATAGAGGAGAAAGAGCTTGGGAAAATTGTTCTGGGCTGCCGCGAACAAAACCTGCTGCGTTGTTAGTTCTCAACACTTATTTTCTCCAAACTGCATCCAGCTGTCTTGCGGCCTGCATTGCATCAATGCATTGTCTGGTCACCAGGAGTTTCTTTTCTGGTGGAATTAGGATGGAATGAGTCAAAAGGGGCATGTTGGAATGCATTTTGGGTGGGCAGTGTCATCTTCTTCACCCATCTTTCTCTTTTGTTATGTTATTTGCATATCTTGGGGTAACTAAGATCCTGGTACCAATGTGGAGGGTGGGCAGTGTTGTCTTCTTCACCCATCTTTCTCTTTTGTTATATAATTTGCATATCTTTTTCAATAAACCCCACAAAGAAATGGTGGAGGACACAGTTTCTTTGCTGTCTGTTGGTGAAACTTTGGAAGCTTCAGTGGGATGGAGACCCACTCCCTCAGCCTTTCTCTTCTTGCAACTCTTTCTGTGATAGCTGAATGTCCAACAAATTCCTCCAAGTGACAATAATAACAATAAAAAAAAAAATCCTCTTTTTGCAACATAACAACTGCCAGTGTGTCAGCTGGGCACCGATAGCACTGTGTATGTTGACTTGGTCTACAACTAACCCAAAGTGTTTGGGGCAGTGGTCCCTTCACCCCAGTGAAATTTGCAGAGGGGCAGATCATGCTCAAGAGCTGCTGTTTTTGGATACTCCCCTGTGTGCTTTACATGCCAGCCAACATCTCCACATTCAGTTGAGGCCTCCTTCCAAAGTAGAAGAAGACACAGAGATTTTTTTATTTTTAGATTCTTTATGCTTTTTGAGAATTCTTACTCTTCCTAAGCAAATGTAAATATAGAAATTTTCTTTTCTTTTTTTTTTTTTTTTTTACTTTCAAGACTGGGTTTAATTCCCCTTTTAATAATCTCTTCTCTTTTTAAATTCTTTTTATTGTTTCTTTCTTGTCTCTCTTCAGAACTGCTTCACTTATAAACATTAAAATCTTCTACAATCTGTAGGACTGCTTGAATACTGGTGATGGGTAAATGAAGATCAGCAAATATGCAGGAATGTGAAAATGCAACCACTTTTGCATGTGTATATTTAAATGGAGCTGGTTTAACTGCTGGGAGAGCTTGTGAAGTTATTTTGGTGTTACCTTTGGAATTGCAAACTTTGGATGCCGCCAGTCATTTGTTTTTTTCCTTTGGTTGTCTACAACAGCTAAAGAACCTATGGATGACGGATGGGATGTTTGGGTATTTTCTGGAGTGATCTCGAGTGTCTTAAAGTCAAATTATGATATGTTCTTTGTGTTAATTTACCTTTTTTTTTAATTACAGAGCCTCCTGTTACAGTCACTCAACCTTTGGTGGGAGGATCAGTCTCAGAAGGGGAAGTGGCTCGTTTGGAGTGCAAATTATCAAGTGAAATCAAAGAGAGTGTGACATGGTTCAAAGGAAAAGAACAAATACGTGCTGGAGGGAGATACGAGATCCTCTCTGATGGAAAAAAGCAGACACTCATTATTCATGCATTTAAACCTGAAGATCAGGACACATACACCTGCATGGTTTCTCCAGAAGTCAAATCTGTTGCCAGCTTGTGTCTTGAAGGTAAAGAGAGTACGTTCCTGTGATGTTAAATCAGTTCTGTTTATGGACATCCAGGAGCATCTCCACAGCTTGGGCTGGAATTCATTTTCTTTTACAAGCTTGGATAAAAATCCACAAATAATTGTTATCTTCCTGTTCAGTATTGCCCAGTACATTTCCAAATCCCTAACAGCTTTGAACTGCTCAGATAAGATTTTCCTGAGTCAGATATTTAAAGTGTGATATAGTTGTCTTTACGTGGGTTTCTGGTGCCTTTTGAGATGCTTTGGGGTATTCTGCTCAGCCTTCAGCTGCCGCTTCAGAAAGTGAGGGCTCTTTTGTATGTTCTGCTTGGTATCTGCCAGCCCTCTGTCCTAGACATCCCAAATGGCTTTGGGTCATATTGTTTAGGAGGCTGTCTCTGCAGGGAGATTCAGTGGCCGCCACACAGGCATCTAGTGCCATTGAGGCACTTCAGGATATTGCTCCTGGCCTCCAGCTTCTTCAGAGGGACTTGGAGCACTCATAGGTCCTGTGTTGTATGTGAGAGTCACATGTGGATGTCCCAGACAGCCTGGAGCATCTCAAATGGCACTGGGCACTATGTGGAGAAAAGGGGTGAGTCACAACCTTCTGTCCTAGACACATCTTAGCAGGCAGTTGTCTCCTTCTGAGGTGGGAGTGTTAGCTCCCATTATAGCCAGCAGAGATCTATTCAAGACAGTGAAGCCCTGTCTAGCTGTAAAATAGGATGAGCCTGAGTAGCTTTCCAGGCTCCACTGACAGTCTTGGCTTGGTATTCACCAACTGCAATATTTTAAAAGGGCAGAAAATTATTTCTTGGGTTCAAATGTGTGAGGAATTAAAAAAAAAAAAAAAAAGTTGTTTGGAAATGTTTTAATCACAGGATAGTTGAGGTTGCAAAGGTCTTCTGAAGACAGTGTAGTCCAGCCCTCAGCTCAAATTAGGGTCACAGAATCACATGGGGTTGGAAGGGACCGCCGGAGATCAGCTAATCTAATTCCACCTAGAGCAAATAGTCCAAGACCACATCCAGTAATATTAAATTCACATTTTTTCCTCAACAGAATGCTTAGTTAAATGCCACTGATAGCCCTCTACCTGGTCTTTAGAATAACGTTTCCATGTGCTTTCTCAGAGCTTAGTCACAGACTTGTAAAATCTTATCAATTTAATTCTCCTCAGTTCCAACAGTGACAATGCTAAAAGAGATCGCCAGAGAAGCACCTCCTGCAAGACCATCAGAAGAGCTGGTGGATGGCCAAGTGCAGCCCAGCTTGCCCCCTGAGGCTGCTCAGGAGGGAGACCTTCATCTCCTGTGGGAAGCCCTGGCCAAGAAACGCCGGATGAGCCGGGAGCCCACCTTGGATTCCATCAGCGAGGTGCCTGAAGAGGACGAGAAGCTTCAGAAGTTGAGGAAGGAGGAAGCAGAGATGTCTCACTATTACTCAGAGGAGTACTCCACATGTGATGAGCTGGCTAGGACAGGAGAAGCAGATTTCTCTTTCACAAGCTCAGATGATGAGTCTAGAGCTGGGACTCCTTCACTGGTGAACTACCTCAAGAAAGCTGGGAAGACAAGTGTCAGTGTTACTAGCAAGGTTCAGTCCATCTCCACAGGCAAATTATGGAAACAGTGGGAGAAATCCAGTGTAGAGACTGTTGTGTCGGCCTCAGCTGCTCAGCCAGTGGAACCAGAAATGCCAGATTTAGATGATCCTTCTATGAACAAGGCCGCCGTGAAGATCCAGGCTGCTTTCAAAGGCTACAAAGTCAGGAAAGAGATCAAGCAACAAGAGTGCCCAGTGTTTACTGAGACCTTCAAAGACTTCTCTGGTGAGCCTGGAAGCACTCTCCATCTTGAATGTGTGGCCCACAGCAAAACTGACATGAAAGTCCGTTGGCTGAAAGACGGGGAAGAGCTTTCAGATGGTCGCTATTATCACATAGACAATTACAGTGACGGAACCTGCTCTTTGATTATCACTGGCCTGGACAGGAAAGATGCTGGTAAATACACCTGTGAGGCATCCAATAAATTTGGCAAGGTTTCACACAGTGCTAAGGTGGTCATTGGCACTCAGGAACCTCAAGTTCTTCGTAAGGAGAAGCAGGTCAAACCAAGCACTGACAGTGAGACAGAGAGCTCATCTGGGAGTGAACTGGATGATGCTTTCCGAAAAGCAGGAAGGAGACTTCATAGACTCTTCAGGGCCAAGATCTCAACAGAGATATCTGATGTGGAGGAAGAGCTCTTTGTCAGTGCAGATGAAGGAGACATAGAGGTGGTCGACCATCAGACATATCGTGAGGATGACCAGTACATCTACATCAAGTTTGAAATCTTGTCTGAGGCGAAAACTGCTGCCACTCGATTCAGAGAGATGTTTGGTGCTCTGGGAATTCCCGTGGAGATTGACATTTTGGAACAAGGCCCTAAAAAAATTGAATTGCGTATTGGGAAAGCAACACCACCCACCCATGGGAAGTTTCCACCACCGCTAGTGAGACCTCCACCACCTTTGCTGACTTCTGATACAGGTAGGTGAAGCAAACTTGCTTATTCTTTGGAAAAGACAGCTGAAGCAGGTCAAAATGTTATATTTTTAGTCATGAGTAACATCCAAAAAGGCTTTGTTTTTCATTTGGTGCAGATATTTTCCTGGAAACTTTGCACTTTTTGAAAAACTGATGCATTTTTTTAATTCTTCATTTTGAGGGAGAGGAAGGAAGTTAGTGATGAAGGAGGGAGTTGCAAAGTATCGACTTCCCTACAAAGCTGCTTTTCACAACGGAAAAGTCCCTTACTACAATAACATGGTCATAAATGCTATGATTATTATGCTTAAATAAATGAAATAGTTTTCAGAACAGTCCTGAGGGAGAACAGATGTATCAACAAGGAGAAGAACAGAGGCAATATATAGTTTGCAGCTGTTGTACTGCAATGCTTATGGTATTAAGGAATATTTTCATAGTGCTTGTCAGGGTGTTTCTTCTTGATCGTTTTCATAGTCTCCAATTAAAACCAATCTACATAGTCTGCAATTAAAAAACCTAGAAACCAGAATTCTTCAGGCACTGGGCAGCAGTGCTATTAACAGACATCTTTTAACACAACCAGGTTTTTCTTTTCTTCTCTCCTAACTACCCTGACTTTAGCTCCCATGTTCCTGACTGAACTCCAAAACCAAGAGGTGCAAGATGGATACCCAGTCAGCTTTGACTGCATCGTCGTTGGCAAACCACTCCCCACGGTTCGCTGGTTCAAGGATGGGAAAGCTATTGAAGAAAATGATCATTACATGATCAATGAGGACCAGGAAGGGTGCCATCAGCTGATCATCACAGCTGTAGTCCCCACTGACATGGGTGTTTACCGTTGCCTTGCTGAAAACAACATGGGAGTTGCTTCAACCAAGGCAGAGCTTCGAGTTGACTGTAAGTCTCAAAATCACTGTAGAAAAAAGCAAGGGAAGGGATCCTGCTGAGAGGTGGATTATTTTTTTTCCAAGAAAAATCCCATTTATATTAAAAGAAAATGTATGAATTGCCCATAAAATGTTTCACTTGCAAAGCTCTTGGGTTCAGTTGGGTTTTGCCAACACCGAGGCAAGGCTCAGAGAAAAGATTTTTGGGTAAACAGAGGTGTTTTTCGTAATCCAGGGGCCTGTGAGACCCTGCTGCAGTGGCAACATGAAATCGAACTGCCAGTCACTCAAATTAGTAGAGAAACTATATAGTAAGAAAAATAGTTTCAAAGCTCAGAGTATAAAAGACGCTTCCTTTTTCCATTTAACAGTGACCAGCACTGACTATGAGACAGCAGCAGATGCAACAGAGACATCGTCTTACTACAGTGCCAAAGAATATATTTCAAGGTAAAATATCGACCTCCAGCTCCTTATAACTTCTGACTTGATAAGATCAATATGTATATTTACATCAAGCCTGTTTTTTTCTATATCTGGCAGGGCCAGTTTAATGTCATAAAGAAACAGCCAGACCAGCTGAGATGCAATAACTGCAACAGCTGGACATTTATCACGTCTGAACGTGCTCTGGCTGCCTTTAGGGCAGCCTGGATATTTCCTCATGGTATCGCTCCAGTATTTTTCATGTTATATAGTGATGAATCAGGGAGAGGAGCAATAGGGTGAGGGCTAATGGTTTTAAACTGAAAGAGGGGAGATTTAGATTAGATCTCAGGAAGAAATTCTTTGCTGTGAGGGTGGTGAGACACCGAAACAGGTTGCCCAGAGAAGTTGTGGATGTCCCATCCCTGGAGGGGTTCAAGGCCAGGTTGGATGGGGCTTGGAGCAACCTGGTCTAGTGGGAGGTGTCCCTGCCCAGGGCAGGGGGTTGGAACTAGATGATCTTTAAGGTCCCTTCCAACCTAAAGCACTCTACAATTCTATGATTCAAAAGCCGACAGACTGAATTAAACCTAAAATAGGTGATTCCAGTTCCTAACTCTTTTCTGGCTTGCTGACTTTCTTCTTTCTGATTCTAATTGCTGCTTAGCCGAGAACAGGAAGAATCTACCAATGAGGAAGAGCAATTGCCCCAGATCTTCGATGAGCTTCATGATATTCATGTGGCACCTGGAGCATCGCTGGCTAAATTTCACCTGAAGGTGAAAGGTGAGAGGAGTCCACAGCCTGGTCAGTTTTTCCAGGTTGAAATGCTGGACATGGTTTTTCCATGTGCTCTTCTGCAGCTGTGACCCCTGTCTCTGCATCTTGCACCACGTTTGCACAAACCAGCCAGAAGAACGTGTATGTGCTAATAAACAATGACTTTTTGCAGCAATAATCAGGCAGGTTAAGTGTCTCATTCTGTGTCAGTGTCTACAGGCATAATTACAGGCATATGCTTCTGAAAACTGAATCCTGTAATTCTCTAAGAACATTAGTTATGGAGGAGCAATAAGGAATAGAAAAAAAGATAGTGAGAGTATCCTTTATTCTCATTAATAAGTTAAAAAGTCTTGGGCTTGCCTTACTTTATAAGGAGGTTGTGATACAACCTGAAAACTGCAAAAACATCCTCCTGGTGTTGACTGTCTGTCTGTCTGTTGACTGACTGCAGGGAGAGGTAGGGATTCTTCTGTTTTCTCCAATTGCTGCCTATAAAAATGGTGAGAACTGCTTTGGTTCCAACTTTTCTCCTTGTCTATATTGCAAATCAGACTTAAGTGTTACCTTTCCAACCTGGAAGGCATTTGCTTGTGCAGCCAATACAGAGAGTGCCAGGAACTAAAGAGACAGGACAGAACTTTACCAAATAAATAGAATTTAATGAATTTGCAGCCATTCCTAATTGAGTAAAACCTTGAAACAGCAGCCCTGGGCAGAGCTGAGGACTCCTTGGCTGCTCAGAAGGATCTGCCTGGTTGGAGATGCTCCCGAGTCTCTGTTATCAATGAATTGTGTTCTCCGTGTCTGTAACTGCTCCTTGCAGGGTACCCACAGCCTCGTCTCTATTGGTTCAAAAATGGACAGCCATTAAAGCCCTCGGACCGTATCCTGAAGACTGATAAACAGGAATTCCACTCGCTGGAAATTCGTGACGTCACTAAGGCAGATGCTGGCCAGTACTCAATATTTGTCATCAACTCTGCTGGTTCTGCATTTTCGTCAGCCAGGCTGGTAGTCAAAGGTAGGTATTGGATTGTTTTTGGCACCTGATTTTTCTCTGTCTAGTGGCTCTTTCTATTTTCCATAGTTATTTTTGTTGAGAAAACCTCTCAAGATAAGTCAAAGGAGGTGAGAAGTCTGTAGATAAAAGATGATGTGCTTTAACGTTGTTTTATCTGTCAATTTACTGTGTCCCATGAGAAATGAGACATGTCACTTCTCTAGGGTCTGACTGTTGTCTCATAAATGTATATTTTATTCCTGCCCAACCTCATTAATTGTAATACTTAATTTTATTAAAACTGAGGGTCTCTTATAAATGATACTAACATTTCTGTGTACTGTCTCCTGCAAGGGGTAATCCCCTGGAGTCACTTTTTTTTTTTCTTTAACTCATGGACAGAAAGTTATTTGTATTTGTCACTTTGTTATTTTTCCTTGTTTTACAGATCCTTATGAGAAAGAAGAGCCATCAGAAGCAGGTGAGAGAAGCCGTAGCAGGTGATAACAGAAACCCTAGGAATTTTTCAGTAAACTGACCCAGAAGATGTCACCATGTTTCACCCATAATGTCTTTTTCAGATTCCCGTGAGCAGCTGATACCGCCAAGGTTCCTGGAAAGATTTACTAACAAAAAGGTGAAAAAAGGTGCCAGCATCACATTATCTGTAAAAGTGGAAGGTAAGTGGATAGATACGTTGCCTCTCTGCATAACACTTGCCTTCCATAACTTCATGGCACATTCTAGACCCTCTCTGACCCGTCATTGTAAACTCATTGCCTGTACCTGAAGCCTGGGGCTCTATTCCCAGCTTTGTAAGAGAGTTTATGTGTTCTACAGAAAGTATCTTACTCATCTTCACCTCCATTTTCCTGTATGTAAAAACAGGGATAATATTTATTAGTCTTATGAAGATGTGTTGATTAACAGGTTTGGTTTCGCAAAAAGGTTTAATGTGCTTATGAGTGTGCTGTAGAAAGGTTTATGTTCCTTTATTTTATATTCCTTTATTTTATGCCTGTTATTGTTGGAAACCTATCAGGAAATAGATCAAAATAGCATTTACTGCTATCTTTTGCTAATAGCATGGTTCATATTGTAAGGAAGGAACACCGTTAGGAAAATAGAAGCTCATTGCATTTGTTTTCCTTTAGGACATCCACCACCAACTATTACTTGGATGAAAGAAGTGTCTCGGGAGGACATCCTGTGGATCAAACCAGACACGCCTGGATATAAACTTGCCAGTTCGAATATGCATCACAGTTTAATTCTCTTGGATGTTAAAAAGAAGTACAGTGGAGCTTATACATGCATCGCTACCAACCAGGCTGGGCAGTCCATCTGCACCGCCAACCTGGAAGTTGCAGACGGTAAATCTTTCTTACAGTACAAACACATTCTCTGTGTTCCCTTTCATACAGTGCCTAAAAGAAAAACAAGTGTGAATGATAAGGATATTAATCAAATCACAACTGAAAAAAAAATATTTTTCCCTAGATTAGCTGCGAATTTGCTTGACTTGCAGATGTTTACATTCTTTACTTCTGTAATGTTTGGATTAACAGAAGCACCTTTTCTGTATAAACAGAAGATAAGTCTAAGAAACAACCAAATTAAGCACAAAGGAAGAAGAGAGGAATGTAAATTAACTAGAGAAAGTCACCACATAAAAAAGTCTTTTGAGTGCTTCGCTCTGCCAAGGTATTTTGCGTGACAGAATTTCCTTAAGGCAGCCAGAGTTATTTGATTCCCCTTTGGCTGAGCTTTCCAGAGCCTCTCCTGGCATAAATCCTTCAGTGGGAGGTATAACAAGCTAAATACAGGCTGGGAGTAGGGGAAGCATGAGAAGGACTTCATATTTTTGTTATCCTTCCTTGCATCCCTCATTTTTACTATACCAAGAGCTACAGAAGCATAGGTTAGGTGTAGAGAAATGGGGCAACCATACATCTGTGTGAACAGGGAAGGAGGTAAACTGTTTGCATCATTTTAGTGGGAGTATGTATCTCAGGTCAGATTGAGTATTCCAGTGTTCCTAGTAATCTATGTGTAGAAAATGTGCCTACATTAAATACATAAAAAGACCACTCTCTGCCTTCTGTCCTCTAATGATACACCCTAATCTTGCAGTGAAAGAGGCTGAAGTGCTGACCCAAGAGCGCGTGATGGTGTCAGAAGCCATCATGACCACGCTGGGGTAAGTGGTTGGCCACCCGTGCTGAAAGGGAGCAGTGCAGGTACCACCCTGCAGAAGTTCCCCTGAGTTGCTTTTAGGAAGTGTCCACTTTAATGTGTTATACTCACATCTCAGCATTAGAGTTAAAATAGTTGGAGGTTCTAGGATGGAAAGCGCTATGAATATTCTAGTAACAATGTCAGACATTTATGCTCGATTATCAGGGAGGACAAGAACAAGGACAAAAAGTAAAATAAAAAATTGCGTAGGTCATATAAAATTCTTGCTACTTTTCATCTCCTAAGCAGAATGCCAAAAAAATTCACAGGGTCAATGTCTGACTGCTACTTGCCAACTTTGAAATGCACTGATGCTTCACAGAAAAAGAAGTAGATGAGAAGGTTCTGCTCACAAACTTCCTGTTTACAAACGCACCTGAAGAATAACCTCCTCAATTTGCCATTTTTGGCTTGTGCCATAGGCAGATACAGTCTGAAAAGTGGTATCCACATGAACACACCTTAGCTTCTAGAATATGTCCAGCCTAAAAGGCTTGACCAGTCTTTTTCTGGAGTATGAAAGGGAAAAAAGCTACAGTGTGAATTTAGCTATTCCACTGCAACCTCTACCAAGGATGTTAGGCATACTCAATCACAGAATCACAGAATGATATGGGGTTGGAAGGGACCTCTGGAGATCATCTAGTCCAACCCCCTTCCAGAGCAGGTCCACCTAGAGCAGGTTGCACAGGAACGTGCCCAGGCGGGATCAGTGTTATATGGTTTATCACATAGTAAGTGGATTGAGCTTCCTCCAGCTTCCTATGTGCTAACAGAGAATTAGGGCGGATCAGCTTCTGCAATGAGAATTTATAACCCACCTCCAAAAAGGACAGGAATAGCAGAGATGTTGACTGCGGGATATGGGTGTTTTGAAAGAGCTGTAGTCTTGGGAAACAACACAAATACTCCTCATCAGATGCAAGTAAATGCTGGTAGTTCTTCATGTCCATGAAGCCATCTTCACTCAGTCTTGACAGTATAGTCTCCTGCCCCTTTTCTGCTGGCATTTGGTGCTGGTAAAATCTGTCAATGTGGCAAGGGTCTCTTTAGACCTCAAAGCCACTGCAATACCAGTAGTCAGCTTGCTTCTCCAACACACGGGAATCCTGGTGTGGTGGGAGTAGGTCTCTTGGCAGGACCATGGCATCTACATATTCTGCAGCCTTTGGTTTCCTGATGAAACCACTGGACATTTTTATAGAATCATAGAATGTTTTGGCGACCTTGAAGATAGTCTCATTCTAATCCCCACGGCAGGTCCCACAGGCAGGGACACCTCCCACTAGACCAGGTTCCTCAAAGCCCCATCCAACCTGCTCATGAACAGCTCCAGGGATGGGACATCCACAGCTTCTCCTTGTTACATATTTTATTTTAACATTTAACTCTGCTTTACTCTTTCTTTTTCAGAGCTATGCATCCCTCTGAAACAAGAGAAGGTAAGAGGAGCTATTCTCTCTCTCTCTTATTCCTGCCCTTCACATCTACAGCTGAGATTTGTTGACACATTTCATGATTACCACCTACTTTTGTCCCGTTTTCTTGAAAATGTCTGAAATATTGGAGGACTGATCTCTGTTCAAGGGTGAATTATTTGGATTAAATGTGAGCAAGCATGGTTTTAAACTTAGGGGAAGTGAAGAAAATCAGACCTTCTTTCCACAGAAGCTTTTGTTACTCAAAAAAGATGACTTTGCAATGACATTACCTGCTTAATAAAAAATTCTCTCTTTTCTAGGAGACCTTGAAGCTGGTAGAGAAGGTGTACCCAAAAGCCCTGTTTCCTTAGCTGATGTTGGCTCAGAAGAGTTCTTCCAGAAACTCACCTCCCGTATCTCAGAAATGGTATCTGCAAAAATAAGTCAGGGTAAGCAACCTAGGAAATGAAAATTAATCAGTGTAGAACAATATGTGGTCTTTTTTTTGAGGTATCATCTGGACTTTAAATATCAGTGGGCTTTATGAAGCAGTTTTTGAGGCAATCATGCTACATAAGCATATGATTACTTGAAAATGCTTAGCACTAAGAATTTTTAGTAAGAGTCTATCCCAACTGCATGTCTGAGTCTACAGTTCTGAACTAGAAAAAAAGCTATTCCAGTAACCTGTGATGCCTGATGTCCGTTTTATGTGTACAGTGTTTATTTAAATAAATAGGAGTAACTGTAAGCTTTAGAGTGGAGGGCAATTGTAAAAATGGAAGTGTATTTTGAACGTTATAGATATTTTGAATTCCTCAGATATTCATCACTCCTGAGTCTAAAAAAAATTCTGTTCTGAAGACTTCCCACATCTTCAAGTTTTAGCTCACAATGGGACTTTAAAATCAACTCAAGGCTGAAAACGGTGTGCACAGCTGCACAGTAATCCAACAATTTGTTGTATCGAATGAAAAATCTTGTTCTGTGTATCATATAATGATAATCTTGTAGTAAAATTTTATCTTGAAACAAAAATAGAGCCATTACCTCTCCTACAAATATTCTTGCAGTGCAGTAGGCATGCAACCTCATGTATTAAAACGTCCCAATAATTTATTTAATCCTAAATATCAATAGGAGGTCACACTAAATACAACAAATCCTTTTCCTAGGGAATATTTGTTTTTATGAAATTGAAAATTATTACAGGTACAGTTCGTGTTCAGATCTTTATTTCACACTTTTCTGTTGCTCTGCTTTTTAGCTACACTTCGAGTGCCAGGGGCAGAAAGTGATGATGAATCAAAAACTCCCTCTGCATCTCCTCGCCATGGACGATCCAGACCTTCATCCATTGCTCAAGAGTCCTCCTCTGAGTCTGAAGATGGTGATTCTAGAGGAGAGGTAGGATTTCTATATGGACAAGTTTGACACAAGGGGAAAACTTTGCATGGAATGACCAGTCCCTTTAGGGATGTGCTTCACTTTAGCAGGTAAATTTAGTAGTTAAATATTGGGTCTGTGATACAGAGCATAAAGTATCAAATTCTGATGCTCACTGTGTGGTTCTTGAACAAGTTGTTCAAGTCAACATGGTCAAAACATATCCACAATTTGGCACCTTTTGCTTTCATGACTGAACTTAAGAAAGACAGAGTTGGATTTTCTGTGGCCTTGGACAGAGTAGGTCAGAAGAATTTTGCTGAGAAGTTCTTCATGAGAAAAATTAGAATTTTGTGAAAATTAGAAAATTTTTTGGTGTTCATTTCAAATGCTTCTTGTAAAAAAAAAAAACAAAACAAAAAAACCAAACAACCAAAACCATAAAACACCAATACAAAAAGGCCTTAAAACTTTGGAAAAATGTTAACTTAATCTGACACTTTCAGGACCACTGTTTGTTTTGCTTTGGGACAAAAATCTACTACTTCATGGTGTAAATCCAAACATCTCCTATTTTGAAAATATGGCCTGAGCCTCCTAGGGGCATAATCTTCCACTGGCAAAAAGCAGTGACTCTCTTTACCAGACAAGAGCTGGAGAATAAAACATTAAACACAGATTAGCACTTAGGTCCTGGTGGTATTTTTGCATTCTATTTTCAGAGCACAAAATAACTGTCGTTTCATTCCTGCAGATCTTTGATGTCTACATGGTCACAGCTGACTACGTGCCTGCTGCTCCTGACAAGGAGACCATCACATTGAAGGAAGGCCAATATGTGGAAGTCCTTGATTCAGCCCATCCTCTGAAATGGCTGGTCAGGACTAAACCCACCAAATCCAGCCCTTCTCGACAGGGCTGGGTGTCTCCAGCTTATCTGGACAAGAAACTGAAGGTGACTGATCAGGCTGTGGTTTTTTTTTCATGTAAAATTACTTGTTCCTGATGAAATTTAGAGCTGTTCCTTTTTCAGGGAGTGACAGATGAGGAGGTTGTTGATGGGGTCTGTAACATGGTTGGACTTTTCTTGTTTTGATCAGACAATATTTCTGTAAGCCTGCAGGGGTACCTGGGTTTGAAAGACCTAATCACCCTCCAGAAAAAAAACAAAAACACCTTCACACTGGCTTAGCAATTGTTGAAAGTGACTGTGAACACAGGATATTCTACAGAGTGCATTGAAAAAAGTACTGTTAATTTAAAAGAATAATGTTTCTTTTTTCTTGTATTTTAGTTGTCACCAGAGTGGGGAACAACAGAAGCTCCCGAGTTCCCTGGAGAGTTTGTTTCTGAAGACGAATATAAAAGGAAGCTGAGGTGAGCTCGTGTCATTTGGTATTTGTGCCTTTGAGTTTTCCTGCCTTTTGAACTCACATGAATGTTGGCATCTAGGTCCCTCCTGTCAGAGTCACTGTCTTTGTTCTGCTGACTCCTGCCACCTCCCCTTTCCCAGAATCAAGTGAACCCTCGATTTTCTCAGACTTGTGGATTTTGGGATGTTTAGTTGGGTTTTGTCATTGATTTCAGCCTAGGAAAATTTCCATTTCTAGGAAAATCTAAATCATATTGGATGACTTAAAAGGAGATGTTCACATAATGTAATTCCAGAAGCTCTCTGATCTCACAAAATCCTAAACTACAGTACTGATCTACTTTGGGGTGCCCTATATGGTGATGTCTAAAGAGGGCATGAAAGCGCTCAGCCTTGTGTTACTCCTTTGTGTGTCCAATAATTTATTTAATCCTAAATACCAATAGGAGGTCACACTAAATCCAACAAATCCTTTTCCTAGGGAATATTTGTTTTTATGAAATTGAAAATTATTACAGGTACAGTTCGTGTTCAGATCTTTATTTCACACTTTTCTGTTGCTCTCGAAATCGAAAATTATTACAGGTACGGTTCGTGTTCAGATTGGAGATCTTTATTTCACACTTTTCTGTTGCTCTGCTTTTTAGCTACACTTCGAGTGCCAGGGGCAGAAAGTGATGATGAATCAAAAACTCCCTCTGCATCTCCTCGCCATGGACGATCCAGACCTTCATCCATTGCTCAAGAGTCCTCCTCTGAGTCTGAAGACGGTGATTCTAGAGGAGAGGTAGGATATCTATATGGACAAGTTTGACACAAGGGGAAAACTTTGCATGGAATGACCAGTCCCTTTAGGGATGTGCTTCACTTTAGCAGGTAAATTTAGTAGTTAAATATTGGGTCTGTGATACAGAGCATAAAGTATCAAATTCTGATGCTCACTGTGTGGTTCTTGAACAAGTTGTTCAAGTCAACATGGTCAAAACATATCCACAATTTGGCACCTTTTGCTTTCATGACTGAACTTAAGAAAGACAGAGTTGGATTTTCTGTGGCCTTGGACAGAGTAGGTCAGAAGAATTTTGCTGAGAAGTTCTTCATGAGAAAAATTAGAATTTTGTGAAAATTAGAAAATTTTTTGGTGTTCATTTCAAATGCTTCTTGTAAAAAAAAAAAACAAAACAAAAAAACCAAACAACCAAAACCATAAAACACCAATACAAAAAGGCCTTAAAACTTTGGAAAAATGTTAACTTAATCTGACACTTTCAGGACCACTGTTTGTTTTGCTTTGGGACAAAAATCTACTACTTCATGGTGTAAATCCAAACATCTCCTATTTTGAAAATATGGCCTGAGCCTCCTAGGGGCATAATCTTCCACTGGCAAAAAGCAGTGACTCTCTTTACCAGACAAGAGCTGGAGAATAAAACATTAAACACAGATTAGCACTTAGGTCCTGGTGGTATTTTTGCATTCTATTTTCAGAGCACAAAATAACTGTCGTTTCATTCCTGCAGATCTTTGATGTCTACATGGTCACAGCTGACTACGTGCCTGCTGCTCCTGACAAGGAGACCATCACATTAAAGGAAGGCCAATATGTGGAAGTCCTTGATTCAGCCCATCCTCTGAAATGGCTGGTCAGGACTAAACCCACCAAATCCAGCCCTTCTCGACAGGGCTGGGTGTCTCCAGCTTATCTGGACAAGAAACTGAAGGTGACTGATCAGGCTGTGGTTTTTTTTTCATGTAAAATTACTTGTTCCTGATGAAATTTAGAGCTGTTCCTTTTTCAGGGAGTGACAGATGAGGAGGTTGTTGATGGGGTCTGTAACATGGTTGGACTTTTCTTGTTTTGATCAGACAATATTTCTGTAAGCCTGCAGGGGTACCTGGGTTTGAAAGACCTAATCACCCTCCAGAAAAAAAACAAAAACACCTTCACACTGGCTTAGCAATTGTTGAAAGTGACTGTGAACACAGGATATTCTACAGAGTGCATTGAAAAAAGTACTGTTAACTTAAAAGAATAATGTTTCTTTTTTCTTGTATTTTAGTTGTCACCAGAGTGGGGAACAACAGAAGCTCCCGAGTTCCCTGGAGAGTTTGTTTCTGAAGACGAATATAAAAGGAAGCTGAGGTGAGCTCGTGTCATTTGGTATTTGTGCCTTTGAGTTTCCCTGCCTTTTGAACTCACATGAATGTTGGCATCTAGGTCCCTCCTGTCAGAGTCACTGTCTTTGTTCTGCTGACTCCTGCCACCTCCCCTTTCCCAGAATCAAGTGAACCCTCGATTTTCTCAGACTTGTGGATTTTGGGATGTTTAGTTGGGTTTTGTCATTGATTTCAGCCTAGGAAAATTTCCATTTCTAGGAAAATCTAAATCATATTGGATGACTTAAAAGGAGATGTTCACATAATGTAATTCCAGAAGCTCTCTGATCTCACAAAATCCTAAACTACAGTACTGATCTACTTTGGGGTGCCCTATATGGTGATGTCTAAAGAGGGCATGAAAGCGCTCAGCCTTGTGTTACTCCTTTGTAGTGCAACATGCTACTGCGTGTGATCTCATGGAGATATTTGCTTTCTTGATTGCATAAAGTGGAATTGAAGTTGCTACTGTCAACTTCACACAGATCTTTTTGTGGCTCATGCTGTCTTTTGTCTGCCCTGACAGTAGATGTCTATAGGTGTCACTCCATGAGCAGGGTGTCCAAGTTCCTCTTATGGCCAGAAGGGATCTAGTCAACACCCTCTAGGGACTCTGCTCCTCTGATCATATATATCTCTACTTTAGAGCCTAGAAATCTCTCAGCGTGTCAAGGATAATTGTAATGATTTTTCTGTGATTTCTTTTTGCCCATTCGTCTTCCCTTCAGCATTCTTATCCAAGAACTGTTGATCTCAGAAGAGGATTACATTCAAGACCTACAGTTCCTCCAGACTCATCACCTTAGGTTCACTGAGACCTGTCCCAATGTCCCAGGAGCTGTCGCCAGCCAGAAATCCACCATCTTCAGAAATATTGATGACATTGCTCGCTTCCATTCCAGGTGGGAACTCCCATGTGACTTCATTTGAGACCAAATTGTGGCTTGCATACCTGGTGTCAGCACCACAGTAATTACTGTTACTGTGAAGGACGTGGAACATTGGCAGTGCTGAGGTGCAAGGGAATTGATGGTCCTTTTGGAATATTCCATTTTGGAATATGATGATGGCATAGTCATCAGAGCACAGTGTTGGGATTTCCATCAGACCTTCAAGGCTTCACATGTCTAACTTATTTCTTACCCTTTTAAGCAAATTTAATTGAGAAACAGTAAATTATTATTAAAAGGCAGCACGGTCTTACAGACACTTCAGTGATGTCTTCATAGAGACACGCATTCATCTAAAACTGATGCCAATGTCCATGCTTTTGAAACATGTCCAGCTGTAGCAGGCTGCCCAGGTACAACACCGTGGCATGATGCCTCTGCCTACTCCATGAAAAGTTTTTCTGGGTCTCTGCAGTTCACAGAGTGACTTCCTAGCTCCAGGCTGAAATACTTGTGTCCTCAAACCAGGACAATTTGGTAGGGAGAGGAGGTGGTGTACAATGTCTCACGTGCTTTAGGGGCTTCCTTTTATACCTTGATACCCTTCCTTGCGGGGCATTTCATACATTCAGGCCAAAAGGGACAGCATCATGCTGGATGAAGAGGCATTGAGAAGTTTAATGCTAATTTTAATGTTAATTTGGCAACATCCCTCATTTCCCCCACTCATTCCCTTTAACCTGAAATCGCCTGATTTAAAAGTCTGGCTGCTGGGGCTGTGTTCTAACCTCATTCCATCACCTCCTCCTCAGATGTCCTTTTTTTCCTCTGTCTCCACAGTGTCTTCCTGCGAGGCTTGCAGCTGTGTGACACTGACGACGACGTGGCCATGTGCTTTATCAAGCATGAAGTGGAGTTTAATAAGTACATCCAGTACCTGGTGGGGAGGGTACAGGCTGAATCGATCGTCGTCAGCAAAGCTGTCCAGGATTTCTACAAGGTAAAACAGCAGCCCAAGTACCTGCTGAACGTGCATCCTAGAACCCACTGCAACAAGAAATACAGTTATTAATCACAAATGTGATCCTGAAAACGATTATTAAAAACTTTTTTGGGAAATCATTGCTAAATATAATAATTTTGTATTCACTCTCTAGCTCTTCCTGGTCAGTACAATCAATATGGGAAGGTATTTACATATGCTTATGCATTTATGAATATTATAAAGATTATACGGACAAGAATGTGGCTGTGATTATGTCATTGTAATTAAGGGATGTTTTTAGGGCCACCACATCATCAGACCAAGTGAACTCACAGAAAATATTAGTATACATAGGGAAATCCTCTTTCTCTTCTCCATCTGCTCAGGATTGAAGTTCACTCGTGAAAAAAACACACACAACATTCCAGATCCATGGTCTGCTCAGGATTGAAGTTCGCTCATGAAAAAAAACACACACAACATTCCAGATCCATGAGCAGATGCGTGTTCGTGGATCCCTTGAGCAGCAGCACGGCTCCTCTGTCCATCTGATACCCCTGCCCAGAACCTGAGCACTTTTACCTTCTCCATGAGCCTCCTACTCCTACTCTAGTCCAGCCTGATGCTCGCTAGAAAAATAATGCTCATATTCATGCTCACCCCACATTCACAGCTCAGTGGAAAGGGTAGCCATCCAGCTCAGTGGCTGATGTCCTCACACATGGACTCCTCTTGACAAATTTAACATTTCAGACACCTTCCAGTCTAAAATAATAACTAGCTGGAAAGGATGGAGAGAGTTCTAGACGTCCAATACATGGGATGTAAATTCTGGTAGAGCTATCCAGTTTGGGCTGAGATAAGCCTATGAACCAGCATCATGTAAGCATCCTCCAGGGAGTGATCCTTTTTATTGTTCTTTCTAACAACCCTTCCTCATTCTTCTATGTATTTTTTCAGAGATACACAGATGAAATTTTAGTGAATGAAGATCCTTCACAGCCACTTATCCCACCACTGCAGCACTACCTGGAAAAACCCATAAACCGGATCCAGCAGTATCAGACTATAATCAAGGTGAAGTGCTTTTGTTATACACTTATACCTTATAGGTTTATGTTCTGCTTTGTGCAGCTTATGTAGAAAAAAGACTTTATTTTTATTTCACATTACTTGGCTTCATTCTGATGCAACCCAGATTGAAAGCTGCTTGAGTAATGCAGATGGTAATCATCACTGGTGATGTTGCTCTCTAAATAGTTTCGTAAATATGTATCCAGCTAGAGATTCACAGTCTCCAACCCCATAAAGTTCAGCAAGCTCTATCTGAGTGATTTTTAAATATATGTATACACATATATAAAAAAATGTATGGTTATATACATAGATATATGAATACATATATGTATACATCCACGACAAGTATGAAGTTGCTTCACACTCAGCAACAGGTATGTTATAAAAATAAGCAGTTTCCAATGTGTAAGATACTTTGGGTTTTTTTCGTTTTCAATTGCTGCAACGTATCTGGTACTTGCTTCAATTTTGTCTTTATTTAATATCAACTGATGTAAGGAAAAGCCAGACTGGCTACTCATTAAACCTGCAGAATAGGTAGGAAGGAAGAGACTTTAGTAGCCAAATAGCACATGGTGAAAGAACAGGATAAAAGTTGCTCAAATGACAGAGCTGGAACAGGTACTGGGAAACTCTATGGACTCAAGGAAATGTGTTGGTTTTGTTTTTGTTTTTTTTTTCTTTTTTTGACTGCCCAGTAACATTTGCTTCATTCATCTACAGGAATTAATCCGAAACAAAGCAAGAAATAGCCAGAACTGCACTCTGCTGGAGCAGGCTTATGCCATCGTGTCCGCGCTTACCCGAAGAGCAGAAAACAACCTCCACGTCTCACTCATTGAGAATTATCCGGGGACCTTGGAAAGCCTTGGAGAACCCATCCGACAGGTAACTGGAATTTCTCTCTGTTGTGTTGGACAAACCATTTACTCTGCCTGTTTTTATCCCATGTCTTGTGTGGGAATCATTGTGTAGTGCTGAGTGGAGCTGTAAGGCTAAATTACAATGATAGTGAGACATTGGTGGGGATTCATCTACCCACATTTAGACATCCAAAAAAGAGTCCAATCACACACCAAGCGTGCTTACTTCTCCCTAATGATGCCAGGGGGAACCCGTGTCACCCACGGGTTGTACACGTCTGAAAGTATGTGAAATGAATGCCCTGCTGTGGTGAAGAAGACCAAGTGAGCATATAAAGTGTCTGCATAACACACAAAATACAATTTTCCATTAGCATTTCCATTTCCAAGGGTGTGCCTACCTGCCAAGAGGTCTGTATTTTTCCGGCAGCAAAGAATACCATTTAAAGGACAATGTAATGACAATCACTGTGTGCGCCGCCAGTCTGATGCATCACCTTTAGCATTAGAAACAACCTGCTGTGCTGTAATAGAGCAGAAGACACACGTACTAGTAAAGATTTGTTATCTGTTCACTGAAAAATGATGGTGAGACATCATTATAGTAATTATTCCACAATTATCACTATGTGCTCTTTCTTCTGTTTCTTATCAGGGCCACTTCATTGTGTGGGAAGGAGCGCCGGGAGCTAGAATGGCATGGAAAGGACACAAAAGACATGTGTTCCTCTTCAAAAATTATATTGTGATCTGCAAACCAAAGCGAGACACAAGGACGGACACCTACAGTTACATCTTCAAGAACATCATGAAGGTCTGATCATTATATCCTCACCAAGAGCATTCTTCTGTCATTGAGAACTTCATGCTTATACCCAGCTTCTGCTCATCTAAATGAGACATTTCATTTATCCATTTGAGTTATTTCTTTGTGTCTGAAAGTTTTTCTAGTAGAATATAGCATTTGTAGATTTTTGGTTTGGCCAGTCTGTAGTGTTGGTACTAAATTGGGGGAAATGCCTCCAGGAGAGGTTATGTCCTCTCCTGACACTAATTCCTGTTTAAAAATGAAAAATTCAGAGGATTTGACCAGCTCTTCCTCAGACATTCAGGGCTCAGTTTAAAACTGCAAGAAATTGCAGAAAGAGTTTTCCCAAGGCAGTAGATGTTCAATTCCAGTAAAAACCAAACAAACAAAAACCTCATAGAGTTTCTGACCAAGCCAAGGCCTTCTGAAAGTCCTAATCTCTCTCCTTTTTCTTATTTTATTATCCAAGGAAGGGAAAAGGATGCTCTGTTCAGTGAGCTCCTGCTCTGTAATTTTTTTTCACATAGTCCTTAATTGTGCTGTTCCTGGGCTGCACACATGCATTGACTTTCTTGTCCTTCTGTCACGCAGCTGAACAATATAGATGTGAATGACCTTGTGGAAGGGGATGACCGGGCGTTTGAGATCTGGCACGAACGAGAAGACTTGGTCCGCAAGTACCTCTTTCAAGCGCGTACAGTGAATATCAAGAACTCCTGGGTGAAGGAGATCTGTGGCATACAGCAGCGGATCAGCGAGCCTGTCTGGAGTGAGTATGGCCCTAGTTAGAACCATTGAATTATGTAGTTTGGAAGGGAACTTTCAGGTCATCAAGTCCAACCGTCAGCCGAACACTGACAAAGCCACCACTAAACCATGTCCCTCAGCACCATGTCTACCCATCTTTTAAATACCTTCAGGGCTGGTGATTGCACCACTTCTCTGGGCAACCTGTTCCAATGTTTGATAACCCTTTTGGTGGAGAAATTTTTCTTATATCCAATCTAAACCTCCCCTGGTGCCCAGACACCCCAAACTTCCTAGTTCAGCAACAAATCCCATTCTTTTTTTTGTGGCCCATTTTTATAGCCAACAGCAGACATTTGACAGGCTGGATTTAGTCTCAGAGAAGCAAGGAGAGCATGTCACCTGGGGAGTCATTAGCTGCTGAAATTTCCTGTTCTTCTTTCCATTCTGAACCTCTCAGATTTGCAAAAATTATACCTATTTTTATCCTACTTTGCAGCAGCCACCCTACAGACAGAGCTCCCCTCCTCCAGACTAACGTGCTTATTCTGATGTTTCAGTACCTCCAGACTTTGAGGAAGAGCTGGCGGACTGTACAGCTGAGCTGGGAGAGACGGTCAAGCTGGCCTGCAAAGTCACGGGAGCTCCCAAGCCATCTGTCAGCTGGTACAAAGGTACGAGCAGCGAGTCAGGATGTGCATCCTGAAAATTTGTTCTCTATCTTCATTACTTTGTGCTAATTAGGGGGTAATCTAAAAGCTGACCACCCAGAGATGTCCAAGTCTAGTCTTACAGATAGTTGCTAAACAACCCAAGTAATGTAGATGTTACTGTGAGCTCAAATACCCTGCTTTTTCAGGTTTGCCTATTAGTCCTTATGAACCCACATCGGACAACTTTTAGGAAATTAACAACTTGTTTGAAGTAGCTCAGATGTTTCCATGTCATAGCACAGGTCACTGTGTGGGCATACTCTTTGCCCCCAACATTACTGTACTGCAGAAGAAACAGCTTTTCTATTAGTTCACATCTTGTGAAGATCTGTTCTGCATGTTTACAGTCACTTTGGATGGGTTCCTTTGGCTGAAAAATCAGAGCTATAACTGCACAGCACATACTCTGGTAGAATTTAACTTTTAAATGAGGATTGATGATATATGAGGTCCCTCAACAGTGTTTGCCCAGAGTGTGTTTTGTAGACAGCTGGACAAAGATGAAGAGCTCCTTCCTCCACTACCAACACCAGCTGCAAGAAAGCAAATACAGCTCTCAGTCCTCTTGAAAAGCTGGATGAAATTCCCAAGGAGAAGACATAATTGATACTAGGCTATTTTTTAAAAAAATTCCCTTTGTTTTTAAGATGGAAAGCCCGTGGAGGTGGATCCTCATCACATCATAATAGAAGACCCCGATGGTTCCTGCACATTGATCTTGGACAACCTAACAGGGTTTGACTCGGGACAGTACATGTGCTTTGCTTCCAGCCCTGCTGGAAATGCCAGTACCTTGGGAAAGATCCTTGTTCAAGGTAAAGTTCTGCACAGATGTGTTGTTTTAAAAGGGTCTGCCATGTAGTACCTTAAACAGGAATATTAAGACATTCCAAAAGTTCTGGATAACACCTACTGGATAATACCTTAAAAAATTATTTGATGTACAGGTGTAGTCAATTTTTCTTATGTCAAAAAATTTGATATTTAGTGTCTTGTGTGCAGACATCATTAGAATTATCTGCTCAGGGACACATCCTTTGTATCTGGTCATCTTTCTAGCTACATTTATCCTTGTTTTGCAGTGCCACCACGGTTTGTGAACAAGGTTAGAAATGCTTATTTTGTTGAGGGTGAAGATGCTCAGTTTACGTGTACTATCGAAGGAGCACCTAGGCCTCAAATCAGGTCAGTTCTTCAAGTTACACTGGAACAAATCCTGTTTTCCCATTTTCGCATGGTCAGAAAAGTCTCCTGCCCTTTCCTTCAAGGTTATGACCCTTCCTTCTCTATGTCTTCCACCTTAAACCCATCTCAGTGCTGGCTCTTCCTGATCCCAACATTCCTGACATTTTCAGCAGTTTATTCTAGCTGGCATCTGAAAAGAAATACCTGCAGATAATACCTGCTGTAGGATTGTATCAGATCTAATGCCCTGCCAATATTTTATCATTTCTTTATCCTCCCTGCCTTACACTTGAATTTATTTTATCAGTAACCAGTCTGGGATATTCAGATAAAAGGCTCAGCAGAGCTTTGTACAATTAGAAGCCCTTTCCTTTGCATTGACTGATGAGATTTCTTGAGAAGCATCTGACAAACCTGTGCAGCTCAGTACCCATGTGTGATCTACCCACCTGTAGACCTATCTTCCAGGATCCAAACTTTTGTGTAATGATTAGCTCTTGAGTTTTTTGCCCACTGCTTTGACAGATGGATCGTTGAGCTGGGGATTTCTTGATACTGCATAATTTTTTGTGGCTTATACTCAGTGTTTTCCATATGCAGGTGGTACAAAGATGGCGTGATGTTGAAGGACACAAGTAAATATCAGACTTTCACTGAACCACGGAGTGGCATAATAGTCCTGGTGGTCAAGAACCCTTCCAATGAAGATATGGGACACTACGAATGTGAGGTAAGATCACAGAGATGTAAAGATCTGTTGTCTGATGTGACATAGATAGAAGAATTCATTTTACCAGGAAAGATCATTGCATGAGATTAGTGGCTGAGTAATTGTTGCTGCCTGTTATATCAAAAAGTCTACACAAGTCAGATGCTCCTGGATGAGATCTGGATTGTGAGCATCCAAAACTTCAGATTATTCTGACCTGAGAGTTTAATTTTGCACACAGTGATGGAGTGAGCTTTCCTGGAGCTTAGATCCAGACTCTAGAGGGACCTCGTACAAAGTTTAAGACCATTCTGATGTAACTTTTGTTTATGGACTGCCTTTAAATTGGAACAGATTCATGTCACCACAGAGAAACCATCAAAAGCCAAAAGAAAGGAATAGAATATAAATAGAAGTGGAAAACAGTGAAATTCCTGTTTATTTAGCAAGTATGCATGGAACTCAATGGTCTAAAAGGCCCCTTCCAAGCTAAATGATTCTAAATATATAATAAAGTAAAATGAATGTGCTATAAAATATTTTCTAAAAATTAGTCATAATCCATGCATTCATTGTAATGAAGCACTAACAACCTCTCAAGACTCAGCAATAAAGACAGTTGACCTTGATTTAGGAAATGGGCATGGGTCAGGCTGACCCATGGTAAGCAACGCAGCTCCCAGCAACTTCATGGTTATTCCACAGAAATGTTTAGGAAGTTTGATATGATTTAAAGACTCCTACTAGAATTTTTGCAAAATCACATTGTCTTGCATTTACCATTACTTAAGATAAAAAGTTCCACTATTCTCTTGGCTGAGTAAGACTCAGTGGATTAATGGATGCTAAACAAAATACCCTCTTTAATTACCAATTAAATGGCAATGGCAGGAATCTGTACCTGTTGGTAGAGACAGAGCTACCTCAGGACCAAGTCACAGGCTGGAGAGCAAATTGCAAATAACTCTGAAGTTAGTTGATGTGCTGTAACTTGTCTGGGGGAGTCATTTATGGTAAAGGATTGTCACGCGCTCCCCTGAGCAGCAATGTGTTCATACAAACTCTAGCTTGGGTTTGGGGTCACATCTTCACCCACTTCTGTTGCCATGTAATTGCAATGAATTTCTAATGTAATACAGGAAGGTTTTATTACACAAAAATGTCCTGCGTTTCATTCGGTGCTGCATGATTCTCTCTAGCTGGTGAACAGATTAGGGTCTGCAAAAAGTGGAGCAGAACTTTACCATCACAGTGCTGCAGCCCTGACGCAGGAGAGGAGAGGAGACCAAGCCATTACCATAGAAGGTATGACCTTTAGCAACTCCGTAAGTATCTTAGTTTATTTACTCTAAAGCCATCTGACTGAGGTTCAAACATATTTGCCATCTTATCCATGTTGGTTGTTGGTGTACACGTATCTGTATGTCTATCGAGATGTGCATGGGTATACTGCAGCTCAGCTCTATACCCATCACCATCCGTTGATTTCCAAACCTGGCAAATCAACTGCATCATATAATGCTCATGAATGCATTATATGAAAAAGGAGGAGCAAATGAAGGGTATGTCACACCACCATTAGTGCAAGAAAAATGTTTTTATTCCTGTTGGAATACTCGAAAACGTGTGTCAGTCTGGCAGATCATGAGTTATGTATTGCTGAAAAAAACCACCCCAGGGGCCAGTCCATAAAGGTGCAGGCACATTGGGATTCTTGCTGAAATACCACTGAAGACCACCTGGAGTGACTGAGAAAGCAGAACTGACAGCTTTACACCCTGAGCAATATTAGTTCACCCATTTTCTAGGGCTGTTCAGGTATCACACAGTGACAGAGTCTATTCCTTTGGTTTCTGTGTGTTTCACCTCAATTGGTCGGTTAATATGGACCAAGTCACCTTCTTATCGAAGGGATTTCCACAAGCAGCGTGTTAGACAGGCTTGCTGTAAACTCATCATAACTGAGCGTAAATCAGTGACTGCATCTGCATAAGGAACATTTCCTGGCACAGGAGACTGGTTCTTTGTACATCTTAGTGGTGTCCTTGGCTGGCTGAGCATGGGCCAGAGCTGCCTTTCTTAAACACCTCCCAGCAGTGGTTCAGGAGATAATAGAGCCAAGGGACCATCTATAACAGATAAGAGATGACTTACTCTTCTGGAGGCCAAGAGAGAGAACTAGAATAGGCACAGACCATTCCATGCCAGTGAAACTCAGTGTCAGAGAGCTATCCCAGGTGTGGTCAGTGGAGACAAGACTAACAAAAACCAGAGGTTTACCAAGAGCTGTAGGACTTTCTTTCGTCATCTTCAGTGTTTTCTCATTGTCTTGTGATAATACCAGGGGTTCAGCTGGGCTTTTGACAGTTTATTTTCAACATCCACTGAAAGCCATCAAATACAAAGACATTCTTACTCAAGAAGCTGCTGGTTGTCAAACAACTGGAGTCTGGAAAAAGTATTCAGTGAAAATGGCCCTCCACTCATATTTTTTTAATCATTTTCCATAGGCCTCTGCTGTTGGCACTTTCTGAGACACGATTCTGGTCTGGATGGACCTTTGGGCCAGCCCTCTGTAGACACTAATTTTGTATTATTACATTAAGAGGATTCAGACACATCAGGCTGTGGAGATCAGAATCCTAGTCTCTGTACTTGCTTGTCTTGGTGTCATGCTCTCTTTCCTTGTAGTCCTTTCCCAGAGGACCATGAAATCATTCAAAATCATTACAGGGAGAATGGTGTTAGCAGTATAGAAATTGAATTGTTTCAGCAGGATAAACCTTGAAGCACTTGAATGCTTTTTCCTTGCTATGTCCTAAAGAGAGAAAAATAAGCTGGATATAGAGGAACACAAATAAATCACTGTTAGGGTGGCATATCTTGATGAAGTTCCCTTGTATCAAGGAAAAAGATGTTATAAAAACTAACAAGGGCTGTAAAACAGAGGTAGGAGCATTGCTCAGCTCTTGGGGTTGCAAATATACACGTTCAGCCCCAAATTACTCATGTGCTGTTATTCCCAGTCATAAATGAAAAATTTCATGAGCTTGGTTGAAGAAATATAATTGGATTTTGCCCGGAAGCTTCAGAAATGTTATGAAATAGTTTTTGATCTGTGATGTGCAATTGCTTGAACGTGGTAATAGGGAAGGGAATAGATCCCTGAGTCATCTCCAGGGAGAATCAGAGGGAGAGCTGCTTCAGGCCAGTGGAGCAAAGAGCAGGCTCATCCATGGAGCAAGAGGATTGTTCTGAGCAGAATCGCATGAGGGATGCATTTGGTAATAATGCACTTGACCGAGGAGGGAATTCGTTGCTTTCTTGAGAATCAATATCCAGCCTTGATCTACCTATGGGAAAATCAGGTTCATCTGGCAAGGAACTGGAGGACGGATGGATCTCATGAAGGCTTCCTCTTTCCATCCTCACAATCCTTTCTATTTGTGCAAATGGGATGATTTGTAACTTCACCAAGAGGACAACATTTCTGCTGTGTGGTACTATTAAAACAGAAAATAGATGCTGTGTCTGTTTCTCAGCTCACCTGCACGGTGGGTCTAAGTTTTGCCTGATTTATCGTTGGTTCTGTGAAATGACTATTGTCAGAGTCTTCTGACGCACCCAAGGGCCTTTAGTTGCAAATATTTTAGTTTTTATCCTCCTGCCTTTTTGTACTGTTTATTATACTGAACCAAACTCTACTGTCACAATTTGGGATACCATTAGTACAGTGGTTTATGAGCCCTGACCTGCAGTCACTGATTGTCCAACACCATGGGTCTCGAAACCAAACTTCTTGTCATTAGCTTTAAATTCAGATTATGGGGATTTGCTGATCCTTTGGAAGGACCAGATCCCCAAGGGATGGAAACCACTGGACTAAAGGACCCACAGCTTGGGCTGCAAGCCTGAAACGCTGAGTTCCGCTTCCAGCTTCACCTGCACTGAAGTCAATGGAGAGCTGCTTTAAAAATCCTTTTTTCTGTGGCTATTGGAAGAATTTTAGACACTTTAGAAAAAAATTGTAATTGAAAGAAGATCCTTCTCTTTGACTTCAAGTTGACTGTCTGCTTTGCACCCTGCTGCTTAACCTACACATGGCAGATCTGGGCTGCTGTGCTCTGCCATCCCCTTTTTAACGTCTTACCATTGCAGTCCGTTCATCCCAGGCTCACTAACTTGTTCGTTTTTTAAAGAAAAACAAAGCCCAGTGTTTTTCAAAGGTGTTACCTTCTCACCAGGGCAGACAGGGCCAGGACGTACAATGAGATGGTTGATGGTAGGGGAAGGAGTCAGCTACACAGGTGGAGATAAGCAAAGCCATAAAGAAAGATGCTGGGTGCAGCTACAGCCAGGCAAGAGGAGTTTCTTCATAGTCTCACGCAGAGCTTTGGGCAAGTTATTTCATTGCCTTCTTTGGTAATACCCACCTTAGAGGGAAAAGCTAAAAATTGGGGTGCTCAGATTACAGATTGCTTTAAAAATGTAGAGGAGTGTTAGATCACTTTGTGCTGCCCTGTTACTGAAGAATTAAAGCACAGGAGTTTGTCCCCTGACCTACTTAAAGTTCCCTGGTTGGGGTGATGTTTAGGATATTTACCTTGTTATTTTTATTCTGTTGTCATCTTCGATTAGTCTCATTTTTGGGTTGGCCACGTGGTTTTCAGTACAAATTCAAGAGATCACAATCTGCCTCTACAACCATCTCAGTCACCACAGGAGGGGAGAGTTTTTATTTAGAGAGACTGCAAAACACTTGCAGTTCATTCAGACGACTTAGGAAACTGCATTGTGCCCATGATATGCTCATTTTAAGATTGGCTTCAGCAGTTCATGTCAGATTTGTCCATCTCCTGTAGCAGGTGAATCTCCCAGGAGTAGCAGCAGAGGGATGAAAGCAGATGAGGGCTCCTGTGGTTTATGCCAGCAGCAGTTACAGTGCAGGAAAAATAGGTTTACGCTTCTGTAAGTGGAGAAAGCAGACTTAAAATTTGTAATAAAGACCATAGACCATAAACCAACCTTCATCCATTCAGAGCAACAAGAACTGACTTATCCTAAGTGTTTCATCAATTGTAAGTCCATGATTTAACGTATTAACCAAAGAGGAGTCTAGTCCTGTAGAAGCACTGGCTGATCTTAATGCTTCCAGCTTTTAACCTGCTTATCAGGGGCTCCTGCTTTGCAAAGCTGTGTTCCTAAAACGCTATCAGACAAGTTGAAATGATAAATCCGGTGCTAAAACGGATGCAGAATATTTTCCTCTCGGGGAAAAATAAAAAAAAAAAAAGAAAAGAAACCCAAATTCTCTCATCCTACTTTCATGTGGTTCTATCCTTCATATGGGGTTGCTGAAATCCTCCCTCACACCTTGATAGCACATATAAAATTGATCTGTCCTGTGCCAAACTGCATCATCAGGATCCATTTACTATATGCCATTTACAGCTTTCTCATCCCAGGCCTGCTCAACTTTTGAACACATATAAAAATATAGAAATATTGCAGTCGATGAGATTTGGGAGGAACTGCAAGAGCAGGAATTAATAGAGTAAATGTGAAAGAGACTTCCTCTTACAGGGAGATTTCATGAAATACATATTTAATTATCATCTAAATACAGTTGCGTTTAAAATTATTGTATAAACCACCTATGATTAGGTGTATAATCAAATTAATTGCTACTCTTGCTGCTTATGGATTAATCTCATGATATTATTCAATGAGGTTTTCTAAAAGTTATGTAAAACTTGCACAATATTCATTTAAGGATTCAAAAATTCAGTGAAGATTTCTAACCTGGGTGCAATAAAGTGTTCAAGCACTCAGTTCACCTTCCATCATTGTATAATTAAAAAAAAAGTTTTAAATTATTTTAAAAATATTCACTAAGGATCGGTAAACAGCTGTATTGTAATTACGTTCAAGGATAAACATTTGAAAATCATTTGCCCTTTACTTACCCAGTGTGCTATAATTTCCAAACAGACTTGGTTTAAACTCACCTAATTCTGTAGTAACTCCTTTGACTCTACTGATTTAAAAATTCAGTGAAGATTTCTAACCTGGGTGCAGTAAAGTGTTCAAGCACTCAGTTCACCTTCCATCATTGTATAATTAAAAAAAAAGTTTTAAATTATTTTAAAAGTATTCACTAAGGATCAGTAAATGGCTGTATTGTAATTATGTTCAAGGATAAACATTTGAAAATCATTTGCCCTTTACTTACCCAGTGTGCTATAATTTCCACATATAAAAATATAGAAATATTGCAGTCGATGAGATTTGGGAGGAACTGCAAGAGCAGGGAAATCCTCCCTCACACCTTGATAGCACATATAAAATTGATCTGTCCTGTGCCAAACTGCATCATCAGGATCCATTTACTATATGCCATTTACAGCTTTCTCATCCCAGGCCTGCTCAACTTTTGAACACATATAAAAATATAGAAATATTGCAGTCGATGAGATTTGGGAGGAACTGCAAGAGCAGGAATTAATAGAGTAAACGTGAAAGAGACTTCCTCTTACAGACACAGGGAGATTTCATGAAATACATATTTAATTGTGAAAGAGACTTCCTCTTACAGGGAGATTTCATGAAATACATATTTAATTATCATCTAAATACAGTTGCGTTTAAAATTATTGTATAAACCACCTATGATTAGGTGTATAATCAAATTAATTGCTACTCTTGCTGCTTATGGATTAATCTCATGATATTATTCAATGAGGTTTTCTAAAAGTTATGTAAAACTTGCACAATATTCATTTAAGGATTCAAAAATTCAGTGAAGATTTCTAACCTGGGTGCAATAAAGTGTTCAAGCACTCAGTTCACCTTCCATCATTGTATAATTAAAAAAAAAGTTTTAAATTATTTTAAAAATATTCACTAAGGATCGGTAAACAGCTGTATTGTAATTACGTTCAAGGATAAACATTTGAAAATCATTTGCCCTTTACTTACCCAGTGTGCTATAATTTCCAAACAGACTTGGTTTAAACTCACCTAATTCTGTAGTAACTCCTTTGACTCTACTGGAAATTATTCCAGATTTTTATACGCATAAAAGAGACGAGGCTCTGCAAGGGAAACATAGAGCTCTAGGTCAGATATTAACATCAACCTTTGCACAAAATTCTTTTCATTACTGTGGAAATTGTTGTTTTACCTAGTGGCAGAAGAGAGCCCTTGGAAGTCAAGTGGAAGGAAAATTAGGTTAAATTAGCTTAAACTATTCCATCAAATATTGTAAATGTATTTTTAATTTTCAGTCAGTGCAGTTTTGAGACACTATTGAAAACATCAGCACCATTCATAAGTTATTTAACAAATAATACAGGCACTACAGGTTCCCTGGGCAAGAACTGTTTTGTGATTTTATAGATATATTTTTAAGTTGCAGTTCACTTTCAATCGTACCAACCAAAAATTACCAGAGCTAATTTATTATAGGCTGGCTGGAAGATTGCAAACCAATTGCTGGAAAAATTACTTTGAGATTAAATTTAGGGATTTTTTTTAGAAACTTTACCAGTTTATTAAATGAAAAGTGGGGCTTGCTGTTGTTTTTTCTAGTTCTCAAGTAGGTACAGCAGTTCAGAGCGTGTTCAAAACAGTCTGGTTCAAACTGTGTCTAAATTTTATTCCAGCAGGTAGGGTGGAAACCTCCCCAAAAATGTCTATTAGCTCTTCTTATTTTTAAAAATGTCAATTTTAAGAAATATTTGCAAAATCATTAAATCATTTCTTTTGATCTTGATATGTATCAACAGCTTCTAGTTTGTGATGGGACAAGGGTCAGGAAAAATTGTAAATTTTAGCAAAAAAAGAGATGGAGTAGACACAGGTGTGTTATAGGGCTCTCCTGGATTTCCTAGGGTTTGGGATTTTTTTTGATGCCGATTTTCTGTACTGATGATAATGATTTTAGTTTTCATTGTTATCAGCTTGGATTTTGCATCTAGTCCACAATAGCTTGGAAACTGTTCAGTGTTTGGGGAAACTCTTTTTTCTTGGAAGTCAAAACACAGGTTAAAGAATTTCAGCTCTCCAGGATTTTCCTGATGAAGGCATTTTCAGGTTTCTCACACCATCACTACCTTATTATAGGAAAAAAAAAATTAAAAAAAATGGACCTTGTTTTCTAGCTTTGACCTGCCAAACAAAAATGTCAGAATCTCATGATAGAATAAAAAGATTTTGCAGTATTGTTCTCCACAAAATATTTAATTTCAAAGCCAAATCATTCACTGTTCAGAGAGCGCTCTGAGTTCTCATTCTTGGTCAGAAACACTAAAGATGATGCTGGAAATAACCACAGAAAGCATGGATGGGATGGTACAGTTGTTTTTTTCACTCAATTTTATTTTGATTAACTGAGCAAAGTTAATTTAATCATTTCAGCTTTTGCCTTTCTTTAACCCCATGCTGTTCATACTGTTTTCTTTGTAGTCACTGAACAAGAGACTAAAGTGCCCAAGAAAACCATCATCATGTAAGTGCTGATTATTATTTTTTTTTTGGTAACATTTGTGTTTTGCCTTGCTGCCTATGCATGATCCAATAACAAGCTTGTGTTTATTGGCCATGCAAGAGTGTTCATTCCCATCCCACCAGATCTCATGGTATTCTGCGCTACGTGAAGTGACCACCTGAAAAAAAGTCTTATTATCCCTTTGTAAAAACAGCAGCACTGGTCTTAGACACAACCTGGGTCAGTTTTTAATGATATTACATGTGAAAAAAATCTACTGAATACTGCTAAAGTTGCACAAGAGTTCACAAAGGTAGAGTCTGACTCTCAATGTTGAAAAGAAACCACCTTTGAGAACTGGTTAATTGGAAAAGCAGAAAAATTTAACAAGTATCTCATAGTTTACAGTGATTTCTTCTAGCTTTCTACTTAAAATTCTTTAGGAAAGCCTTTTATGATGAAGCAGGGAGATGTGCACTTTTAAACCCTTTATTTCTAATATGAAATTTTGTTCTGATAATGACTTGGTCTGTTTGGATACTTTGAGCCTGGTTTATATTGGGTGCCTACAACATATAAAGATTAACTGCAGCAAAAAGTGATACTTTCTCAGTCATAAGTAGACAAGAATATCAGCCATTAAAATCTTAAGGTATCTTCTTGGTTTTAAGTATCATAAACAAATACACAATAAAACTGTTTCATGTGCTAGAAGGGGGGGCATTGTCCTTCTGGTAGGCCATCAGAGCACCTCCAAGCTATTCAAGTCATGTCCCAATGGTAGTAGGTGACTCTACAATGGAAATTTTGGGGCAACACATTCCCTCAAGAGTTGTTCTGTTGCTAAAATCAGTCCTTGACTTGGACATGATACTAAATTTCACTTCTTTTACTTCTGTTAGATGGTGAGGAGGAACTGTGAAATGACAATTCAAATACTGTTAAGAATTGCTTATCTTTTATCTCTTTGATTGTTCTCGATGATGACTATTTGTTATAACCCATGCATTTAGCCCATTTGGAACCAGTGGCTTATAAGAAGACATGTCCCCCCTTCCTAGCAGCTTCCACCTCCAATAGGCAAAGAGCAGACAGGAGAGGCAGGAAGGGGTTCTGCCTTCTCCCCTCTCTCTTGCACATCAGTTCAGTTAACATCTCCAGTCATTAGACTTTTTTTTACCCTGCAAAGACGTGAAAATGAAGCTATTTCTGCCTATACCATCTCAAGGACCAGGGTTCAGATACCAGTGGGGTAGCTAAACAGAGATGTATTTTTTTATATCATGTTCAAAAATATCCCAAGGAAGTCCTGATCAGCAAGGAATCACTCAGAGCCAGACCACATTTAAAGCTTAGTAAATCCCATCTTTCTACACCTCTCTGCCTGTAAATCACCCGGAGGGATGCTTTTATTTCACATCTCTCCTTAGTCAGCTAATTGTCCTCCTTAACCCTTTATGATTTCAAATCGCAAGCAGCAGAATTAATATTGGATGATTAAATAGTACTAAACTAAGACTGAATACCACCAGTTAAATTTAAGGCTGCAGCTCTAAAGGAGGTTTGTACGTTTATGAGTGGCATCTCAGAACAACAGAAATTCCCCTCCTTTTGCTAGTGGATGCAGTCATAAAATTAGAGCGGACCTCAGCTGGAATTGGGTAAAGTTTGGAAACCACCCTTTAAGGGCACATTCCAGCTCACCTTAATGTGTAGCGAGCTGAGGAACAGAAGCAGTTTCAAAACTAGAAACAGTCGTTTCAAAATTACTAGTAAAAAATAACAGATTATTTAGTGATGAGATTGAACAATGTTTATATCTGCAAGTCCCAGACCCAAAAGTAAGCATTTTAACCTTGAAATGTAGAGCAAAGTCTAGTGCAAGGACACATGGATTCATTCTCATCTTTATCTAAAACGATTTCGTTTTGTGTAATTCAGAAAGGCACCAAGGCCATGATTAAGGCTCTGCATACATCATAAAGCTCTATAGTAAAATTGCAGAAAACTTGGCGAAGGAGTAAAGCAGTAGAAACGAGCAGTAGAAGAGAGGGTGCTCTAGAAGAGAAGAAATGTCATTGTAGCTGATCCAGTCCTGGACTTCCCAGCATCCTCAAAGGGAGAGATTGATGTTAGAAAGAAATCTGATCTCCATGGGAGAAGGCAATGCCTCTCCAAAGACGAGACCTATAGGTGAGAAAGGCTACGAGAGATCTAAGAGGATTAGTCTTCCATGATGATCGGAGAAACTCAACAGGAGAAACAGGCTCTCCTTTCCCAAGGACTCGTTCCACCCTTCTCTGTATCTCAGCACAAGAGCCAGAGCAGAGACGGCTGGAGAGCAAAGGTGGTGACTTTCAGCCCTACGTGGCTGTGACTAGAGGCTGGTGCAAAAGACAACACTGTCTTTACCTTCAAGTTTCTCCATGTAAAAAAGGCCAGTGAAAAACCTGCAGGAAAAATTCTATGTTAAACTTACAAATTTAAGAGCATTGAAGTCTGGATTTAGGTGTTCCTGTCCCCAGATATTAAAGCTATTTGATCCAATTTCCTCTGTAGCTCATTTAAAGCCAAAGCTTTTCCTGGAATGGGAGCCAAAGACTGTTTAAACTCAAGCTGTGTATCTATACAGGGATGCTGAGAAGTCCCAATTGCTTTGGATACATCAAAAAATCTAAAGTAAGGAAGGCCAGCAGAAATATACTGAGAAATGATAACTGTGCATCCCAGATTGATACATCTGATACCCCTACGTTAATTGGTGGTTGTAGGATCAGGCTGTGTCTGCAATAACGGTGTTATGAAGAGTAAAAATCAGTTCATTTTGTCAGAGAGGACCTCTTCAGGAAATTCTGACTTTCTTGCTTAGTGCCCTTTTAATGTAACTGGTCTGCACGTGAAAATGCAGATCTCGGCTCTCAAAAGAGTCTTTGATCAGCAAAGTAGAGATAACACACTTTATTAAAAAAGAAGAAACTGCTGACCCTATTGGAATAAAGGGCATTTTGCCATTGAGTTTGATGAGGCCAGGATTTGAGCCAAAGACACTCAGGAAAAGGTTAAATTCCTTAAGTGTTTAAAATTTTGGGGATGAAACTGCTACATGGGTCCAAAGTAGCACAGTAGGCAGTCAGCACAAGGACATGGAATATAGCAGGATCCAGAAGAACATTTCTCAGCTGGACATACTTGTTGTGTTCATGCACTCAAGGAGGTTAATGGAGCAGATCTCCTGGGGGCATGCTCCTAAGATCTTCCTGTGGGGTTGCTCCTAGGATCCGCCTTGGGGAAAGGGTGTTGAGGTTTTCCCTGGGTCAGAAAGTAAGTGGAGATGGGCATGTGGGTGTGTGCGTTGCGTGTGTACCCCTTCCAAAATGACACGCTTCACCAAAAGCTGGAGTGCTCACAAAACTAACCCCACTGTAGCGCCTTGACAGTCAATGGCATGTGCTGATGGAGTGTGGCTCCCCGAAAAGTCTCGTCTTCCTGCCAACTCCGTGTCAACCCTTTCTGTCATCAGAGAGGAAACGATAACCACTGTGGTGAAGAGCCCGAGGCAAAGGGGAAGGGTTTCTCCTGCACGCTCTTCTTCAGGTCACTCGCCTTCCCGCTCCCCAAGAGCGGAGCCAACTCCAGAGCCGGTTTATGTCTCAAAGATGAGGCAGCCCGTCCACAGGTATGAGCAGGAGGCAGCATCAAAGTCGGCTGTTCCCGTGCTTTTTGTCACAGAAGCAGAGGACAGGCAAGGAGCAGCAGCGCGAGACGTCGTCATAGAGACCAAGGTGGAAGAGAAAAAGCCCAAATGGGTCGAAGTGGAAGAAATAATTGAATTCAAGGTGAAAAAATCACCAAAACCTACAAGGAAAAGAGGATCTTCCCCAGCAAAACAAGAAAAAGACGACTCAGGGGTGTTAACATTCACTTTTCCCAGCTCAAGGCCTAGGCGTTCTCCAGAAGATGATCCAAACACAAACAACTCCAACAATAAATTGGTGGAACAGTCAAAATCTATGCCTAGTGACAGTCTCTCTGAGGCTGATATCCAGCCCTTGGTCTATGCAACTGAACAGGAAGGACCTCAAGTCAGCAACGAAGACAGAAGCTCCCCGTGTGGGTCCGAACAACTAGGAAATAATTCATTTATGGTTTATGGAACCGAAGGAAAGAGCTTCCCACAGGAAACGAGTGGTCACTATGGATCAGACGTTGATTCCCCGCTGCTTGCCTGTGGGGGCGAGCCTTTGATCTTCAGTTTTGAGACAGGTGCTGCAGACCAGCAGGAGCTTCTGTTCTCACCAGCGAGTCCAGAGGTTACAGAGGACGCAGATGACTTAGACCTGTCTTGGCCTGTTGAGGAGGGGGTACCTGAAGTAATCCCTGAAGTCCTTCCAGAAGAGGATAATGTCATTATAGTTGATGAACCAGAGGAACTACAGGCAGATGATGACCTTAGCACCCGGGACCGCAAAATCTTAACCCACAATGGCAAAGTATTAACTTTGGAGGATCTTGAAGATTATGTTCCTGAAGAAGGTGAGACCTACGGGTGTGATGATCAGAACCATTCGGCAGATAAACCCTGTGAGATCTCCGTGCTCCAGACAGAAATCAACGAGCCAATGATTGGGAAGCCAGTGCTGCTGAACCTGGGGAGACCTGTGGTTTCTGAGCCCAGGCAAAGGTTTTTCAGCCAGTTTGAGGAGCACGTTCCTGGGAGTGTGTTCATGTCAGCATCTAGAGTAACCGGTGTGCAGTCTTTAGGTCCCTCAAACATCTCCTTCCATGTGAGTGACACCTGTATGAGCATGACACCTGGAGTGCATGCAGCAGCAGCAGCTTCTCCTGCTCCCTCCTTCACAGTGAAACCATCTTTCTGCACCGAAGTCCAGCTCTCAGCAGATAATGGACAGTCAAGCTTTAAAACTGAAGTTTCCACGAGAACCCTCAGCTATGGGACTGTTGGCGAGCCTGTTACCTTGCACATCAGCACAGAAGACCTCTCCCAAAGCTGAGCAGATGCAAGCATAATTTTCAACACAAAATAAAGCAGCGTTTTTGAAAAAAAGAAACACTAATCAAAATTGTTGTAGGTGAGGGGAATTGGTGGTAAAGATGACAAGGTAACATGTATGAGGGAATATCTTTGAGGAGAATATATTTAAATGTATTTAAATATGATATGTCGAGCTTTTCCAGTCTTAAAGGGAACATGTCTGTCAGAACAGTTTGTAATTTAAAAAGCTTTGATTGAGGTGAACATATATCATTCCATAGGGGAGCGGTGATGGTAGGTTTAGGTAAAGCCCGATTCTCCTGCCTATGACAGAAATATAAATGAATAACTGCATTTTCGTCCATGAACTTAAAAATTACTTCAGGTGCCAATTTGTAAATTATGGTGTGGCAAGAAGGTGAAAGTGCCTAAGCTTTTCAGCATCCTTTGGCAGCCCAGGGTAGCAGGACTGTCTCCAGCTAAAGCAGTCTCCTGTCCCTGTGTGCGCCCAAAGGTCATGAAGCTTCACACTGCTCTGACTCTGCCGTATGCTTCTGACACCAATTAGCTCCATCAAAATTTCTTCATAAACCTTTCAACATGTGCAGTCTGGTTAAATTATTTTAAACTTCTGCCACAGAATGAAACACATAGAAAATATTGCATTTACTAGGGCTGTTCAGACCTTTTGGTTGAAATCCTGATTTGACTAAAGTCAATGGTGAAAGACCCACTGACTTGAGGAACCAAGGATTTCGTTGTTCTCTTCTGCTTTATGTAGAAAAAGAGCATCCTTTTTAAATTACTGCTATTTTCAAGTCCACTGCCTAGATGTCTAAAGATGTAGGTTTCGTTATTCTGCATTCTAGTGCAGTGGATCTATAAACCATATCTTTTAAAATATAGATTTACCTAATGTGCAGCAAAAGATTAACGTGCTGCACAAAATGACTTCTGTATCTATAATAAAATGCTAATACTTTTATAAAGAACCACAAATGTGGTCTTTGTCGATAAATATTGCTGGAAGAATTTTTGTTCTCCTGTACATGCCAGTGGTGAAACGTTACTTTTAACAGATTGATGGATAATATTTCCTATATGTAGTAAGAGGAATTCACCACTGAGCTACGGCGAAGCAGCAGGAGCACAAAGACAGCTTTAAAAAATAAAAAAGAAAGGAAAGAGATACTTACCATAAATACATTGGGCTGCTTGGAAACACTGACAGTTGCAATTGCATCGTATTACTGTAACCATGTTCGTGGAGCTGTCTTGTAGAGGTATTGCCTTTTGTTGAGTTGCTCTGGAGCTTTGCAGCTCAGAGGGAGTGCTGATTGCCTGAGGAAGGCTAAGAGGCCGTGAGCATGACCCATTCCTGTTGCACAGACCTTCCTCAAGTTGCTCAACCCTGGCAAGGAATGAGCTCACAGGCCCAAAAATATTGGTCCCAGTTGAAGTCAGCTGTCATTGATCTTGGTAGGACCAACACTGGCCCTCTCTATCGTAGACAGAGATGTGGGGTAAAAAATCCCAACATCTTGTCCCAGCTGAATTGTGTAGTGCTGTTGCTACAGAAAATGTTTTTGTTTAGATGGTGCAGAGAAACCAGAAATGCTGAATTTCTAACTAGCATGAAGAAAGGGGATTGAGTGAGCTTTTGCCTTGGAAATGTTGACGTGTGATGTTGCCTCAGTGTTTTCCAGCTAGGTAAAATTGTGAAGCTTTTTCTGGAGTTCTCCGGGCAATATTCCCACTAAGCGGGAGTGAGTTCACAAAAGGTGCTCGTAGAAAAGAGTACTTTATTTTCTTTTCCTTCTGTGGATGCACCTTGACTGTATACTGACTAAAATGAACGTAGTGATTTCACAGCCTTTTACTTTCAATATCCAAACAGGGCGTTATGTGTAATATCCTGTGCACTACCCTCATGGTATAGGATGCTTTTCCAGTGATTACATGTGGTGAAAGAAATCAAGCCTCTTTTATGTTACTCTCCCATTTTTTATAACATCTCCTTGGTTTTTACTGTTTGTTTTATAATTGAGCAATACAATGGATATATATTAGTGCTTTTTTCATATATTGCACTCTACATTGGAAAGTAACAAATACACAACAGAGAAATATTTTCAAACCTGAAAATATTTCTTTTTTATTGGGCCTGATTCTGATCCCAGTTATTCCAGTATCAATCTAGAAGAATTCCACAGAAGGAGGTGGATTTGATTCGGATTTACAAAGATACTGAGATGCTGAGAAAAGAATTGGCCCTATTATAGTCTGCAAAAATATAATATCAAAAAATAATAAAGATGTGTAAAGGATCATGGAGGTCTGCTCCTGTTGTGGATGATGCTCAGGTTGGAGCTGCAGGATGCAGCTGAAAGGTTGCAGTTCAGATGGTCATAGAAGAAACACCTATAATTCGTTTCATTAGCCCAAAGCAATTGACATCTGTTTACATTTTTGTTTGAAATTTAAGCAAAAGAGAATAAATTGAAAGGAATTTTTAAAATCGTATGCAGGATTCTGTTCAAAAAGTGAAAGGTTATGAAAAGTTCATTACATATACTTTCAAAATGTTTTCCTAGAGGTTAAAAATTATGCTTGTAAGTGATTACAGTATGTAGATAACTAATGAGATGTGTGGGAGTTTATTTCCTGTAGATGAAATCATACAGCTGTATTAAAAATTTTAATACAAGGAATGTTTTACTAAAATTCCTGCAGGTGAATGGGTATTAATAAAGTGGAAACTTCAGTTTGCTTGAGATACAAAAAGAAAAAAAAAAAGCCACCAAAAAAAAACCCAAATAAAAAAAAATCAAATGCAAGATATGCTGTTAGATGCTGAGTTTATATCAATAAATGTCTTGCATCTGCTGTCACTGAACTCACTGGCTTCTTGTGTTCTTTTCTGTTCATGGCACTCGATAGTCCATCAGCTCAGCCACTTTTCTCATTGACTTCAGCAGGAGCTGGGTTCCAACCCAGGAACCCAGCTCCAGCTCAGCTTCTTCTGGCCACCTTCAGAAGTGTTGCAGTGAAAGAACCTGTATTTAGGGAAACTTCCAACCCAGATCTAGGAGTCAATAATTTTGAACAATGCTCGTTCTCTTGGGTCCTTCTCTCAGGCTGAACTGAAACCTCAAAATGTACATCAGTCTGGTGTTCCTTGTTATTGGCTGAAGGACGTGTGGGGCGGCAATGTTTATGGTTAAGATTTTAGAACTGGGAAATGGGCTGTTCATCAGGGTTGTGCCCTCACTGCGGCTTTAGTTTGAGGTACCTCAGCTAATAGTGAAGTTTCTCATAGTGTGTAATATCCCTAAACAGGATGGAAACAGGGAGGAAAGTGGTGGTATTAGCAGTAAGGTGGAGAACTGTGGTTATGTATGAACTGTGTGTATATATATGTGTGTGTGTGTATATTTTTATATATATATATATATAAAACCTGCAAATATATTTTCTTGTTGACAGATACTAAGTGTGTTTCATGCCTCTTATATAAAACCTGTGAATATATTTTCTCATTGACAGATACTAAGTGTGTTTCATGCCTCTCCAAGCAGTGTGGTTGTTGGCAGCTGCCCAACTTGTCGGACAGCACCAGTTGGTGGTAATCACAACACCAACATCAGGGAAACAAAATATTTATCTAAAGAGTTATTTAAACGTCTTCCACCCTGCCCAGTGCTGATGAACACTGATGGGCAGTCTGGGACATCCCGTGAGCAGGACTTGATTTTTCCATCAGCACACCCAGAACTGAAATATTTCATAACTGCTATGCTCATGGGGAGGACACTGAGATCAAAAATCAAGTTGAGACTTTCTTCAAAGGGGGCTGATCCAGTTGTAGCCTTCAACTTTACTTGCTAAGGCCTATCGTGGGATTTTACTTCCTTAAGGCCAGGAAAGGAGTAGAATCAAAGCAGCTACAGGCCATGCTCCTGTGTCAATGACATTAAGCCAGTCAGAGGTGTTTGTGTGCAAATGCTCTTATTTTTTCTTGAATCGCAAGACAGTTTGAGTTTGCACTCTTGTTGGCAAGTCATCACATCGTGGGCGTGATGAATTGTATGAATCTGGCATGCATTTTGTCTGCCTTTAAGGTTACTTGGAGGGTTTCCATAGATAACATCTGTCCTTTTCTTGTGCCTCTTCAAGATTTGTGGAAGGTGTATCGGGCTGGAGATTGGATGAGATGAGCTCCTGAGGTCCTACAATCCCATCCTAGCCTAGCTTCTTTTACCTGTGCTGACTGGGGATGAGACCATGGTTGTTTATCTCCTGGGTGGCTGTTCTGCAAAGATGTATGCTTGAAAATCCATTTTTATGTCTGGAAAGATTTTGTCTTCTCTCTGCCTTCAAGACAGTGAGTTTCTTGAGGCAGGAGTTATATCTTCCTCTGTATAATGCTTCCCTACACAAAACTGCTGTGCATTACTGTATGGACCAAGTGACCTTGCTTCCAGAGTATCTTGCAAAGGTGTAGTCCAGTATGAATTTAAAAGTTTCAAGTATATTTCAGTGCAAAGCCCAGCAAAAACATTTAAATATTGCCCAGTTGGACAAATTAATTATTCTGCAAGGAGTCACATTTCTGCCACCCTCTCAGACTCACAGCCTCATAAAGCAGTGCAGCCTTCCCTTCTTTCCCCTGCCCTTCTTCAGAGCCATCAGGGAGGCTGGTACCTCCTCACTCCTCCTCCTTCCCTGTGAGAATAACATCTTTGCACGTAGGGTCTGTATCAGTGCAATGGGTCACCACTGGGTTCATTTCATTGACTTTAATAAAGGTATTTCTGGAAGACCAGCCAAGGTAGGGTTGAGTTGGGAAATGGATCCTTCATTCTGCTGTCTGGGGAGAGGTTGGGTGTGTGCACAGTGTCCTCAACCTGGTGAGATATGTCTTTCTGAAGCATGTTGTGACAACCTTCTTATTTTTTGTCTTAGCTGTGTCCCCTTTTGCTGGAATAAGCATTTTTGCATCAGCTCTCTCCTCTAGGAGGGGAAAACGATATGATTGCAATTATTTCCATGGGATGGATGATGCTGCTATTTTCTTTTTATCCTGAAGAGAGAAAAGCTGTTCTTCTTGTCTGTAGGAATGACTTCCTCGCACTCAGAGATGGAGAATTCTGTCCAGGCCTCGCTACAGCGTGCTGATAAGGAGATCAAGACAGCTCTAAAGAAACTCGTGGACTCAGCATCAATGCTGGTGACTCTTCCCCCAGGCATGCGAGGAGGAGCTGGTGGCCTTGGCGGTCCTGGGTCTGCTCTTTCAGACCACTCAGAAACGGCAGCCAGGCCCTCTGTGCTAGTTCATGAAGCCAGTACCCAAACCCAGGCTGCTGCAGGTCATGGTAGGTTTGGCATGAGTATGTAAAACATCCCATGGGAGTCAAGAGAGACAACAATATCAAACACACCATTTATGATGTTTTTTCCCTTGTTTTTCTGTTTTTTTATGAGCTGTTGCAGATCAAGAGAGGACATTCAGATCCAAAGGAATGTGGAACTGTGGGTTGGGGTTAGGTCAGACACAAGTTTGGGGCAGATCTTTCTGGAAACAGGTGGTGTTTGAAAACTGTGTCTGAAATAGAGTTTGGTTCATCACCTGCCCAAAATGGAGGGATTAGGGATTTTTCCACCTTCGGTCTTTTCACCCTGGACTTACTTCATGTTTTTCTAGGGAGAAGATGGGATGGAATCCACCCTTTACATTTATAGAAGTAATTTGGGTTTTGATTTGGTTGGGTGGGGAGGTTGCTTTCCTTTTATTTTTTGCCATAAACAAAATGGAAATCTGTTTAACACCCCTGTATCAACTGCCAGAGTCTTTCTAGGATGTTGGGCACATCAGGTTCACCTTCATTTCACTGGCCATGGAGCCTTGATAGACTCCTTAACAGTTTCTGTGTGGTTAAATCCTACAATGTGTGTGGCTGTGTCTTGACAGAAGAGCAAGTCTTTTGTCTTTGTGTTGTTTGTTTTTTTTTAAAAAAAAAATACAACACTAATAGCTGGCAACCCTTCCTGTCTTCCTTCTGCTTCTGCCATAACAACTTGTCTAAGCCGTCTCTGTGTCAGGTCAAAGTAACTGTCCTCCATCAGTGCCAGCTTAAAAATATAATGTCAAGTAGCCTTCAGCCCTTGAACTCCAGATGCTGTTTAAAAAAGAAGATATTCTTGCCTAAAACATAAAAATGAGAATAGAAGTATTTCATGGAATCAGACCCAAATAGCTGCGTTAAAAAATGACAGGGTTTTAAAACCTTTTTTTTTCTTTTTAGTAGGAAATAATCTATGAAAATAATCCTCTGGTGAAGAAGGATGACTCAAATATCATAAGTAAAATGTCAACTAGCAGATTATTTTCTGAGTTGTAACTACAGAAAAAATGGAATAGTGAATGAGGTGGTTTTGCAGTCCTTTCATCTGAGAAAACTAAACATGTCATTAATAAGGGGAATTATTTTAATAAGATGGGGACTTGACAACTGTCCCTATCATCACATGCTTTGAATAAGAAGACAAATATTTCGATAGTGGTGCCAGAAGGAAAGCATAATCCCACCAACCTGGGATGTCTGATCCTGCCAGTAATGTCTTGAATAACCATGTTTTCCATCCCAATAGAGCTGTTTCATATGATTTCTAGAAACTCTTGCTTTTTTTCCCAAACCAGCCGGCACCGAGCATCCCTAGAGAGCTCTCTAAAAAGGCCCTTCCTGCTGGGGAGAAGACTCCACTTGATTTAATCTTTTCTCCTCAGGTGAAAAAGGAGACGATGCACTTTATCCTATGGGGTAACTCCAATGGTCAATATCAAAAGATTTTCTGGTACTTTTTGAATGGGAAATGGAACCAGTTTTTGAAGATATAGCTGGTAAAATAATTAATAATGAAAGAAGGAAAATACCTGAACTGCTATTAAGCTATACCATCTTTTAATTTCCTTGTTCCTATAAACCTGAGATGTCAAACCTTCCTCTGGTGTAACTTAGAGTTGTATGAGGAAATTTTCAAAGAACCTAGGGAAGGTGTACCAATGCTGACGTTATAAATCACTAGGTCCTCCATATGAGCATGCCTCCATATTAGTTTTATCCCTACCCAGGGCCTGTCTTGGCCACTAGTTTTACAGTGATGTCAGCTTATTTATTTCACTGATGCTGCCTGTGATTGCATCAGGGAGTCAAGAGCTATTCTCATAATGTAAAGTTTAATTGAAACATTTCTATGTAGGAAGCTAACACTGGGCATCCCTGGAGGTATTTAAAAGAGGTGTTGACAGATGCTGAGGGACATGGTTTAGTGGTGGACTTGGCAGCATTAGGCTAACAGTTGGAGTCAATCTTAAGGGTCTTTTCCAACCTAAATGATTCTATGATTTCATCATAGCCATGAGCTGGAACTCAAACACAATTAAAGTATCTTAAAGGTCCCTAGACAACTCTATGATTCTATAACGAATGAATTGAACTAACACTATCCTTCCAGTCATCTTATTTATTCTTGTCTTTACTGACTCTCTTTCTTATTTGTGTCTCTGTGTGTTTCCTTACAGAAAAATCAGTTTTGCCCAGTCAGAAATGTGCCACCATTCAGTCTCTGATGTCATTCAAGCCTTTTGCTTCATGTTCTCTTCTCAAAAGAGCCAAATTTTCCTGTTAGCTTCAGTGATTGCACCCAGCTGAGGTCAAAAGGACTCAGTTCTGACACAAAGCAGACTAGAGATGGCTCCAAAGGTTTGCTCTGGGTTTCAAGTGTGCTGTAAGAGGGGACATGTCTAACTTGCCCTATTTCTTCTGCCAGGCAAAGCACAAAGACAGGTTCCAGCTGAAGAACCAAGTGTGCCAAAGCTCAGGCCTGGTCCTCCCC